GGTATAATATATTCATCCTGCTACGAATCACTTATTTTTTCAATTTTCGACTAGTTTGTATTAGCCATATTTTTTAAGTGAAACGTATATGATGTTTTTATGATTAAAACATAACTGCAATTTAATCTACAATCATATTTTTTTGGTGTTAAATTGAACTACACTTTAACACCCTATGAAATGGCGCCGAGCTATATGCAATTTACACCGACTATTTTGCGTTTTAAAATTGTAATAGTCCGAGTACTTAGAAAAACAACACAATAACTTACAATAATTCAGGGATCTTCTTAAGTAATTAACAATTGAAATCAAAATAAAAAATTCAAATTAAAGTTTTCATGTTTGAATACACAAGTTTTCATGTTTTCGTGTTTTTGGTGATGTTAAAAAGCCAAAGACAAAATCAAGGTTTCAGAAGTTAATTTTTATTAAATTTTTTAAAACATATGATAAAATTTCTTGTTCTAAATACATTTATTTCAATGAACATAAATAATAAATGAATTTTTAAATAATTACTTTATATTAACTACTTCTTTATTATTTCAGGAATAAGAGTGAATACAATAAAATTACCTTTTTAAACCTACACAAAATACAAATTAAAGTACGTTTTTAATTAAAGTGATTAAAGTGATTATGTACAGCAACACGTATATATACATATAATTTATTATATTAATAGTTATTATACAAATGCTAAAGTGAAGCAAAGTTACATCCTTTACTTTAATTGTTTTTCAGAAGTTCTGAAACAAAAAAAAATATACTTTAATATTATATTTTTGAACTTATTTTCAAAATTATATGTAAATGCATGAAGATTTTGACACATATAGATACCTTCAGCTACGTACATACATATGTATAAACATACCTCATGTTGATCTCTTTCTAGACATTAAAATCCTTTTCTGCAAAAAACTGTTAGCTTATATATTCAAAAATAAAAATGATATTGAAAATTTTAAGACTTATGCCTTTCAATAAAAAATAAAAGCAAATGTCTAAAACAAATAAATATAAAAATAAATTAAATAAACACATCAATATTTATTAATATAAAATATATATTATTTTATTTATTGTTATACTATTACATATAGTAAAAACTTCAATATGCATATAAATTCTTACATATAGTTTGTAAGGTTTCACATTATTTAATATGTAAGTATAGCATATAAAATACTTTGTTCCAAAAAACTTTTTGAAATATATTTATAGTCATAGAAAATATTATAAATATTAGTGTTTCCTTTTGAATTATTTAAACAAACTAATAGATTTAAATATATACCTTATGTATACACTCACACATCTATACACTTTATTGATAATTTTCGATGAAAATATGATATGATACACAATATATTGTACATAAACGATTGTATTCATACAGTTCATATGCTTTTATACGAGTAGTATTTGAATATATCTATATCTATTTCCATAACTTTTCCCAATTCGGAGAATCACATATTCTAAAAACATAATTATAATTTATACCTTTCCTTTGATAAGTGTATGTGATCGTATTAGATCATATTATATACTACACCGTGAAGTTCTTTTAATTCATAAAAGATTCTGTTTAGCATAAAAACATAAAATATATATGTATATATAATTGTATAAATTAAAATTTATATTAATATATTATTATATTTATATTCTATATACTCAAATAGCTATATACAATGCTAGATTCTATATATATGTATGTATATAAAATTTTCGTATATATCATATTATTTTATAAACGAATACAGTGCAATTTCAAATGTAAATATAAAAAATTAAATGTATATAGCAAGAACTTATAAATTGTTATACAAAAACAAGGAAAATATATATATACTATTTTTTCTTTTAAAATGTTCAACTCATTCAAATACAAAAGCCGTCCCAAGAAATAATATCATAAAAACAATAATAAAAGTATATAATGGAAAAAAATTCACTATATAAAGAAAACTCAAAATGGAGGCAGTTCCAATTGATGAAAACAAATGATTATTTTATATTCTGATGTTATTTTGCAATTACTTTGCTTATGTTTCTAAAAATTCTCTTATGATTTTCATTCTCTCGTATAAATATAAAATTTCGCATTAAAAATATCCTTTAAAGTTTGCCAATATAAAAATCTATTTAGTATATACACATATTATATTATTGAAGCTCTTATATAAGTACATACATGTCATAAAGCTAAATAGGTGAATATATGTATATTTTTAAAATAATGAAAATCGTTTTTAAATTATCAAGAAGTTTTTACAAAAAAAGCAACTTATTTACAGAATAAATTAATACAATGAAAATATTCCTATACATATAAATCTTGCAAATACATCCTCACGAGCAATACTCCCACACTTACAAATACTGTTTACACTTCAGCATACACTAACACAAACATAAAATAGAAAAACTAACTAAATCAAAAAATAGTCGCCAGCGAAAATTTTGAATATCTTTTTATATTTATTTATACACATACACATATATACGGTTATATACTTTTATCCTTGTGTGTTTAATGGAGAACTGAAAATCAGAGCATCAGCAAAAACGATTAAATATTTTATGAATCAAAACATTGAAAATTTCATTTTAAAAGGAAAAATATAAAATAAAAAAAAATAAATTGTTTTTACTTCAAAAACTACATTTTCTGTCTCTTGTTTTCTCTCACCTTTTCTCTTTCTCTACTTTCTACTTTTTATTTTGTTTTATTTTTATGCTTCCTTTACTTTAGTTTAAACTTTTTTTTGTGTTTTTTGTTTTTTAATTTTTATTTCGTATTTTGAATTTTCTATATAATATTTTATTTTTTTTTTGTTAAAATTATTGTTGTTGGTGCAGTTTCCATCATTTTCCATCATTTCTTTTGTTTTTCTTACATTTATTTCTTTTTTAAACTTTTATGTTATTTTGGATTTCTTTATTGTTTCTTTTGTTATTATTTTTATTATTATCACTTTTATTATTATTACTTTTTTTTATTTTTTTGATATATGTATAGCACTTGGGAAAAGTTTTCCACCATAAACAACCAGTTTTTCGAAAAAAAATTATGGAAAAACTTGTTAGTATAAAAAATTTTCGTATCTCGTATCTTGTATAATATTTCGTACTATTAAATAATATTGTTATTATCCTAGAATAATAAAAAAGGATATAAAATATTTAAACAATGAAAATTTGAAAAAAAAAATTAAGCATAATTAATTATAGATACAATTAATTTTTTTTTGTAGATAAATAAATTGCTTTAATTTTTAAACTCCTAATTTCAAAAAAGGGAAAATTGAGTTTTTGTAAGAAATTGGTGAAATTTATCGTTTTATTTTTTAATTTAATTTTTATATGTTTTAAATGAACTCCAATTATTTTAACAGAAATATTTAATTAAAATATTTGAAAGTTATATAATTTTATAAACTATGCATTTCTTAAAGTAAGAGCAAACCTATAAAATTGGAATCAAAAGTGATTTTTCTTTGTTTTTTATTCATTACAATTATATAAAACTAACTTGGTTTTTGATATTTCTTAATTGTCACACTTTTTTAAGGTGAAAAAAAATTTTGAATTTACTAATATCTTAGTAAAAAATATATAAAAAGGCACTAATAAAAAAAAAATAAAATAAAAAGTTACTATTTAAACAAAATTTAAAGTCAAGATACTTTTAAACATAATAAAAATCCCAAAAAAACTCACATAGTATTTTCACAATGTCAACAACATTTACAAAAAATTAATCAACAAAAATTAAATTGTAGTTGTTGAAATCGGAAAAAAGCCAAATTGATATTTTGTTAAATAAAAAAAAACGTATAATTTACCACGCATATCAATTTCCTATTATATTTATAATAAACCGTTATCACCGCAATTGATTAGTGTGCTGGGACGGAAGAAAAATGTTCAACGTTTTTAAAAACTTTAAAAAAGTTAATTTTTTTGTGCTATAACGGTTTTCTTTTAAAAGTGATTGAAATGTCATTAATACTCAAAAAATACTAATAACTCTTATATGTTATATGAAAACAGTCAGTAATAACAAACAAACAAAAAAAAAATTCATTAATGATCCCCGTTATTTTTTCTTTTCGCTCTTTGTTACATTGTACTACTTTCATATCTATTTGTTTTTAGAGTAACTGTGTTTTTTTTATTCTTTCGCTACTTTTACTGTGTGTTATGTCAAATACAAGGACGTAATTTACTGTTAATTAATTTTTTTATATTTTATATTTTTTTCTATTTTATACTTAATAACTTTCTCTTGTTTGCACTATATATACATTTGTACATATGAACATATTACAGAATTTATTAATATTATTTATTTATTAATATATGTATGTGTGTGAATATTGAAACCAATATGTATATATAACGTAGTGCATATACAAACATATATAAATACTTTTATTTGTTAATAATAAAAGAAGTTATAAAATTATGTTGTAACGGTAATTACATAATTATTATAATGGCATAAAACATCATATACATCAATATATTTATACTTTATGTTTTATAGAAAAACCAAAGATTCTAGTTTAATGTTATTTTATTAAACTGTATATTATATTCATTATATGTGTGTGCATACGTAGGAATGTAAAGTGTGAACTGTATATTACATAAAGTAAAATTATAAATGATGTTTATGCATATAAACATCAGCTATAATTATAAATGTTAAATTCTTTTTGTATGTTTGCTTTTACTTCTGTTAATTACTGTTCTATACATTCACAAGTTCAACAGAAAAACTGAATTTCTTAAAAAAAATTAAAAAACGAAGAAACAAATAAGTGCTCCACTGATCATAAAAAAGTGTAATGAAACTTGATAAGTTTAATTGAAATTATATATGTATGTATATACATAATGGACTTTTATATAAATATTTAAAAAAACAGAAAGTATAAAAAAAAATAATACATTAAACATAATTATGAACAGATAAGGAAATTAAGATTATTATAAGTGGTTATCAAAAAATGTAAGAAATGAGACATGTGATCTAATGACCTAAAATTATGAATACAAAAATATTTCATATACAATATACAATGCTTAGGTCATAAAAAGTTACACTATATTAGAAAACTAAAGCAAAATTTCACATAAAAAGTATTTAATAGGAAAACAAAATAAATCATGTGCGAAAAATTACAAAAAAAAAATTTATTTGAGAATTCAAATTTGAGAATTTGAAGGAAAACATATAAATGATTTTAAAACTATCTTCTCTCCTATAGTGATCACTTTAATATTTACATGCCTAACATAAGGATTTTTCAAAGCCAACGTATTATATTGTGGATTACTAATTGAGCTGACAGCATTGACGTATGAATTAAATTTTTCTACTACTTTTAATTGATTAATAAACGAAAATTATGAATTTGAAATAATAGAAAATTGTAATTTGTTATGCATATTTATATTAACGTTTTTTGTAATAATTTTTTAAAGTTTCTTTGTTATGACTTCTTTGCCATGCCAATTTTTTTATACAGGCATAATTCAATAATGTGTCACTTAATGATCCGCTGAAATTTTGGAACAATCAGAATATCTAAAAAAATTTAACCCTAAGATCACGAAAACTTAGTGCAATTCCAGTGCTTCAGAGTGAATTATAAGTTAAATATTTTCTTAAAATCACTGAAAGTGTTATTTAAACTAACTCTTCAGCGTAACGAGTTTCTTTCGTTTGGCGTTGGAATATGTACATTAATCCAAATTAATGTAGATTCATGTGCAATCATTTTCTGAATTCCTACAATTTTAATTAGAAATTTATCATTAACTTATTATTTCATATTATATTATTTATTTCCTTTACATTTAAATAAAAATTATATATTCAAAACAATTTTGTTTATAAGTCAATAAAAAAAGAACAACTACAATAAACCTCAAAAGTCTATTCACAAAAATACAACTGTAATTAAAAAGTGTTGATCTTCCACTTTAAATTTTTTCCCCGCGTTAAGTTATTATTTTTTTAATAACTAAACGCAATCATAGTCTTTTACCATAAAATATTCAATTTCCTCCAAGCAACATCACAAAAGAAAAAAAAGCGCAAAATGTTTGACTTCAATAATTGAAATTATTTCCATAGGTTGTTATTAAAATGTTCATTTATTCATCGCATATAAAGAAAAAATCAATTTACCACATGTGACGCAAAAATACTTGACAAAATTCAAAAAACATAAAAACACGAAAGTTCCTTAATAATTTCTAAGAGCCACAATTTCAAATATTCAATTATTCAACATATCAATTGTAAAAACTTCAAATGAAGTATAACATAAGTGTGTTTGCATATGCGCACTTACGAAAAAACTTAGCATGTGGTAGAATTATTGGTACTTGAATGATGTTTGATTGCTTAAATTGTATGTTTATAACGATTTTTTAGTGCAAAACAAAGCAATTAACGTTTCCTATAACCATATATTATACTTGTTTCTCAATAAATCTAAATAGTTGGATTTTTGAACATTTCTACTATCAACATTCATTTGATACACGGCAGAATGAAAACATTTTCCGAACGTAAGACATTCATTTAGCATAAAAAGAGTTTTAAAGAAAATGAATTTATTGACGGAAATTTTTCAATTTTGAAATTCGAAAACTTCTATTTCAAATACATATGTATATTGAATCTCATTAATGTACGAGTAGTATATTATTTATTTATTAGTAATCATTAACATAGTATATTATAATTTATTGGTATAATCATTAATAGTATAATATTTTATTTTAAAATCTTCCAAAATTGCACAATTAAGGCAACTTTTTAAGCATTCGCATAAACTTATGCAAATAACACAGTCCTTTTCTCTTTGTCCTAAAAATTTGTATTATTAAGAGTTAACTTCTCCGGTGTGTTTAATTTATATAACATTGCACATCATTTTTAGAATGAATTTATGCATTATATTCACAGAATACAATTCATTTAGAATTTCTAATTCAAATGAAAAATAAACAAATTCTGATTCAAAAAATGGCCAAAATAAAGATCACAAATGTAAGATCAATTTCAATCTTGCATTTGTAAATTATGCCGACGTCGTAGAAGAATGGTATATATCTGTGAACTTTACTTTTAATATTAAAGAACAGCTGAAAAGGATCAAAAACAAAAATAAGGTTCACATTTTCTTCCATTGTAATTTTTCTTATATTTTTTATTGATAACACTGCAGATTAATTTTACCCAAACGAAACCATTATTGATACCTCTAAAAGGAAAATTTTAATTTACAAAGAAGGTACTTTAACTAAATTTTATGAGTGGGCCAAGATTTTACTCCATAATCAATATCCAATTTTTATACTCATACCCAAAGAGAAAAAAATATCTGATGTGTTCAACACATAACCGACCGCAATGTGTACTGTCTAGTTTGCCGAAGGTGTAACAGAAGATTATGAAAATACCTTTTAAGCACTTCTTTCTAGTTTTTAGGAAGCTAGTAAGCTTTCAGTTAATATACCTAGAAAAACTTGGCTCTTCGCTTTGTGACATCCGAATTCACTTCTTCATTCATTTTTTTATATATCGTCGGCTGTGTGCTATTTTAATCCATACGCTATGACTTCTGAATCGAGAAAAACGCGTTTGAAGTTTAACAACACTTTATTTAAAAACTAAACGATGGGATTTCTTAAATTTTTGTTACTAGTTTTATTGTAGTTTTAAGAGTTTGACTATAAAGTTTTGAGCAATTTCAACAAAGGGATCGAGAGTTATAGCAAATTAATTAGAGAAAGTCCAGTGCGATTTTGATCCATATCCACTTTTTCGATCAAAAATGTTCGATTTTATATATTATATATATATATTATATATATATTACATATATTATATATATTATATACATATATATACTAAATTTCAAGAAATTTCATCAATTAGATTTTGACATCCGAAATTGAAGGCATAAGCCTTCACATAATTTTCCTTATTGTATACTCGTACAATACGGTCGGTACAACGTGAAGTACAACGAATCGAAAAATATTCGCTATAATTTCAACAATATTGAAATTCCATAAAAGCATTTGATATCCTTAAAATTTTCATTTTAAATTCAGTTATTGATTTTCGTTCTATTATTTCGAAAACAACTAGAGAACAATTCTTAATTTTCTAATGAACTTTTGTATTACCCTACTCTTGAAACGAATTTGTTATTATTCAATTCAATTACAATAAACTCAAAATTAAATATAGCATAAATATAGAAAAATTGCCACAAAAGGCAAGATTTGAAAATTTGAAATCCTGAATGGAAAATTGAGTTTTAAAAAAATTTTTAAATTCTGTATTGCAATTAATACAACGTTCAGTAATTAGATTAGTTGAGTACTCTAACATTTTATTGATTAATTGAATAAGCATTTTATTAAATAAATATACAAAGTTCTTTGGAATTATCTAAAGGCATTATAAATTTAATTTATCGAAGATACAAGGTGAAAAATTTGAGTACATATACAATTATATTTGTTCTTGGCTTACTTATATTGCAAATCATGATTGTCGGTTTTGATACGCCCACTGTTTTGCATCAATCCCCTGAAAAAGGCATTACACTTCATCCTACATCATCTTCATTATAAATTTAACAAGAAGAAGAAAGGCTTTACGAAAAAAGGAGAGCAACTTCTACAAGGTAAAAAGTGTGAAAAATTTCATAATCGGAATTGAACTGAAATACGATAATTTTCTAACACATTGTGTTATTGCAATTGCGAATAATTCTGAAAAATTGTTTCCATTTTTGAAAGCCGTATCTTTTTAGTTTTTTTTTATTTTCTAAAGAAAATTCAATTTAAGATCCTATTGTCGGTTTGTGCAACGATGTAAAATTCATTTTTCAATAATCCTTAGAAAGGATAAAAAAAATTACTTAAAAATATTGAAAAAAGTTCGGTTGCATTATAAAGAGATAAGCGTTCCCTCATCAGTGTAAGTGTAAAACTGCTTGTTGATTTTATGTTTTTATAAAAAGAAATACGAAGGAGAAAAAAAATATGAAAAATTAATTTTTCAGCACAATGAATTTTTAGAAAATTTTTCGCAATACAATGGTTCTAACATTCTAAATCTTCTTTAAATTATAACGCATATGCGCAATTATTTAATTGCTATTATAAATTAAAAATATTTCTGTTCTATTGAAATAAAAATACAATGTCCGTAAGATTATCCAGGGTCAAAAACGAAAATAATTTTCTGACCTACTATTCCATTTATTATATATAAAAACAAGTTGTTACAAAACACAAAAGAAATTAACAAATTTTTAATTAAATTTCATTTAAAAAAGTATTAAATATTCCTTTAATATTCTTTAAAGTATACTTATGTATCCATTTATGTATTTTTTTAGTTAGAATTTTTTCATTTACATCAAAAATGTTAATAACAATTGTGTATTTCGAGGTAATAATTGCCTTAATGTCAATTGTTATTAAGAAGATCAAAGTTTATTTCAAAAAGTTAACTGAAAATCAAAACGATTTTTATGAAACTTTTGTAACTTTTAAAACATACAAACATAACATATTCCGTTAAGTGAATTTAGAAAATTACAAATTTTTGCACTTGAATATCAGTACACAACGTACCTAAACTTATCACAATAAATTTATATATAAAAAATTTTTTTGTCTTTGAAAATTAAAATCTCTAAATCAAATCGTCATTAATTATAAAAATTTTAATATTATAGTTCTATCGTGTTCCTCTTCAGAAATTCCTAATTTAGATTTCTTTTTTTTCGTGAACATTCTATTGGATTCTGAATCACAAGTATTTGCGCGCATTCAGAAATCACATATTTAACTGTGTCAAGGCGGCTTTTAACAAAGCAAATTTATTAATTTTTCCTTTTTCAATTTTTCTTATTTATGGTATTAGTCATTTCAATAGGAGCGGTAGGATACATTTTTCAAAAGCACTCTTATTTATTTTTGCAAGGAATTCCAATAAAAAAATGTAAATAAATAAATTTTCTAAATGACAACAAAATTTTTAGCACATTTTATGAAAAATTGTGTAAGGGAATATATTTTCTCGTTTACAAAGCGTCGTCAACAAAGAAAAGAATTAAACTGAGAAAAAGTTTCACAAAACTTTAGATGTTATCTTCGACCATTTAATTCAATTTTTAAAACAAAAGTAATAGTACAGCTATTAAAAAAAGTAAGATAGGTTAGAAACTACTTACATATATTATTTTGACATAATTAAAGAAGAACTTTTGACTTATGTATCTCAAAATTAGTCTACCATTTCAATATAAAAATCTTTTAAAAAGAAATGTGCTCATTACAAATTATTAATCGAATATCTTTAAACCCTATATAAAATTAATGCAATTTAATTTATTTTAAATTTGATTATTTGAAAATTGTCACCATTATTGTGTAAACAATTAAATGCATATACGCTTATGGAGGAGACTAAATTTTAAATATTTTAATAATCTGATGAAAAATAGGTGAACAATGTTTAAAAATATTTTTAATTTTTTTAAGATTATTTTTGGTTCTTTCGTTGTGCTTTTTTTTTTCAGACAAAATACATAAAAAAAATAATAATATTTATAAGCCTTTTTGATCTGCTACCGAATTTTTTAACATTTTCTATACGCTTTCAGTTTTTTGTTAGTTATTTTCCCTACGTTGTCTCTCATATTAACTTTTTGATATCACCCAGACCTAACAAACCTTTTCATAATCCTTTCATCATTTTTGTATAATGTTTTCAATTCGAATTTTTCTATTCGACTTTTTTCTTTTGACCCTGGCTGATTATAATTATTATGTGATTTTGATGATGGGTTGTAAATTTTGTAATTAATAAATAAGATACGTCACTATATATATACATATGCATTCGATAAACAGATTCATAAAATAAGCCTTTACAAATGTACACAAAAGTAAGTTCAGCACCACCACGAGCAATAAAATAATATAAATTAGGCAAAGCTATGCTAAACTAGACCACTCAAGTTAAAAAATTTCGCTATCGTATTCATATTTTGACAAAAAATTCAGTCTAGTCTCGAAGTACGCTTAAAAATTCGCGATCTATATAAGCTTATAAGATAAACATTAAATTTATATTAACTTATATTAAATTTACCTCAGCGTAGAGGTATCAATGACGAATGACTACATCAAGTTGAAATTATGTAGCCAAAATGTGAATAAAAACATAAAAAATTAAAGCAGTTTTCAATTTCTTTTTATTTGAGATCTTGACATAGATAATACTTCTAAAAATACGTGAAACTACCTTAAGGGGTGTTATATTAAGAAATATGAATAATACTTTTAAAAATCAAATTTTAAATTTTTACATTTCCAAATTTTTTCTTTATTTGAACCTTCCAAGTTTTAAGATAAGAAAGATGCTACTGCCTATTAGAAAACTTATAACTGCACTGGAGGGAGTATTTCGTTCTGTCTGTTATTTAATGATTTGCCCTGGAGAATTATTTCTTAAGCTCCTCAAAATTAAAATCCCCTAAAAAAATTATTATTAGAATAAAAAGAGAACATAATTTTCTTTTTTTTGGAGGAGGGCATTTTGGACTTTGTCATGTTTCTTAATGTTCGGATAATTATAATTGCATTGTCTTCTAAAAAAGGAAGAAAAACGAAAGAAAAAATGTAATAATTTTGAAATAAAAAAAATTATTGATTACAATTTTGTGATTCCGATACATCTAGAATACAAATTATTTTTTATGTTCGAAGCTTATATTACCAAACTAAACAAGTAAAACAAAAAAAAATGGTGTCATTTTTAAAGGATTAATTTACCAAAAAAATTAAAAACAGAAAAACAAAATGAAAACGTCAAATACCCCTAGGCGTTCGTCAATTTGTATATGTTTATATGTGGGCATGTCAATAAAAAATAATTTTATTTTTTATTGAAATGTCCTGATAGGCTAATAATAATCATAAATGGATTAAAATTTAGTGTCAAGCCGAATAAATAATGCAAAGTCTGTTTGGGTGTGGGAAAATTGTAGACAACTAGTTATATGTACCATCATTTTTAATATTCTTTTTGAACCTAACAGAGTCAAAATGTTTAAGAATATTTTACTAGAATTAAGTTTATTTATATTGCATATGCAACACAATTCAATTTAAAACTATAAAGGAATTCATTGGTCTAAAAACTTTATATTAATGAATTTATTGTAGTTTTATTGTTAGATATTCGATATAGCCTAGATAAATGTACAGAAAAATTTGAATTTAAAAATTCGATTACTATCTACACTATTATAATTATTAAATTTTATTTATTTCAGAAAACATTACCGGAATTCTTATATTTACTGTAATTTATGCAAAAACATTCACAAAATGTGGGGGAATTCATTAGCGTCAGGGTGAGTCCATATTTTATTAAATAGACAATTAAAAACTAGTACCATTGTAAAGGCTATAGTTATATAAAATATGTTATTAATTCTCGATTCCAATAAAATGGATAATGTCATACTCACACTGTATTTGTTGTATATATTCTGCTTCACTTTAATTTCACAAAAACTAAAATTTAGAACACTGATTTTATCATGTTTTCAAAAAATTTATGATTTTTGTGAAAGGCTTTTAAACCGTTTTAAAGAGTAAAATCAAAAAGTGTAAGTATATTCTCGTTTACAAAGGCATAGAAATTGAAGCTTTAAAAAACACATGACATGTATGTATGTAGGTATTTAATTATGTTAAAGTGTTTACATTTATTGCCCTACTAATTAGATTATGTGTTAATTTCTAAAGAAATTTTTCTCAAAATCACTAAACAAAATCGTGAATTACCTAGTTTCATGAATAATTGGCGAATCGCAAATTAGTTTTAAATATTATCTGAACTTTTACAAAAAAGTAATTGTTATTGGATTTTCTCTGATTTACATAAAAAACATGAGAACAATTATTGTCACAAAAATCAAAGTGTGTACGTGTTAGGCGGCGATTGTGCACTAACATTTAATTTTTTTTATGTTGCACAATAAAAATGTATAAGAACTGAAAATAAAATTGTAGAAACAAAAATAAAAAGCAAGGATTAATTTCAACCAAAAAACTCTCATACACGTACACACTTAAAATCTCATTTAAAATATCTACATTTCAACATAGTACAAGTTAGAAGCTAATAAAAAGTTCCATTGTTACCATTTCAAGAATCAATAAAATAAAAAATGTTTCAATTTGAAGAACATTTTCTTGCTAGTTATCAGCAAACTGATATACTTTCTACATGGATACAGTGCCTATTTTTACTCTTTTATTACTTTTATTTTCTGTTATCCTTTATTATGTTTCTTATGTAATGTAAAAATGGTATCTATATGTATTATAGGCATCATCGTATATTTTACACAAATAATGAAAATCACTATGAAATACTTTTTTATATAAATGCATAAAAAGGATTAAGGACTAATATTTGTATTGAAAGTCTCTCGATATATAAAATCTTGTATCCCCCTGCTATATGTGTATTCGTTTCGGCTTTTTAATTTTGTAATATTTTAACCGACCAGAACGAAGTAATAAACTATTGTTCAGCATCTTATTCGATAAATTATTTCATATTCCTACAAACTTTTGAAGCGTTTAGCGCAAAAAGAAAAAGGTTAAATGAAAGCAAGGATCACTCCTTCACATTCTAGCATTTTTAAATTCTTTATGGGTAATCATAACTGTCATTCTATGTAACTTCATATTCACATGCATAATAGTTTAATATATCCTACATTGTTCTGCTTAAAAAAATAATTAGTAGCAAATTACATCTAGAACTTTAAAATAAGATAAATGATTAATTTCAATTTCAAAAATTAGGCTATAACAAGTCGATTGAAGACAAAAAAAATCCTAAGCAAATTAAGTAACTGACTAAAAAATCTAAATTGTTTTTTATATAATGTAAATGTAATAATACTAGAATCTTAATTATAAAAATATATCAACTAAGATAACACAAACATGATCAACAATAATTATCTTTATATAAAATTTATACAATAATTAACTTTATATAAATCATGAAACTATAATATCGTAAACTAAGACTATCTTAAACTAAGAGATGATGTTTCATATAACGATATATTTCACTATAGATATACTTATACAGAAGAAATAAAGGCAGAAAAATGTTCAGTAACTTAAGAAGAGTCTTTGTATGATATACTGCTTTCAGTCTTTCAGTTTACTGGTTTTCAGTCTTTCTCGTTTACGTATGTGTAAAACTTCAAAATTGAGATTTGGAATATTATTACTATAAATTTTAAACTGACGATTCTATTATAATAAAAGTAAAAAACGATTCTATTATAATAAAAGTAACTAAGGTACAAACTATAACTTTAAGTTTCCGTATTACCATATTAATTTTTGAAAAATTTAAGTACTGTGTTTTCAATATTTTTTAAGATATGGCCAATCTACTATAGAAGTTGTATGGCAGTTACGAGGGTCATTATTTATATTTCGGGTCCTGGCAATACTAGTGCTGCCAGGTGCAATCTGACATTTTTTAGGACAACTTCACTCAGAACGTTTTGTCATTCGAGCGCGAATTGTTTTGTTTACAGTGACTTGAAAAATTCATATCGGTCAAAAAATGGAATTGTCCCGTGAAAATTTTCGTGCGATGATTTTTTACGATTTTCGGCGCGGATTATCGAGACAAGAGTGTCTCGATCAACTTGTTTCGACTTTTGGTGATGAAGCACCATCAAAAACCACTGTAAATCGCTGGTACCAAGAGTTTGGTTTCGGACGCCGTTCGCTCCAGGATGAATTTCGTGAAGGTCGGCCAATTTCGGTCGTTTTGCCGGAAACCATCGATGCTGTGCGCGAAATGATAATGATGGACCGGCATGTGACATACTGTGAGATTGAGGCATCCTTGGGCATTAGTTCCACCAGCGTACATAAGATATTGCATGAACATCTTGCCGTGAAAAAGGTGTGTTGTCGATGGATCCCAAAAAATTTGACGATTGCACAAAAGAAGGCTCGTGTCGATTGGAGCAAAGAAATGTTGAAAAAATTCAATCGCGGTGCGTCAAAAGACGTTTATAAGATAGTCACAGGTGATGAATCATGGATCTATGCATATGAGCCCGAAACGAAACAGCAATCGACCGTATGGGTGTTCCAAGACGAGCCAAATCCAACAAAAGTTGTTCGTGGAAGAAGCACATCGAAGCAAATGATCGCGTTTTTTTTGGTATAACCGGTCATGTGGCCACAGTACCTTTAGTGGAACGTAGGACGGTCAATTCTGAATGGTACACCACCATCTGTTTGCTGAAAGTTTTCGAAGAAATAAGGAAAACAAACAAGCGCCGGCGAATCATTCTTCATCATGACAATGCAAGCTCTCACAAATCAGCTGAAGCAATGAACTATTTGAGCACTCAAAATGTCGAATTGATGGGTCATCCGCCGTACAGTCCTGATTTAGCACCCAATGACTTCTTCTTATTCCCTTACATCAAAAAAAAAATGCGTGGACAACGATTTTCAACACCTGAAGAAGCAGTCGATGCGTTCAAAAACCATGTTTTGGAGGTGTCTCAATCGGAGTGGAAAAAGTGCTACGAAAATTGGTTTCAGCGCATGCAAAAGTGTATTGATCTTCATGGGGAATATCTTGAAAAACAATAAAACCATTTCCAATGATAAATGTTTGTTTTTTATTGCTAGACCCGAAATATAAATAGTGACCCCAGAAAAAGCGAAGCAATTTAAATAAATTGCTTCGCGGAGCCAAGAAATTTCAACGACTTTTATCAAACACATCGACCGTACTTATACGAACGGAGGGACAGACGGCCAGACAAAGCTAAATCGACTCAGAATTCAACGCTGATCGAAAGCATACACTTAAGTCTATATCTGAGACCATTATTTCTTAGCGTTACAAACGGTAAGGCAAATTAAGTATAATAAACAAAAATTTTTTCATTGCAAGTTTTAAATATAGCAATTAAATGAAAGCAACATTTATTTCAAAATTATTAACCAAATTTACTTACTACTAAGTTTACCCAATAAAAAATATTAAAAAAAAAGTATTTAATATATCTGAAAATTACTCCACTTTTTATAATCGTAAATATAACATCAAATTTGGAATTAAATCAAAAATGATGGAATTTCTAGAAACAAGAAATTTGTTTTATTTCAGATATTACTAATATGTAGTAAAAAAAATTCAAAAAAATTTTTTAAATTTCAAATGAGACTAATTGTGCGATATATCCAGGTAAAACAACATTTTACCTCATTAATCATTAAAAATATTATGAAAGATAAAATATAAAGTAACCCTTCGAATAATAATTCAAATGATCTTATCTAAAATTAATAATTGTTCTGGAAGAAAAAACAAATAAAATTTCCATAAAATCTCTTTCCTAAAAGAAAATATTTTATATGTATGTAAACCTAAAAGACATCTACCCAAAAAGTTGTAAAATAATTGTTGCCAAATTAGATTTTTTTTAAATCTTGTTATTATATTATTGGTTATATCTACCTTGCTGCTCTGATTGTACCTTTTAATAAACCTTGCTGAGGTTTATTGAAAGTCTGAAATTCTAGGTATAGTTAGTATCAAATGAGATATGTTAATGAATCAATAAATTGGATCAACCACATTTATTTTTCTTCAAGTGACGTTTTTTATTGATTGTACTACAATCGTTTTGTTTCCATTCCAAAACGTGTCTTCACCTATGTCTCTATGTCATGCTATCTGTTTTTCTCTTTTCTTTGTTTTCCTCCTTTATTCATTCCCGGTGGGAGCATAGGGCTTCAAGAAATCCTTGAAGAAGAATCTCACCCTGTTTCGGACTAGGCACTTTATTTCTGACTAGTACTTTTCATTTGATTCGTCCTCGTTGAGTGTGGATGAATTGGAACGCGTCCTCAATTTGCTTTCCGCCAAGTTAGAGAGGCTTATGTATGAGCTAAGAGGCAAATATCCTCTGCACGCTCAAGATCTTTCATCCTACTGGTGAATCCCCATTTGATATCGTTCGACGTCATATTAACTATTTTCATTACCTCATCCAGCACCAATATGAGGAGGAACGGTAGACTAATAGTCTAATAGTCGATAGCTGTGCTTTTTTTTTTAATTTTTGTAGCTGGTTAAAAAAAAATAAATAAATATTTTCATTAGTTTAAATTATAAAACAAAAAAAAAACAATTTATCGAGATCAACTGGTAATGCCTCGTTGTTTTTTCTAATTTGATAAATACTCAGATAAAAGTTAAATACATAATATGAAGTATAAATACTTTGTATACCGCGTTGTTATAACAATTAAATTCAAAATGTTGAGTTTGATTTTATCAAATTGGTAAAATTAAGATTTCAATTATACGCACAACTTTAAAATTCATTTAACAATTAAATTGAAACAAAATTTTCAAATATTGGGATATTTTCAAATAGAAAAATTATAGCACATTTTTGGGATTGAAGTGATTTTATAAAAACTTTAACTTCACTTAAAAACACAATTTTTTTTTTGTAAACCTGTTACAATCATGCAAGATATTTTAAGCAGGTTATACAAGAAGTTGTAAGAAATGAAAATGCAGTGTTTTTTCAAAAAACTGTTAATTTTGTAATGAAATATACTTTTGTAGCGAATGTGCTTTGTAAAACGCCCTATGTTGGGATGCATCTGGGAAATTCCTTTTGTAGAAAGACAGACCGGTTTTTTTCTTGCAATTAAGCATGTTTACATATACAAATTTGATATACTTATTGGTGTAACATTAACCAACGGTTCAAATAAAATACTTCTATTTGCACCCTCTTTTGGTACAAAAATATTTTTCGAAAATTAAGTCAATGAGATTTGAGGAAATTAAATTTAACTGATATGATTGTCCTTATCATCATGATATAGTAAAAACAAAATTTGTATAAAATTTTTAATGAGCGAAAAAACATAAACCATCAGAAAACATAATGAAAAGTAGTCTGCCATTGAATCAAAGGGATCAAATTCATTATCCTGTTCTCTATCTGTTTGGTAAATATATTTAATTAGGATAAATTTTTTTTTCTTTTTAATGCAAAGAGAGAAAAAAACGTGTATAAAGTGCATATGTTCGTATATTATTTTTATATATTAATCGTTTTCAGTAGTATTATGAGGTTTGAGTGGAAAAAAAACTAAATACTTCGCATAACCTTAGAGATTTCAGTTTAATAATAGACGTTAAAAAAATACTTGAAGGGTAAACTACTTTTTATTTTTCAACTTGTTAAATATTGCAACATTACTAAATGATAAATAAATAACTTAAATTTTTCTATAACGCTAAACAAATTATTTATTCGTCTATTTAACTTTAAAAAGTTTGTATTTGCATTTCTTATTAAGGAGCATTTATTTTTATATAATTAAACCGATTACTTGTAAACATTTAAACTAAATAAAATCATTATAATCTTTGTATTACACTATTATATGGAAACAAAGATTATTAACACTACCTTTCTGCTTTTAAGAACCAAAAAATTAAAAAAAATATTTCAATCTTCTAAATTTCGCATGTAATTTTCAACCGACAAGTATGAGAAACTCTTTGTTAAAATTGGTACTGCTATACATATATGTATAATAAAAGATTTTTGGGATTTTTGGAAAATATTCAAGAATTTACCGATACCGAATAAAAACAATGAAATTTTTATTATATTATCCTTCATTTCCTTTTCCTGTTTAGCACTTTTCCAAAAAAATTTAAAAAAAAAGTGCTCATTAGTTTCACTCTGTTCGTGGATATGTTAACACCCTTGAAAATAGGGAGCTGAAATTTCATATGTTCATAGATAAATACTAGAAATCTTTTTAAGTTGAAGAAAATTTTTACCTATTTCGCCTCTCTAAAAGTTATTGCCCCTTGAAGACCTAAAAATGCCATTTTCGACTACTCATTTTAAAGAAACATAAAAAATTTGTCTAATTTTGTTCATCCAGAGTTTTCGAATTTTTGATACCGTTTTCCTTCCAGACCGTAAATTGTTAAAGTCTGAAATTTTAGCAGCTTTTAGATACTGGTATTCAGTTTATTTCATTAGAAGAAAATTTTTTTCCACGTGCACCTCTTCTCAAGTTATCTGCTCTCGAAATTCAGAAAATTTTAATTTTTGACACTTTATATTTCCAAACTGCAAACTTTCCTAAATTTTTAATGTTCAAAAACCTAACGTTAAATGCCACGCCGTCAAAAAATGCAAGTAGTTTTCTTAAATATTTTAACCCCTAAATTCAAGTATTAAGTTAATGGCTTTTTTAATTTTGTTTTTACCTCATCCCAAATGTATACAATCTTTGAAATACTTCAATACATGAATGAAATTAACGTAAATAACGTAACAGCTAGATCATTTTTGGCTAAAATGTTAATAATGGAATTGTACTTCGGTGCTGTGAAAAGTGCTGCTTAACAAACTATTGCCCCACCCCAACTTTATTAATTATTTGTTACTTTTTTAATTCTATAAATAAAATTAATAAGATTAAAAAGTAAAACGTAATATTACGAAAAAGTAAAACGTAAAGACCGTTAGTAAATTCTATCAAAATGCACCTACGTTATTTCATATGTATGATAAGCTAAAGAGAAATAAAAGGAATATTAATATTCAAATTTTTTAAACGAAATTTCAAAATATAACTGTGTGTGTTTGTGTTTTATATCCTTAAAAATTATTTTCAATTATAATTACAGAAATAACTCGCGTGTATAAATTTATAGAGTAAATATTAAATAAAACATTACCTAATTTCTTTTTGTCTTTTACAGTTGTGCATCCGAAGCCGATTTAGGTTTTTCGCCATTTGCAACAACATCACCACCTGGTGGTCCACCAGGATTAACTGGTATATCATATTTAAAGTCAGCGCCTTATTTAATGACAGTCGATTCGTTACATTCAATGGGATATCCGGCTGCTGGTAATTTGAGATTTTATAATATAACTTATTATATTTTAATATTTGATAAAATGGAAAAACAAAAATTATTCTTAAAATAATAACAACACACACAGGACACGCATATACATATAAAGAAAATAAAAAACCTCTTCGTATGAATAATATAATTCCCACGCATTGCTTTTTCCAATTGGAAAATAATATGAAACGTTTAAAAAATACAAAGAACAAAAATAGGGAGAGTTGACCCCATCAACTCTGTGGCATCCATACGAATATTTTTTATAATTCTTGCTAATATTTTAATAGAAAATTAGCCCTGATATTAAACTTGTTTTAGCTTTTAAAATTTTTGAAGTTGTTAAGTAAATATATAGCAATAAGATGTGTAAGCACTTTTTAAAGAGCTTAAAAACTTTATACAGAAAACCCATTTATCAATACATTAAGACATTGAAACTTTTGCAGTTTCCAAATTATTGACAAACTATTTATGTCAAATTATAAGTATGTTAAATTTTTTTTTTAAGTATAAGTCACTTGTTACCTACACTTGCTGAGAAATTATTCCACAATTATTTTTTTTTGATTCCTCAAACACTCAATATTTTAAATATTTTCTTAACATTCCTGCTGCTTTCTCATCATTTAAAAAATTTTACAGTTATTTGGGTTACTACTCCATCAAGAAATCATTACAATCAAACACATTAAAGATTATTCTAGTTTAATAGAAATTTCCCTACAGTTCGTTCCCATAATGGACAGCACGTGTCTTAAGTATTAAAAGGATATAAAAAATGTAAACAAACTTTGTTAATGTAACAAATGAAAATTAAAACCGCTGTTTTATCAATTCTATTACACATTTGCACTTACAATTATTATTCAAAGAGCAAAAGTGTTAAAAGTGTGAAGAAATAAAAACAAAGGGGGGAAATGATTAAATTATTTTGTGAAATTTTGAAAGATAAATGAAATAAGAAGCATGAAATTTAAAAGCAAAAAAAAAGTGTTGGTATACCAATTTTGAAGGCTTATCATTGCCTATAATATTTATTAAGAATTTGAAGTCACAAAAATAATTTACCTAAGATCGATGCTAATATTATTACTGGGCTGAATATTAAGAATATGTATACTTATGTAGTTTTAAAGTGTACTTTAGACAAATTTTAAGTTTTTTGCAAAAAACGAGCTGGGAATTTATTATTCATAACACGTACAAGTATTTTTTCAATTCAATTTGTAATAATTATAGTATTTCTATTTACTCTGCTCTCCTTCGCACGCCTTCTCATTCTGTCTATTTATATATTTCAATAAAAAGGAGTTTTAAATAAAAAGAAGTTTCGAGTGGTTGAACATTTTATGTGGTAATTTCTTTAAAAAGAATTAAAAACAAAACCCTTTTTAAAAACTTATTAATTTTCTAAAATAAAAATCTTAGGTAAACCCAAAATGGAAATTCTCACCTTTGTACAAATAAAATAAAATTGAAAGATTTTAAGGACCATACATAATAAGAAAAATAACTCACATTTTTGTATTTCACCCTGTTAGTATCCAACTGAACAATTAAATGATTGAAAATGACTTGAAACGAAAAAAATATATAAATGTCATATACATATACACAATATCTTTGCGCCTGCATACCTTTTTTACGGCTCTATAATGCATGAAAAATTGTAACTTATTTTTTGCTGAAAGCAAATATTGCAGGGTGAAAACATTAACGTTAATCTTGAGCAAACAAGACCCAGAGGCACAATATTTAGGTTATAACTTTTTTTAAATTGATTTCTTCATTAAATTTTATTTTGCCCTCTTTTAATGATAAGACATCATCATTTCGTGTCAGCTAAAAAACATTTATTTACTATTTGTATGCCAGAGTACGTATAAGTACATATTATAAGTACATAAATTGGATATTGAGCAAAATAGTGAAAAAGTAAATTTATATTATGTATACATATGTACATATGTATGTAAATAGGTACAAGAGAATTGAATTCCATTTCTTACTTACGTGTTTACAATTCAATTTGCAAAACTGATTGTTTTTGTTTTTATCTGAGCCAGTGAGATTGAATAAAAAAATTGTTTTTCCTTCAGTCCTTCACTTTTCCTCCCTGATTATTTTTGCTTAAAAATTTTCCTGAAATTTTTATGTTTACTTTGGAAAAAAATTTTTTTGTTATTATAATGGCAAGTATTGAAATATAAGGAAGCGTAAATTTTAAACTTAGTGAAAATACGTAACGATTGGTTGAATTGGTTGGATATCTATATCGTATACATAATAAAAAAATTTGAATACACAAAAATTGACTTCGGGAAAGCAATAAAAAAATAATGTTTACGCTTTGATAAAACAAAGTTTGCTTGCAACAGATTCAACGCCTGAAGTGCCATAATTCTGATATACATACATACATAAATATATGTATATTATATTATTATATATACATATTGTATATAGATTATTATATATACATATTGTATATAGATATATAAAAAATCCTAAACTATAAATACATATGTATGTATATTTCCTAATTATTTCATCGAAAATAAAAAATACATATAGTATGTTAAATTAGAAATTAGTTTTGATTTAATTTTTTTTTACTTTTATAGCAAATCCAAGGAAACAAAGACGAGAACGAACAACATTTACAAGAGCACAGTTGGACGTATTAGAAGCTCTGTTTGGTAAAACACGATATCCTGATATATTTATGAGAGAAGAAGTTGCATTGAAAATTAATTTACCAGAATCTAGAGTTCAGGTAATTTGTATAAACAAAACCGCTGTCCATAATTCGTTAAGTTGATAACGAATTAACTTGCGCTGCTCTTCCTCCAGTTTCAAATCAGTAACAAATGGCTATGTACATGTTACGTGTTCAACAAACTAACGTTTTAGCTGAACATTTTTAAATAAAACTTTAATGTGTAATATGAGCACATACAATTCCAACATATAATGTTACTCTATTATTTTACGTTTTTATTATTTTGCAAAACAGTATGTTTTTCTTTGGAAGAAAAATAATGGTTGCTTCTGAGAAATTGAATAAAATTTCTGAGGCCGCCTTGTCTTTACGCTTTCTCTTAGAAATTTTTTAAATACAACTTTTTAACCCTTACATAATTGTAGCAATTAAACTGTTAATGTTGAAAAGCATCGGGATATTTGTAAAAGAAAATAAATGCAAAAAAAATAAAAAGCTCTACCATTCAAGTGTGAAATTTTATTAATTTAAAATACTTTTATTTTTGGAATAACGTTTTAAATTTTTTTTAATTTTAATTATTATACAATGAAAATAATATGAAATCGAAACTCAAAATGAATGCATAGTTTCATTTTCCATTCAAATATATACATACATATGTGTATGTAGGTATCTAATAAAATTTATGTATTTTAGGTATGGTTTAAAAATCGTCGCGCTAAATGTCGTCAAATACAGAAGCAACAACAGCAGCAGCAACATTCTAGTGCATCAATTTCAGCATCGCTACATCCCAATAGTAATAATAGTAGTAATAGTAATAATATTGGAAATGTTCATGAATCGAAAAATATAAATAATTCCAACACAAACAATGAAAATCAAGAATCACCCTCACAAATTGGTCGTTTAAGAGCTATTTCTACAACGAAACTAAAAAGTTTGCAAAAGCCAATATCAGCTTTAGTTAATAATAGTAATAGGTAATAAAAAATGGTTACAAATTTTAAAATCAGTTATGTATGTATGGATGTGTGTATACGTTTTTGAAAAATATTTTCAAGCTTCGCTCAAACTGTTGCTTCTCTAACCATAACCTACAAATTTAGTTAATTTCACAATTAAATTGTAAGATACGATATTTTTTTGGTTAAAAAAGTACCATCAATGTGGAACAGAATAAATCGGGCTCATTTTTCAAGCGAAATATTCATTGACTCATAGAAATAATTCTTTATCCACAATATAATTGCATACATTCATATGCAAATGGATGAATAAAAAATATTTAAATTTTTAAGGATTTCCTATTTTGTTTGATAAGTACATATTATACATATTTTTATACATATTTGTATACATATACGTATTATATATATATATACAACATACATATGCAAAATAAATATATATATATTTATATGCATCAGTGTACATACATAATAATATACAGGATTCGATGGTACTCCCGAAACAGTACGATTTAAAAACACCTAGTAACATTTTCGGGCTTAAGCCCTCCGCTTCAAGTTATAAGTTACACACTATATTTCCCAAGTTATCGGTAAAAATGTATACATTTAACACTTTTAAGAAATTCCAAAATTGGGGTTTCATAACTCAGGAACGAGAACGTGATAAAAACAAAGTGTTACTAGGTATTTCTGTTTGTCTGAACGCATTCTATCACCCTGCTTCGGTGATACTAACGCCTCTCAAACCCCCTGAATATACGTTCATATTATATCGTCATAAATAAATGAAAAACACAGTTTGTTATTTATTATGTATTGTATACATACATACATATATATATATATATATATATATATATATATATATATATATATATATGTATGTATATATACATTGTACATCTGTAGTGTCTACAAATTTAATGTTTGATGCGGTTTGTTCTAATGTAAAACTCCCATGTTTACTTTTTTATAACGTTTTCTTTTATAGTTCAGCATCAGCACCAAACACAACGAACTCAAGTTTCCTAAAAAATTCAAATTTAATTGCTGCAGGAAATGCACACCAGGTATGTAAAAATATAAGAATTCATTATTAAAAATAAAACAAAACGATGTGTATAACCTTTAGACGCGCTTGGTGAACTTATGTGCCTTTTGTAAGACTCCAAACTTATAAATGATAAGCTTATAAATGATGTTGCATAAGACATATAAAATATATATAAATTCGTAGATTTAAGTGTATTAATATATACTTAATAATATTAATAATTTATTAATAGTTATAAATGTTGTAAAAGCATAATAAAAACCATTTTACATTAGTTTTACATATACTTTCAGCTAAGGGCTCTTAAGCTTAAATAAATAATTAATATTGTAATACTGTCATCTATTGGGGAAAAGAAAAATATTGAATGTTTCGTTGAAAACGACTAGCAAAAATGCTTTTGCTGCAATTTTCATATGTACTTAGTACACTGAAGTTATATTGAATTTAGTTGAGGATGTGTATACAAACCGTTTTACATTTTAAAATCAATCATGGACGCAAACCTTTGAAATTTGCATGTACCCAATTTTCAAATCTTTTTCTTTCGAATGTACACGAAAATGTTATGAAATTTTTTTCGAAATTTCCATACCGGAAATGGGGATGGGCAGCACTACTAAAAGTGGAGATTCATCTTCAAAATTAAGGTTTTTTGTTCATATGTATTTTTGAAAATATTTTGTTCTCCCACTTTTGGCTAAAATCTCCTTGAAAGGAGAAAAGGCCCTCAGAAATAAACATTTCTTTTTCTCAAGTTTCTGAAATAACGGTTTTTTCTTGAAACTGCCGCTTTTATTAAATATTATTTTTTTATTTGTATACTTATATAAATAGAAATAGCTATGTGTATATGTATGTACATATTTTAATTGATTCCTTTATAAACAAAAAATATTTTCTTGAAAATAATTTATTTTTCTTAAATTTATAGGGCTCAGCAAATTATACAGGAAACTCAATATGGTCACCTGCATCAATTGAAAGCAGTTCATACCAAAATTATTCAGGTAAATCAATGTTATAACACAACTCCTTTTAATTGTGAAGAAATTTCCTTATTTTTAAGGTTATTATTCTAATATGGACTATATAGGTTCAACCGTTCAACAACAACTTGTACGTAAAATAATAAATATATTTAATTCTTTTAAAAACTACGTATGATTTTTTTTTATTTAAATTTGAAATTATCAAATCTTTCTCATAGGACAATGTGATAGAATCTGGATGGATGAAATCTCGTGAAGAAAACTGGTTCTATAATAGTCCAGCCAATTGGGATGCACATAGGCCAATGAAATAAAATTGGTTGAAAACTTTTATTAGACTATACTATATATGTAAATTCACACAAAAAACACACCAAACATACACATATCGTCTATGTATTCGTAATTTAAGAAAATATTTGTAATCGTTTTTTTATTGAAACATAATAATTTGGCATGAACACTATTAATTGATTAAATATATTCTTTTTTTGTTTTATTCTAAAGAGTCTTACTTTTACTCGATACTTTTTTAAATCAACAGATGTGTGCATAATCTGGCATTAAAAATACTCATTTTTTAGAAACAAATATTAAGAAACTAATGTTTCTGAGTTTTGTTTTATTTTTTTTTTTTTTGAGTTTTCTCCAAAAAAAAATAAAACAAAAGCTCCTCACGGATTTATAAATATACATGCCATCGATTCCCATGAAAAATAAGTTTTGTATGTATTATCTAATCTCCAGTCTAATAATTGCCAATGTTATAATTTAAACTGAATGAAACAAAAATATCTTATGATATCATTCTCAGTTAAAAGTTACCTCGCATTGCCTAATTGAAAAAATATTAATCTGTATTCCTCAATACCGAAATCAATAACCTATTGAAGAAATATTTAATTTAAAAGACAAATTAATCATAATTTTTGCTAAAACAAAAAATTGATAAACTAAATTTTTTGTTTAGCATTTTAAGACATAAATGTTCATATGTATGTATAATTATGAATAAAATTTAAATAATATAAAAAAAAATTATGTAAAATTTCAACAATAAAAAACAAAATATTAAAAAAACGAATTACGTTACAAAAATATTCTAAATTAATTCTAATTTATTTGGAATGCTTTATTTTTATTAAATAAATCAATTTTACGTGTTCCCTCAGTCTTTTCTTCCTTCTTATGCTGTAGCCACTCCTAAATCAGTTCTGGATTCGCTATTTATATCCTCAATATCAGTTTTACTTTTCTCTGCCATTAAACTATATTCATCGTCATCTTCTAAGATGTCATCATCAAATGAAGATAAGGAAATATCCATCTTACTTTTTGTTTCTTCAAGAAGTTTTTTGGTATATTTTTCACGAGCTTCTTTCAACCACGTTGTGTCAGACCAATGATACCAACTTAGTATAAAAACAATCAAAATAAAGAATAGATTGGTACTGATGCCTAAAACAAAAATAGAATTTATTGAAATTATATTTGCATTTTAATTTAAAAAAAAAAAAAAACAAAACTTTTAAGCAATACGAAATTTCTCAACGTTATGAAATAAATTAATAAATCTAAATGAAATTTTGGGATCTTACCGATCTACCAATGGTATGTCTTACGTAATGTTTTTTGTTCAATCAAACAATTTAATTTTAAAACTTGAATCTAATTTAGATATAGTAAAAACTGTAAAATAACAAAAAAATTAAATGAACAATCTACAAATTAGCCAATTTTGATTTCAATAAAAACTAAAACTATCATTTGTAAACTAGAAATATTTAAAATATTTCAGCGTTATAGCTACATAAAAAATTCAAGAGTTGAAAGAAAAGAAAGACAAGTAATTTCTATATGCATACCTACACAACTTTCCTACCATTTTTTAATGCAAAATTTTATAGTTCGTTAGCTTTAACTTCCTATTTTCCTTAAGTTATCTTAAAACTAAAGACTTTCACCTAATACTTTTAATTCTTAGATAACATTTATTGACTAATAAAATTACCAATATCGATAAAATTTTTGAACTTTGGATCTTCATGTTTCTTTTTTGTTATATATTTTTTACACGTATTTGTGCAAATATAAAACAAAATACTTACCCAGGGCAGCAGACAGTACAGGCCAATGAAACATTATATAGCGTAAACCAGTGAAATCAGCTGTAATGTGTAATGTTACTGAATAAAACTGTATTTTTTGGGATTGTATTTCAACATAGACATCTGTTACTGGATGCATTTGCTCTTCTTCATAGTTAGAAAATAATTCCACGGGTATATGCTGCAATTCTTCGTAAAAACCAAAAATTAAGAGCGGACTTAACACCCATGTACTTATTGCTCGCAACAAAGGTGATCTATATCTAAGCATTGCTGATCTACATGAATGACCACGTAATAGCGCTTTATTATCTCTCATATCAGCACAAACCATAAACATTCCTAAATCCTGATTTTGCGGTGATTCTGGCATATCAATATTAACAAGAATTTTATATGCTTGGCCAACCATTAACAGTTGTTGTTTTTTGGTTAGTGATACATGCGCTTGCGGAAATGAACAAATTCCAGCTGCATTTAAGCATGTCCTTTTTAAATAAAAATAAGTATACAGTAATACAAAAAAGCCATATATACAGGGTTTTTCGCATCAAGGGCAAATCATTTCAGGGGTGATTGAATTTTATATTGGTTTAATTTTGGATCTCATTGTACCGTTTCGAAAAACCAAAAAAATTACACAAATTTTGCAGAAATTTCGAATTTTTAAAAAAAAATATCGAAAAACAAAAATTCTGAATCTAACCAGCTTTATCTGGAAAGCTATAACTCAAATCAAATAGATCTCATGATCGAAAAAATCGAAAAACAAAAATTCTGAATTTGACCAGCTTTATCTCGAAAGCTATAACTCAAATCAGGTTGATTTCAAAACCGAATATCAACCAGTCGCCCGTGAAACCCGACCCGATTTTTACTCCACACCGTATGATTCTGAAGTTATAAGCGTTTATTTACATGCAGCAAAAATTTGATACCATTTTTTCAATAGGCTGTAACTCGAAAACAAGTATATACGAACCTCCAACAACACAATTTTTTCCTAGAAATTGATCAAAGAATCATCCTTGAAATTATCTGCCACCTTATGTGAATATATACATATCTATATAAGATCTTTTATATTATATGTAAGTATTTACTTGAACTGCATATGCACCGGACGTGTATGCGCAATTGTGGGAATGTATAGATAGTAAAAGGCAACATACATAAAAACAGCACTCCATATGATTATAGCAACTGCAAAACTTACTATCCCGAATCGAAGTATTAAATCCCTAACAGTAACAACTTTATCCTTTGTTTTATTTCGATAATGGTCGTACATCTGAAAATTACATTTAATACACATTATATACATACTTAATTATAAAAGTTTTGAATTGAAAAATTCATTGACAAACCGAAAAAGTAAATTCACGCAATGGCTTGAAAAAATTAGCTCGAATAACACCGAAAGGATCAAGGATATTTATTATAAAATTTATTAATCCCATTTTTATGTTTTTTCTTTTTCTATTATTTTTTTCACATTCCTAAATCACGTTAATAAAATGAAATTTAACTGTGCTATTAGTTCTACTCTTTTAAATAAGAATAAAGTTTTATGTTATCTTTTTATCGACAAAAAGTTCAAATGTCCAATTTTTTTTATTCGATTCTCAAAACACTTTTCTGACATCAATTTGACACTATGAAAAATTTGACATATTCAAGCGAAAAAGATAGAAAATGCAAGCAATGCCGTTCACATATTCGACAACATCTAAAATTAAACCATAGATGTAATAGTACATGCATAGCCGGCAAATAATAATTTTTGAAGCCAACTTTAATATGTTACTTTTTTGTTTTTATTTCTTACAACATAAAAAGTGTTGTCAAAAACTGTTTGAAAACATGGTTAAGAAATATGAATATAGTTAGAAATTTACATGAGTTCTTTTTTCAATAAAAAATTTATAATTTTTTAACATAGCTACTTTTATATTTTTACTTTACATATGTACGTAATTATTTCTTAAAAATGGAAATAAATTATGTGTCCTTAATATTTCTGTATATTATTGCTCATGTGTATTACATTAAATTATTGACCGGAAAACAAAATAGTTTTTGTTAGATGTTGACGAATATTTTCTTTTATTAACTCTAGTGTTAGTGCTGTTTTTTTCGAATTTAAAAAAAAAAAACTCGAAATAAAAAACAAAAATTCTGAATTTGACGAGCATTATCTCGAAAACTATGACTCAAATTGTATGAACGAAAACAAAGAGCAATCTGTACTCTAGCATTTTCTAAGCTTAATAATACAATGTATTACAGCATTTTATAAGCTTTCCATGTTTTGAAAACCTATAAGAACTCAATCGTATAGTCTGATGTTCATTTATTCTTGTTTTTGAATATTTTAAAAATATTTGTATACTGAGTCTATTAGTAGGTAAAGTTTTAAAAGGCGAACTTAAATATGGTTGCAACAATGGACAACTTTAAAGACATTTAAAGCAAAATATTTGAACTGCAAAAAGTGTAACACAGTATTTTAAAAATCTTTTTATAGTTTTTAAATTTATATTTACAATTTAAAAACATATGTATATAATATATATATACTGCTTAAATAAATATTAAAAAATAAAATTTAATTTTTATTAATAATTTTTTATAAAAGTTTTCTTTGTAATAAATTTAAATATTTTTAATTTTTATGAAAACGAAAATTTAAATAATAACTTAAAATAACTTATAATTTGGTTGCATTGAACGTGAATAATGTGTTGTTATGGTAATGCTAAAATTTGCTAAAATATACAATTTGACATTGTCAATTTGACATTGTCAATTTGACAAAAAGGTGTATGTCCACGTTATACGTGGACATACGTTATGTTGGCTTAATTTTTTATCGAGAAATATATGAGCGCTGGCTACTTATGTATTATTTGATGCATGATTAAACCTATGCCAAATTCTATTAACTGTTCACATATTAGATTGAAATTGTCTGATGGAGCTCAAACTTTTAGTAATTTAAAATTTGTGCATTTGCATCAAAATTATAACTAAAACAAAAACCGATTGTTGTTCAAAACTTCCACAAAATATTAACTTTCGTTATTTTACTTTTGAAAAATCTGGCAGTATACTCTATATGACGAAAATAGAGTAATTTCTACAATTTGCCGTTAAACAAAGTCTAACATACAACTTTCTTCAGACTCAGATTAAATCTTAGATTTTGTCGTATAACTAAACAATCGATTAGATTTTGTAATGTATACCAGGCTTCATGTTTTTTTTTTGAAGTGAATAAAAATTATACTGTGTTTATACATAAACACAGCTTTTGAAGCCAACATCAAGCTCATACAAACGCCAAAATAGGGCCGAATATTTTTTGTTGTACTTTCATCACATACACAATTTTAAATGCCTTTTCAAAAAAGTCTTCCCCGGAATCAGCGTGTAGTCAATTCTGATATAAGTAGTCAATTCTGATTTTTACAACATTATCATGCGAAAATAATTTTTTGAATTGCCGCTATAAAAACAAATACAACAAACTGTTTGTTGACTCAAGTTTACGAGTATTTCACTTTATTATGTAGGATTTCTTTTTATGTAGAAAATCATCTGATGGAATAAAAAATCAGGTGATTTTCAAGATTTAAAATTAAACTAAATTAATTATTGTTAGTTAGTGTTTCGGAAAAACTTAGCTTAAATACATACATATATACGCTAAAAAATTAAGATGATCCTTCCAAACATTTAAGTTATCTTTTTTAAATTATTTCAGATCTTCTCTTTCATACAACATTGTATAGCACGATTCTGTAAATTACCAAGCAAAATTTGGAGTTAAACATTTAAATATTTTTGTTTTGATGGTTTTTCAATTTAAGAACTGAAACGGAAAAATATCGATACAAAAGAATCGATACTAAAAGTTATTGATTTCTAACAAAAAAGTAATGAGCATTATTTTGTATTTATTTAGAACGAATCAAACTTTTCTGCCGATTGTGGTGTTAACGCATTTAATACAACGGAATATTGAACGTTAAATATTTAATGTACTATATAAAATATTTTTACATTAAGTTTAAATAAAAATGTAATTCTTTGCAGGTATTGCATAGTTTAAAATCTAATTATGTATTTAAATGTTTCATTCTTCTTATAGTAATATATGTATGCACAATAATATTTGTACTTGAAAATTTTTGACATTTTCAAATTATAAGTGAGTATGTGTGTATGTGACAAAATATTCCCATTTATAAAATTATAATAAACTGAAATTCATTCAAAAATGATTCAATTGCTTTATTTTTGTCGAATAAAATGAGGTATTTCTAATGGTTTTTTGTAATATAGTTTTCTTTCACTCTATGTAATTTATTCTTCGCCCTTTTCAAAATATTTTCATTTATATTTTTGCATTTAAGCTGATCTTTTTTTATGTTTCATTTTAAATTTTATAGAACACTTACTTATATATGTAACAATAATATAATTTTGTAACCGATTCCATAGTTCCAACCAGTTTTTTCCTTTTTTACTTTTATTGTTTTTCATAAATATAATGGAACTGGAAATGGACATGGATATGGTAGATTGGTGAGCTGCTAGTTAATAATAATTCCTCTTTTCTCTTTAAATTTAATTTTTGTCTTTTGGTTTTAATTCGCTGTGAGAGATTGAGACGGGTAGTTTGGATTACGTTTGCCATCCGTTTATTTCAACATTTATAATAAAATTAATTTTTGAATTGAATAATTACATTATTTTTAAAATAATTTATAGTTTTATGAATATTATTAAAATATTTAGTTAAAATGATTTCTAAACGATTTTCAATATTAATTTTAAATTCGGGTTAAAATAAATCGTGAATATTTAAAATAAATTAGAGGAAAAATTAATGTAAAAGAAACCTGTAAAAAGCGCAACCATCTTGATTTTAAATTTTTTTCGATTTGGTTTTTTTTTCTGCGCGAATTGCTTAAAGATTTACTGTGAGTGAATTTGTAAAAAGATGAAATAAAAAATAAAAATATTAAAAAATTTATAATTCAGTGGTGGACACTGAAATTATACATATTTGTTTTAAAAGTTTTATTAATTTTAAAGTTTGATTCAAGTTGATTTATATATATGTATCTACATAGATAATTTATTTACATCAAGTTGTAAATTTATTTTATAGTTACTTGCATTTAAAGTAAAAGGAAAAAAGAATAATTCAATGGTGGCTAAATGTGATAACTAAAAAAGATATTGTATCTATTAAACCTTTTTTTTTAAATATAAAGCAATTTGGATTACGATGCATTTAAGCTGCAGTGCTATATCAGATAACTTATGGATAAAATTTTTAGTGTTTTCTTATTGTATTGGATTAACTTTAACCAAAGCTGAAGGTTTGTCTCAAAAATAAAATTTTATAATTAATTTATTATTATCCATTTTATATGATTGTAAGATTTAAATAAAAATTGAGCGTTTACAAATTTATCTAAATTTTTCATTTTACAATTTTCATCTTGGTTTTTTAAAACGAACATATTCTATTAATATAATGATAGTTAATGTGCAATTTAAAGAGATTTGGGGCATATTTTTATAATGCATTCTCATTTGCTAAACAGAGACAAAAACATTTTCATAAAAATTATGTTATTTTAGAGAATGCAGTTCAGGGGAAAATAAAATATTAAAAGAGATCATTCGATAACATTTAGATATGTACAGTACTACAGTACATACATATGTAATGTACATGCAAAAATATTTCTGTTTCATTTCATAAAGTAAAACGAGTACTCAGTAAACATATCCATATGTACATGTTTTAAGATTCTTTTATGGACATTGTATATACCACTTTTACCATACTCTGTACCATATGTAACTCGTGTATATAATGTGAGTGAATGTAGGTAGCTCTGGCATTGTATTAAACCATTTATATTAGAGAAAAGATTACTTATTATTACTTAGTATACTCAGTATACGTTCCTTAAAATTGAAATGTCCAAATACACTTTTTTCTAAACATATACATATTAATTTTTTATTTTTTAATCTTTTCAATTTGTTCGAAACGGTAAAGTGAGTATATGGTAATGTATATACATATATACATATCTATTCAGTAAAGATTAAAAGCATATCAGGATATTTGTGTTGTTATTAAAAATTTAATAATTGTTAATGAAGGAGTGTATTGTAGGTAATAAAAGTATTTTAAAACGAACTTTTTTTAAACTCTAGTAAACATATGTATGTATTTGGTTTTTATATTGTTCTATGTCACTTAAACATAAAAATTAATGTCATAAAAATATTGGCAAAAAGTGTAGATAGATACTATCTTCAGTATTTCTTCAATTAATTTAATTATTAATTCAATTAAAGAGTTAAAAAAAAACAAATATTTATTATAAATTGCTTTAAACGCTGTTCATTTCATACATATTCCGCTTAATGTCAGTGGCTCTTTCCAGGTAACATTAGAAAAAAAATTTACAGGAATTTTTGTTTTTTTTTATATGTATGTTAAATATATAAGCGAAACGGTTGGAAACGCAACACACTTTTTTCTTAATGATTTTGTATTTGAAAATTCGAATGTACATTTGGAAATACATTCATACATAATAATATGTTTCTATATGTAAATGTACTTGTTTACTCATTAAAAAAGAAATTAAACAGAAATTAATATACCTATTTTAAAATCCAATATATTTAATTTCGATATATTATAAGTACTGACATGTGCATTTTATTTTGCTGACAAATTTAGAGAATCAAAAAAGTTTTCGTACACATCTCAATTTTTCAATCTTATGATCTTTTTTAGTAAGGGATTTTAGATTTAGTTTTTTAGTTATTAGAGGAAAATATTCACAACAAGTAACATTCCAATTTCAATATTTGATACTTCCATGATCAAAATAAATTTTGAACTACAAAAATTTTAATCAAAAAAGTTTTCGTACTGTTTCATTGGTATAGAAAAATAGTAGAAATTTTGCTTCTTTCAATTACTTTGCGATATTTTTTTAATTAAATAGGTTTCAAGGTAATTCTTGAAATTATTTCAAAAATTTAGTGTTTCTGACCTTTCAACAAGGATAAATAATAGATTAATTTGAAAATATGTCTGGAGTGTGTTTCGAAATATAAAAACTATCCTAAAATTATACTTAAATAAAAAATCCCTACGTGAAATTGCAGCATCTATGGAAAAAAGCCATTCCGCGGTGCAATATATTATTAAAAATTACGGAATATGAATCTATCTATCCGACATTTGAATGCGAATTGTCTACTTTTTGTGTCTTTCATTTTGCGGGAACTTTTCTATTACGCATCGGATAGTTTTTACCGAGCGCATTGCATACAATAAGTAAAGTTATGTGATTGTATTAAATTTCACATATTGAATTTTCGACAGCTACTTATATGCATTTCTCCATGCTAGGGAAGCGTAACTAAACTATTTTTATGTGTATCGGTCTGTCTGCGACGTTTGCCTGTGCAGATTAGTATCTCAAGTTCGGCTGAACCGATTTTGTTGAAATTTTATTTAATTTTTAGAAAGATGTCAGTGGGTAAGTTTATTTGTATGTCTGACTGTCGGTCTATCTGTCTGTCTGCCTGGGTTTGATGAAATATTATATAAGTTTCCTTTTAGATTTTGGGATTCTAAACTTTTAGGGTTTATTAGAACTAGGGAACTGGAATTTTACGGGCCAACGGTTTACGGAACAACGATATTACATTGATTATATTTGAGAAAATACTCTTCAGCCGATTAACCTTAAATTTTATATATAAGGTTGATAGTACAAAAAACCTCTTAGCTTTTGGAAGAAATCCGGTGTCACCAGCTGGACTTTTACTGCGGGTCAAAGTTACATTTTTGCGCATATAAAGAGAAATAATCAACTAATTTCTTGAAATTTGCGTTTTGTTTGGTACCGGAAGTAACTGATGAACTTTTCAGAAAATTCGAATGGCATTAAGTGTACCTCTAATTAGTTTTTACCAGATATGTCAAATAAAAGCTTACTATCGTCTTTAAAATTTGAATGAAGTGTTTAAAAGGCATTTTCATATTTTTGTGCAACATTTTTGTTAAACTAGACTTCCAGCAGATTTAATCTAATGCCAGACTTTGATTATATACATATAAATTATATTTTCATCGCATTCAGATGTAATGCAAGATTATTCCCGATGTATAATAAATGATTGTTTTTGTACATACTTATAAGACAAAATCTAAAATAAAATCGACCATAAAGTTTGAAAAAATAACAAAAATTTGCCACAAATTTGGAGATTTTTGAAAAAAAAATTATGATTTCTTTTTACTTTCGGTCAGAAAGCAAAGAGCACAGCCGGCTCAGACCCTGTTGTTTTTTTTTTCCTTCTCCACGGGGACCGATGCCCTTAGGCCCCCCTCATGTCGACCCATAGGATCTTTTGTGATTCCCATCCCCCCTACATCATCTCTATTTCTAGGCCCCTGGCAAACCTCAGTATGGCAGGTACATAAAGCTGCGAGATATTTTCCGGGGTCACAAAGCCCTCCCCGAAGCATCTCAGTCGCAGACGAGGAACCGCCTCGCACTCACACAGTAAGTGCTCCATGGTTTCGTCCTCCTCCAGTCATAAACGGCAGACCTCATCCGCCATCCTGCCCATCCTTTTCAGATGGACCCTCGAGAGGCAGTGTCCAGTGAGCACCCCCACTAATGTCCTCAAATTTGGACGATTGAGCATGGTGACCCTATTGTTACTTTATGTCGCATGTTGCCTAAGAAGTAAGCATTTATTTATATGCAGAAAAAATCTGGTACCTTTTTTTTTCAACAGTCATTTTCCCTTTGCCCTTTAAAATCATTTTTAGACTGCTTAAACCGAAATAATTATTCGATGTACCCTCGTACTCGAACAAAAGTTTGCTGTCCAATCAAAAATTCCTATATAACTGGTTAGAATATAAACTATATTTAATTAAAATTAGAAATTGTATTTGTATAAGACAAAAATGTTCTTAAAAATTAATATTTTCCTTGAGTATCACATTGCAGAAGTACGTTTTTATGCTAATTTTAGAGTTCCACATAGTGTACCGAAGCTCGCTTGTATCAAACGTTTAAAATTGTAAGAATGCAAACGTTACTCTTAAAAATTTTTGGCTGCTGTTCTTTTAAAATATAAAAGTCGTAAAGGTTAACTTTTGACTAAGACTTAAAGTTGGTATAAAAACTGTTTTATTACAACATGAAATCCAAAGATTTATGCAAAAATTTATACAAGTAGGCACTTTTTTGTGTAAATACTTTTTCTATATTTATATTTTAAACTTTGTATAAATGCTTTTATTAACCAATTTAATATATGTTAGAATCAATCTAAAGTGATTATAATTTACAAATCAATAAGAGCAAATCGTTTTTATTTATCGTTTTTTTTTTTCTAAAGAGAACACATAAAATTTATTATTTCTCCTCTTAGCTTATGTCATAATGCATTTGTAATCAGTTAGAATTTATGAAGCCAAATTGAAGGTAATGCTACAATAAAACAAAAAAAATTCAAAATGAACATGTTTAAAACAAATCTAACCAATTATAATTAACAATGTGTTTGCATAATGTTTATTATTATTTAGAAAAAAAAGGAAGAAAACTATTGTGGTATTGTAGTTTTCTCTCAATCCTATTTCTCTCATAAACTTTGTGGCGAAAATAAATGCGAGTTTACAAAACAAGTAACAACGCAGCAAACGTTGAAGATAAATTTCGTAGAAATGAGACACATCATGTTATAAATGAAAAGAAAGATAAAAAAGTGTTATATAAATATAGTATTAAAAATGTCTATATATGTATACCCATATAAAAAAGATGTAAAAATAGGTATAGGTAAAGTTTTAACGAAATAGAAATTGTTGGATTTCGTGCTTTTTTTTCGTTTGGATATGAATATATAACTCATACATATAAATTTTGTTTTACACACAGAAGCAAATGCAAGAGTGTGAAGGTGCATTTTACAAAAAAATGTTCGAGTGTATATGGGTGAACTTATTGAATTACAATTATATGAATTTGCATACATGAACATTGAATTCGTCACCTTATACAACGTATGTACATAAGTGACATAAAATTTAAGATATTATGAAAGCAAGAAATTGAGAATCATTCAGAATACCACAGGCATCTTTATACTATATAGGAGTCTATGAAAATACTCACTTAAATGTATGAATGTTTGTTCATAAATATGTATGCAGACATCAGTTTATACACAGTCATCTTTGCATATACAGTGCATTATAGGAGTTTATGGTTTATACATATGTCATCACATTAGATTAATACAAATTATAAAAATGAAAATATGAGGTAAATACTTCAATATTTCAAACCTTTATATGTACATGGAAATGTAAATTGCAATTTGTTTAAATAATATTTAGAGTTTTAAATAAAATTAATGCAAATAACATTAAATTATATGTATATATATGTATGTACTTATTTATGCACACTTTCGGCATTTGCGCAAACACAAGAAGTAAGATTGGGTTAGATTGGCTGTTTCATTTATTAAATGAGTTTTTGTCAATTACTCAAAATGGAGTACTCTTAAAGTAAAAGGAGTACAGACTTTTGAAACAAAAAAATACGCTTAAGGAATATAAATAACAAGAAACAAGAATTATTTTGGTAATGCGCAAATCATTTTACTTTCTACCCAGAAATAGCAAAAAAAATACAAACAGAAGCGAGAAAAATGTCATATCAGCAAAATATACACGTAGTTATTATAATTACTTAAAAATAACAACAAAAAATAAGCACCAGAAAACAACAAAAAATTTTATAAATTTCAGTTCAATTTATTAAACACAATGAATACTTTTTTGAGATCTTTGGAGTTGTCTTTTAGCATTGAGACGTTTGTTCACTGAAATTTTTGAAAATCGATTTTGGGAGGTCCCAGATCATAAAACAGGCTTTGGGGGACTTGAAAAGAAAGTTACTGAATAAAAAGTTACAGTCATTCAGCCCAATCATCTTTTAGAAGGTCTTATAAAACTTAACAATTTTTTTTTAAAAACATGGTTAAACTATCAATTACGTATGCTGTTCCAAGTTAATTTCCAGGTCCCCAATTACCTCCGGGGCTAGAGAAATGAACTTCTTTACCACATTCTAATCAAGGAACAAACAAAAAATTTCAGTTTAAGGTAATTGAAAAGCAACGAACTTTTTAAAGTAAGAAATAAAATTGCTTTATGTTGTGAAACGGAAAAACAGGGTGAAACATGTGTATACGACAGCTTTGCTTTAGACTTTAGATAATTAAAGTAAAAGAACCTAAATTGCACGAAATTCCGTTTTTTTTATGTATTAGTAGAAAAATATTAAAATTTCAAATACCATGTACGTTGTGTACACACATTTGTATGAAAATTTACATATTATAGATAAAGCTATGATCATAATAAGAAAAACATCTAATAAATTATAAAAATATATTTTTGTAAGAAAAATTTTTGAATAGAAGTCGAGTAAATATATACATAGATATGTGCATACATATGTACATCATGTGTACTCGTATGTATGTTTGTTTTTTTTTAATTTAAATGTGTAATACAATTTTTAACGAAAATAAACAATTAAAAATATTGCAACAACGTTTTAAATATGAAAATAACGTTTGTCTTAATTTTTAAACTTGGACTAAAAATGCAAATTCTTATTTGATACAATGGTACAAATTTATATTCCACTTTTTATTAGGCATCTTGGTTAAAAAAATTATTTGTTAAAGTAAGAGTTTACTTTTGTTTTGGGTTTTGATAACCAACAAAAAAGTATCCTTATAGAAATGTAAATATTTTTCAAAAATAAAAGGAAGCATAATCATGTTAAATAATTAATTTTTATTTCGATCTACAAAAAATATTGCACTATTATTGCATACATTCTAGTCCGGCCGACTTTATAGATGAGTTGTACAAACATTATTCAATTTTTGTTTCCGAGTAAGTGTATATGCGTTACACTATTTTTATTTCGATACAGGACCAGTTTTTAGTCTTTCTTTTAGTATAAGTTGACACACTTTAGTATAAGTTGACTGTCAGGAAAATTGAAATTAGAAAATAAGATATTTATGAATTGTTTCTGAACTTTGATTTATGTTTGTTACAATATTGGTTTATCTAATTAATATACATACATACATATATATGTATGTATAATTAGCACAAGTATTACAGATTTGTTTTTTATTTCAGGAGGATTCATATCATGTTCCCCTTCACCGTGTAAAAACGGAGGAAAATGCATTCAAAATATTTCCAAAGATGGTTTATCATATTGCAAGTAAGTTTTCTTAAAAATTTCAAAATATAAAAGTAAAACTAAATTTAAAATAAGCAAATTAATGAAGTTATTTTGATTCTTGAACAATGTCATTGTTTTCGAGTTCGCCTAAGTGGTATTATGGTTCCCTCATAAAATTATTTCGAGAGAAATGTCAAAACTATGCGAATAAAAATTGTATGTTGCTTGAACAATTTTCAAAACCTTGTTCTCATTTTCAGTCGATAATTTTTATTATTTTATGACTTTCTGGTAGAGTAATAAAATAAATTTTAATTTTTAAATATGTTTAATGAAGTAAATGTAATTAAAGAGAAAACTTTTTTAATAAATAATATAATGTAGCATATACGAGTATTGGATGTAATAAAAATATTTGTTTTTTTTTTTATGGAAAAACAGAAGTAGCGTTAGTATATATGTATGTACATAATACTAATTCATAAATTTTTAATAAAAAAAAACAATTCGAAATGGTAGCTCTTGGTAGAGTAAAGTTCGGACTCAACAAAAGTATATTGAAGGAAATGTGAGCGAATTTTGCTGTGGTGTTAAACGCTTTGGGACCTCCAATAAAAAATTAATTATACTGACTCAGTTTCCGGTAACTCCAGTAGATTTGATTGATCCCTTATACATTTTCGTGTTCTTCCAATATTTATATTTTCCTCGTCTTCGCTACTATTACTGGTGTACTCATCACAATGGAATAAATTGGCACTCGATGAAAATATATTTTCATTTATATCATAAAGTAAAAATGTTAGGATAACAATTAAACATAAAATTTTTATAAAAATGTTTTGATTTTTATAACCCACATTATTCTTTTTTTTCAATAACTTCATATATAATTTTTTTCAAATCTCGATAGAGATAGTACGAACATGTACTCGAAGTAAGTCATTCGCTTCGAGTACATGCTCGTTTCTTGAACCATAATGAGCCTTTAAATAAAAAAAATATTAAAAAAAAAGTTTTGAAATATCAATTATTATTCTTAATTCATGATTAAAATACTAGTAAGATTGTTGACTAAAGTATCAGATCTCTGAAGAACTTATTTTATGATTTATTCTAACATGGTAACAATTTCGGTTATTAAGTATTAAGTAAATAAAACAGGAAGAACTATTATTATGAATGAAACACTAAATAAAACAGGAATAACACTAGTGGCTTTTGTTTAAGAAATATTGTGCAACCAAAGTCAAAACATATGTAATTATTAACATTTTTGCTTAAAAAATCAGAGTATAAATAGAAAATGTCGAAACGTGGCTTCTGTGAATACCACAAATTTTTTGTTTAAATATTAAAAGATATTAACCATTGTGTCACATTCTTCTTTATTTGATATTTTAATTTCGGACCCTTTATATTTTCGGAATGACAAGCATTAAACGCAATTTTAATTTTTTTTATTACTTTATTTCTTCATAATCTTACAAGAATTTTTCCAAAATCTTTAATGCTTGTTATTGCGAAAGCACAATTTTTGCGCAATTAAGTAATTTTTTATCTTAAAGAATTGAATTAATTTTTTCAAAAAAAAATACTTGTTAAGGGGCTCATATCTTTTTTAGATCGGATAATAAGAGTAAAAACTCTACCCAATTTTCTCAACGTGGTTTTAATGCCATTAAAAAAATGCATATGTTAAAGCACTTACTGATTCATCTTGTATATGGATATATAATTTAACGAAACTTGGAAAAATTTGAGCAAACTGTTATATTTAATAATAAATTTGTTGTAGTAAATAATAGTTTAAAAGCACTTTATTTTCGTTATAACTCTCAAACCCGAACAAGGGAAAGATTAAGAGATTAATATAGCCGATTAAAGCTATGTTAAGCTACAAGGTTTTTAAATAAGTTAAAATTGAAGAAAGCTCCATCTGAAAATTAATATTTATAAACATTGTTTTAAATTACTGTTGTTGAAATTGTACAAGTATTTAAATAAAAGTTATAACTAACAGTAAATGAAGCAATTTTTCATACTTTTATTGTAGTTTTTTATGATGTAGCAATGTTGCTTTGAAAACTCATTTAATGTTGCTTCAGTTTTATATAATCTGAAAATGTAACAAAACTTTGAGGTCGTTCAAAAATATTAGAAATTATTACTACATCAAGAATGTATAATATGAATGTTGCTTTGCGTTTAATTTTTTGTTGCTTGAATATAGTATAAAAATATAAATTCATAAAATTTTGCCTCTTAACAAAAAATAAACTATTTACATACCACGTACAATTTCAAAAGGAAATAATAGCAAATGATTTGAGAAATAAGAGCATGAAGTTCTAATGTTTTTTCAGAGTTATGATATTGATATTGATAGAATTATGTATAAGTAAACCTATACAATTCTTTAATAAAAAATTTATAATGTGCGAAATGAGAAATCTTTTTGAACATCTGTTGCCTTTGAATATAATGAATAAGAGAGGAAAAAATTATCAACGTTGCAACTGTCGATGTTTATTTTTATACATATGCATGCATACAAATCTATATAAAAAAGGTATGCTTATAGATTGTATACACATAGTTCAACATGATATAAACGAACAATATGTTGCTTTAAATTTGAATGTGTGGGTAATTGTGTATGTATGTATGTATTATGTATGTATGTATATATACGAGTCGTTGCAACAAAAAAAGGCCGTCAAGGCCTATTTTTTGTTGTTGTCTTCTATATTTCGTTGCAATTTTGTCATTGCATGCCATAAGAAAATTCTTTGCATTTGTAACAAAAACCCATGTAAGCCTTTATGAGGCCTTTAAGTTGTGTCAGTTTCTCTCAGTCTAGGTTCGCCTGGTTTATATGCATATAAAGGGTGTTTCGCATGAGGTGGCAAATTGTTTCAGTGATGATTCTTTTTTCAATTTCTTACAAAAATTTATGGTGGCGGATGGGGGGATACATTCGTTTTCGAGTTACATCCTGTTGAAGAAAAAGGCGCCGGATTTTTTCTGCATAAGTATAAATAAACGCTTATATCTTCGCAACCATACAACATAGAATTATCATTGGGAAATTGTTTTACAGACGATTAATTATTCTTTATTTTTGGTCTTACAATTAATTTTATTTGAGCCATAGTTTTCAAAATACAGCTCGTCAAAATCTGAATTTTGTTTTTTTTTTAAACTCTAAATTTCTCGAAAATTTTTATTATTATTATCTTAAATATGTATATGTGTTTAGGTATATTGTTTATAAGTAATGACAGTTAGTTTTACCGACCGCATCGCATACGATAAGTAGAATGTTGGCACCAAACTTAAAATGGGGAGTTCAGAACAGAAATTATTTCCCCGTTAGCGAAAATTAAATTAACTTTTCTGAACTTAATTATGGTTGAATCGATTTTACACAACACAAATATTAGAAATTAAGTAAAGTCTGGTAACTGACTGGAAGGTTAATAGATTTCTTCAAATAAGCATTTAAAGGATATTTTCACCTTTTTAATAGAACTTTTGTTATACATACTGATAAGAAAAAATTAATTACAAATTTCAATTATATTGCCATAACGACAACAGATTTTTTTTGTTTTATTAATATGCTTTTATGTTGTAATTTACATAAAAGAATTATACAGGATGATTCATTGATCAATTTCCAGGCAAAAATTGTATTGGGCGGGGGGTGCAGATATACTCGAGCTACAGCCTGTTAATAAAAAAGAAGCCAGGCTTTTCCTGTATATAAATAAATACTTATAACTTCCGAACCATACAACATAGAGTTATCACTATAGGAGCTTGTTTTATAGTCGATTGATTGTTCTTTATTTTTGGTCCAATAATTAATTTGATTTGAGCCATAGTTTTCGACATACAGCTCGTCAAAGTTAGAATTTTTGCTTTTTTTTTTTGAAATTGTTTTTACAAAACTCGAAATTTTTTGAAAATTTTTGTCATATAGGTAAACATAATAGGGAAAAATAAAAAAATTTCATTCTCATTATTAGCGTAGGTTAAAATATGATATTTGTTTAAATTAAAAATTCTACTAGCCATATTTTGTTACCTGGCAACATCAACATGACGAGTATAAACATTTTTCTGCAATCCATTTTATACATCTGTTTCTGGTTTAGCTTCAATATTTTAAAATATTCTGTTACTTTCGTTTTCTGAAAAGGGTTTTAAATACAAATGCTTAATCAGCAAAGCATCTCAAAAATACTTTGTATTGCAACGGAATTGGTAGCATTTTTCGTTTCTTGATTTTGGAACTTCTTCATAATCAATTTTCTTTAAAGTAAACTTAGATCTTTTATTTAGAATTTGAGTTTTGAATATAAAAAATTTTTTTATGATGCAATTCAATCAGACTTTGGTTTTCTTTGTTTTAATTTCAAACATGTCAAAACGGGCAGGTCTGTTCAAAGAGGACTTCCACATTAAAAAAATGTTCGCATTATTAGAACAGTTTTGTAAGCCACTGTAATAGGGAACGTTTTTGCATAGTTAGATTAAAAACCATGTAAAGGTAGATGATAGTAAGAAGAAAGCGTAAACAGAAAATTGCTCATTAAAAAGTTCCAAAATCAAAAAAACAGAAAGTGTTACTAATTCAACCGCGTAATAAAGTTTTTTGACATGTATTGTCATTTTCATTATCTTAAAATTGTTCATTTTAAGTATCAAAATAATTTTATTAATTTTTATAAGAAGTGACAAGATCATCTTGAGTTCTCTTCCTTTTTAAAAATTTCACTTTTATGAAAAGTGCCGTTCTTTTTATAAAATTTTACAAACGTTTCAAAAGATTGCTGCATTTACTGTAAATCTATTCACGAATAAAAAATGTATGACTTAAAGAAGAAATTTTTTGTTAGCGAAAAATTTAATTGTTCATAAACAACCATTCTGTCGTTTTTTTTTCATTTTAGTTTTAGTTTTTAAGTAATTAGTTATGATTATATATTATTGTTTGAAATTTTTTTCAATTGATGCTAAAGTTTATTGTACATACATATATTCATGTTGTTCTTAATATTGCCATTATTACGGTGATCTATTACTTATAAGTATATACATATATACTTTGATACTAAAATTTTTATAATGAAGATGTTGATATTACAAGAATCTTAACAAATTTCATAGTTTTCATCAAGTACTGTTGTAATTGCTTGTGAAAAAGATCGTGTGAACTATAAAAATATGTTATATGAACTAATGCATGAAAGTGACTGGAAAAATATGCAAATGAACTTATGAAATTAGCAAATTTTTACAAACTTATTAGTCAATTTTTAGCCAATTCAATGTTTATGTTTTAATGCTCGATTAAAAGTAATTGGCTATGACACATATCTACCATCTTTTGAGGTATGTCAAGTTCCGAAAGTGGAACTTTACGATCTAATTTTGAATTTTTAATTATTTTTAAGAAAGTTTTCAACAAATTTTCTTGAAATTTTACATATAAACTTCTTCTAAAAGTACGAGAGTAAGAATTTGGATGAAATCAGGTGTTAGAAACTGAACTTTTACTTTACATTTCTGCGTATTTAGAGAGGAATAACTAATCAATTTTCTTGAAACGTTATATTTAAATTTAGGGTGTTAAAAGAATGAATATATAAATATTTTAGAAGTATCAGGGTTCGGCAACCAAGCCGATTTTACATTTTTTGTACAGATTGTGCTTACTGACACTCTATGTGTGTATATACAATTTTATAAAAATTACCACCACGACTTACAAATTTGTATGAAAGGAAAATTCGACAACGTTTGTTGTAATTCGTTTTGTATAATAAATTATGTATTGAAATAATTATATAATGTATTGGAATTTATTTTAGGATAATTCTAGATGAAATAATTTTCCATTTTAACATATAACTAACATAGAATGCTTAACATATATCTTTCAATTCACACATATCAATCTATTAAAAAAATTTGGTGGCAAAAAATTTCTCTATGCTCGTGCAAAGTTTTGGCAAACACCTTTATGGAAAATACATATTGAATATTACTTACATACATATGGATAATACAGTTGAATATTACTTTCTACAGTTCTAATTATTTGCGATGTAGGTTTAATATTAAACTAGTCGTGTGTGCTTGTCTTGCAAACCTTGCAAGTATTATGCCTGTAGTTTTGAAATTGTGCTCCATTCCGTGTGTGAGATATTTTAAGTTTACTTTTTTTTCTTCAAAAACACACCCGTAATATACATATATTACGGGTGTGTTTTTTCATATGTTTTATAAGATATGTTTTTTCCTAATATTTTATAAGATAAAACTTAAAATAAGAAAAACTCTTATAACTAATTACGAAAAAGTACATAATTAAGCAAATAATTAGTTGCTTTGGGATCTAATATCTTTTGAGTAATTTATTTCAGAACCTCGCTTTGAGTTATGTAGCGTAAAATTGTAAAATACCTTTCACAATAAGCACTTTAAGCAATCAATTATTGCTTACGCAAAAAATAATTCGCTACTAAAATTCATGCACATATTTATTTGGATTTTATAATACTAATGTATATAGGGTGATGCGTATGGCATACGATTTCTATGCAAAAAGTCTCAGGTTCGAACCCTATAAAATCCGATTTGTCAGATAAACTTTTTTTTTATTGATAATTTTATTTTTTTTTATTTTATTTAAAATGAAATTAAAAAAGCTTTACCCTTACAAATCAATATCAGCGAGTTTCCGTTTTAAAACCAAAAGAAATATTCTATTATGCCAAATAAAAGATATTTTTCGCAAAATTAAATTTTTAAAGAGTATTTCGACTTCCGCTTCCAGGGTCACAAAAAAAACTCTTTCAAATAATTTTATGCAAAAACAAAGTTCAAAGAAAAGCGATAAAAATGAGAAACTTTTGGATATATTTTTGGAAAATATTATTATAATGTTCTTCTTAAACAAGTAATTAAAAATATAGGCTAAAAATTTCTAAAATATAGGCAAAACTTAGAGGCAATTGTCAAAAGTTGATAATATAAATTGATAAAAGATAAAGGGTCCGTATTTCGCAGTTCCAATTCGTGCAATCTCATAGTTCTGGAAAAAGCCGTACTTTTCCTCGTTTAATAATAAATGTAAGATGTCTTAGATCGGTGAAATATTACTGTTACTATATAACGTAATCTATGGTAAAAAAGAAACTCTTGAACGTTTAATCACCTTGAAAAAGATAATTGGAACAGCAATATTTCGATGAATATGAATTAATATAATTATTGTCATATGAAAATACAACTGATTCCTTTGCACTAAAAATACCTTAAATGTTTTAGATATTACTTTAAGTATTTGAAATATTTCATTATTTTAAATCAATAATGCTTAATGAATACTTTTTTTTTAGTTGTACCTCGAAGTATGTTGGAGATTTTTGTGAGTATTCAAATCCATGTTATACAGGTCCAGGACCACGATGCCAAAATGGTGGAAGTTGTACTGTAACGTTTCGAGAAGGTACGCCAAGATTTTCCTGTCAATGTCCAATAGGTTTTACGGAATCATTATGTGAAATACCAGTCAAAAATGCCTGTGATTCATCACCATGCTTAAATGGTGGAACTTGCAATTTGAAAACACTCGCTACATATACATGCTCATGTCCGGTTGGCTACACTGGTATGTTTAAAATAAATATTATGGTTGTTTTAGAAATGCTTTAAATACAAAAAACGTTATATATAGGTAAAAGTTGTGAAAAAGCTAATTTATGTGCGTCATCACCATGTCGAAATGGTGGGACATGTACATCGATGCCTGGTGGCAATTTTAAATGTCATTGTCCAAAAGGATTTCAAGGTTTAACATGTTCGGACGATGTTGAGGAATGCCACAGTGGGAATCCATGTAGACATGGCGGTACCTGTGTGAACACGCATGGATCATATCAGTAAGTAGTTTAATAGTAAAACTTGTACACAATTCTTAATGTTGAAAATTAAAATTTTTATTTTTGTTTAGGTGTACGTGTCCAGCTGATTACACCGGCAAGAATTGCGAATCAAAATACATTCCATGCTCCCCATCACCTTGTCAAAATGGTGGTACTTGTCGTCAAATAAATTTATTAAGCTACGAATGCAAGTGTCCACCAGGTAAGTTAATTGATATAGAAAGAAGCAATTATTGCTTTTTAAGATTTCAAGCTGTTAAAAGATATTATATAACAAAAAAATTTTACTACGCCAGCCAAAGGTATACTTACAGGGAAGTAAATGGTTGACCAAAGTAAAACGGTAAAAAGAAAAAATTAAATGGCCACCATAATTTTAATATTATATGTATATATACAGCTATGGTCAAAATAATAGAAACACTTAATATACGTTTTGAATTTCTTTTATATCTGTTGTAAATTATATTCGAATTAAATGCTATCTTTTGCAAAATTATTTTGCTATATTATGTTCTATTGTGAATATATTTATTGTCACTAAAAAACTGTAATCTGCGGGAATTCACCATTTGAAAGTAAAAATATCGTATTTCATCTGGTCAAAATAATAGAAACACCCGACGACTTTTATTACTTTTTAGCGCTTTAAAAAGTAATAAAAGTCCTGAAACATGAGGAAGAAAGCAATAAACAAGTGAAAAACTGAACAGAAAAATTGAAATGACATGTAAAAAAGACCCATTCAAATCTTCAAAAGCAATTTATTTGGTCGCGAAGCTCGAAAAGTTCCTTATGTCAGTAAAAACAATATTAAACATAGAAAAACTTTTGCTAAAACTCATTCGGAGTGCACTGGGCCAGAGGGTGTAAAGAAGTGGCGCAATATCCTTTGTTCGAACGAAACAAAAATAATTTATTTGGGACAGATGTTCCTACCTTCGTTAAACGTCCACCAAATACTGAATTAAACGCCAGCTTCACGCGCAAAACCGTAAAACATGATGGCGGAAATATAATGATTTGGAATTGTTATGAACAAAAATATTAGGTGTTTATATTATTTTGACCATAGCTGTATATATACCTACATATATATATAATTAAAGTTTATGATAATATAATATAATTATAATTATATGAATTATAAAAGGTTGATATCTCAGCCTATTGCCTAATGTTTTTAGAGATATCTAAGAGATACCAAAAAGAAAAATAATAATTTGGTAACACTATAATATTACAATAAATAATATTGTACTATTAATAAAATAATAATATTACATAATAATATTACAATAAAACCACGTAATGCATGTATCGCAATATTTGAATATAAATATTTTCTAAACTAGATAACGCTTAAACAAATCAATAAAATTCTAAAATTCAATAAATGAATTGAATTCAGAAATTTTCTAAATTTATGATGGGTAATTCAGAAAAAGTGAAAATTGAATTTATGTATATCATTTAGTTGCACTGCAACACTACAACAAATTCATATCAATTTTACAACAACACTTTCATGTACATAATATATGTACACTTGTACCCCTACTGTATTCAATCTAGTTGATTTTGCAGTTCTAGCTACACAATTCCAAAAATTATAAATCAAACTTCATCATTAAAAAAGTAAAATTTGGTTTTTTCCAAAATTGAATACCTACCCGCCTGTTTTAAGTCTAGAAAAGGTAATTTTTTAGTTTTTCAGCACCTTTGCAATAATATGCAGCATTATCATATTAGTCTAGTTTTTAAAAGACCTTTCTTTAAACTTGGGTTTTTACAAAAGAAAAAAGAAGATTACGAGCACCTTTTAAACGATATGATATGTGACTTTCTTTTTTTTCTAATGGACCTTGGAGTGAAGGTACAAATTTCAGTGGTCTAAATGAAAAAGATTGAAATGAGCGCGACTGATTTTTAATATCGATCTGCGTGTAGTAAAAAATCTATATCTGAGACAAATTTTAAGCATCCTAGCTTTTTTAACTCTCGAAAGGCAACTTAAGACCAAATGGACGAATAGGACGGACAAACCTAGATGGACTTAAAATTTGATTTTGATCGAAAATATATTTACATACTTTATGGGTAACAAAATGTTTTCTTCTAAATACATACGCAGTTACAAATTGAATATACCACCTACATATATCACGTTTGAGGTGGGCGAAAAAATGACTGCTGATATTTCTGATAACAATATATTATTCTGGCCTTTAATAACAATAAATGGTAGCTAACAATAACTTTTTTGAAATGCAAATTCGCTATTAAATTTTGAAAATAAGCATTGATTTTTACAATTAGTTATTATTTATTTTACATACATATATTATTAGTTATTATACATACATACGTATGTATGTATGTATGAATAATTGTTGTAAATACCTTTACGTGGAGCAAGATAAATAAGACAGTATAGCTGCTGAATTATGAAATAGCTTAATAGCGGAATATCGTAAATCGAGGTGTGGGTGTAAATATTTATGCTTTGTAAAGGAACAAAAAATATTTAGTCATACAATTCAAGCTAATTAAAAAAAAACAGAACAGAGCCGGTTTTGTGTAGCAAACTTCCTCTCTCTTCATAGTAGTTTAGTTCAAGTATAAGTACTCGACATATAAACATATCACAAATAAAAAACTAAATTTCATATGCATACATATACATATGTTTACAAATACAAGTGTAGCAATATTTATGTGTGCATTTATAAATTATACGTACATTTACATACACATATTTAATTTATAAAGTATTTATAAAAATATTTAAATACATAAATGTGCATATAAAGACAAAATCATAACAAAACCAGTAACCAGAAATGAAATTAAATACACATTATAAGTATTTGTGTATGTACACAAAATATTCCAAAGAGATATAAATACATAAACCATTAAGACCGTGGGAAAGAACGCTCTCGTTATTGCCCTGTGGGCCTTCATATATATGGTATATATATATAATTTCTTGTTTATACCGTTTATTAAGCTAAAAGTTGTTTATGTGTGAATAAAATACAATTAAAGTACATCTCACCTAAAAATTAGTTTATGCAGTAGAATCGTGGGTACAAAAATTTTTAGTAAAACTTGAATTGTAGAAGAAATCAACGTAAAACTTTATTTTTTACTTTTAAATTCGTTGTAAAACCATTAATACATTTTTTTATGTATGCAATGCATTTAAAAATTTCGTGAAAACAAGTGTATTATTAGGGCTCTTATGTGTGATAAAAATCGTAGAAATTTCTTAAGTCCTTGCGGTAACTGCCTACAACTTTAATAGTAGTTTGGCCATATCTTAGAAAATATTGACAGTACTGAAATTTTACATAAATTAATATGGTAATACGGCAACTTAAAGTCAAAGTCTGTCCCATAGTCAGCTATGGCATATGTTCTCGCACGTAGGATAACAAATTCGTACAGGCATCACAGAGTTGACACGGTCAACTTTATTTTTTCTCGTTTATTCTTAAAAATGATTTCGAATTTGTGTACCAATTGACCATCAGAATGAATATAAAGATTATTAGATACCACATTGCTGCTGGAAAATTTGTTATAAATACTGTAAAAGTTTGCGATTCTATGGTTTAACTTATACTAAGCTATGTACCATAACGAAACTTAAATGCTTTTAGTTTTACTAAATTGCTAGTTTTATGGTAAATTCTTAAACGTCAAATTTTACAAAATCTGAGTTGTCTGAGTTTACGAATACTCTACTGCGTTTTTACTTTCAGTCAAAGTTTAAATTCTTAAACGTTTAAAAAAAGTCAATTAAGCGTCAAAATTAAAGATTTTTTTTTTTACATGCAGACAGTCTGACGTAGTAATTCAGTAAATAAATTTGATGTATTGAGTGACTATCATTACGTTAAAAATAATATAAAAAATATTTTTTTTGTTAATTTTTAATATGTAAAGCATAAAATTATTTTAAATCTAAAAAAAATTTTTTTTTGTCTTGACGTTTACGGATGACCAAAATTCAAAGTCAATTACGGGTTAAAAGCTTACTACATTTCTGTCCGTAAATGTTTTATACGTCAGACAATTTGCAGACTGAAAACAAAATTTTGACGTTAAAGAATTTGCGGTTACTAAATAAAAAAAAATTATAAAGGCCGCTATTTATATTGAAACTTACATATTTTTAGCATTTTTCACTAGACGTTCAAACAACCGCGACTTTACTGTGCCGGTAGGTAGAAAGAAGTATGACCAACATAATGACTTTTTAGGAAGAAATTTATAGAGAAATAAATCTTATTTCAGAAATTCAATTTTGAAAGAGGTTTATAATTTGTAGCAATTTGATTTTTAAAACAAGAATTAAATAAAAATAAAGACAATTGAAATACATATGTATGTACATAGTTCTCTACTTATGTTCATATGTTTAAAGTCATAAGATTAATTTTAGAATTTTTTAAGCTGGATTTCCTTGTTCGCTAATTTTGATTGGCGCTCGTTTTTAGGAACCTATTTCTACGTTAGCCGAATTTTCGTCACGCACACAACAGCATTTTTTTGTGAATAATATAAGTTTTCTTTTAAGAAAATTATACTATTTATGTGACTATGTATGTAGGTATTAAATTTTTTTGCATGCGTGGCTATTCCCAATCAAAAGGGAAAGCTAAATCAAGCTTTTTGGCGTGCTGAAAAATCGGAATCGCTCTCAAATCTGTTTGGTTATTGAGCGATTGAAAACTAAAATCGATAAACAAGGCACTCTAATTTGTTTCACCGAATTTAAAGGATGTGCAATATACTTTTGTAACTTCAAATCAGCAGAATGATTAAGTGAATCAATTAAAAAAAAATAATAGTGACCATTGACTAGTGATCTAATTAGCAAAATTTGTAAATTTATATATGTATACATACAGACAAAGGTATTTACGTTTATAAATGTACTTTTATAACATACATACATATGGCTAGTTGGTACTGGATATGTCGATACAGTCAAGCAAATTTTCGCCACATTGTTAGATATACATACATATATTGATAACTATAGTGTGTTAATTTTTTTCATTTTTTATCCTCTTTTACATGTTTTCTCTACTACTACACGTGTATATGGCGATCGCAGTAAGCATAGTTTAAAATTTCTTTCTATGTTTCTTTAAAGATTTTCTTTTTTCAAAAATGTATATGTTGTATACTTTACTTGCTTTGCTTTGATTAAATATACCACTTTTTGGAAAAAAATGTTTTTTATTTGTAAACTTATACAAGTAAGGAATTAAATTTTAACGTATCTGCACGTAAACATGGCTACATACATATATACTTGTACACATCGAAAAAGCAACATATTATGATATCTATTACTACTCCTATTACTATAGTAAGAATACAGTGATTAAAAAAGTGAACTGGGAAAAAATTTATGCATAAACGGATATATTTTTTTATTGTATGTACATATGTCTGTATATATGTACATACAATAAAAAAATATATTTTCTAATGCTTTTTTTCGTGTTTTGCAACTTGACGAGTTAACGATAGCATTAATTGAGTACCGTATTAACTAAAAAAAAGGTTTTTTGAAGAGATATCGAGAGCAAATTTCATAGTATGTATCAACCAGGGCTACGTTCTTTCATTTGAAGAAATTGTGTAAGTGTAATCAAAGCAAAGACGTTGAAAAAGGAATGAAGGAGTTAATAACGCCACCAAGGTGCATTATGTAGCTTTTTTCCATCTAAATTAAATTGTAAAAACTTCGCTGTTTTCCTCAAAAGTCTAATTTTATTTGAATTTAACTTCAGAATTTTTTTTGAATTGTAGATTTTAAAATGTTTTACATACATACATACATATATGTATATGTTATACTACTTAATTTAATTTTGGTATATAGTACATACATGTATGTATTTAAAATTTAATTATATTTATATATATGTGTAGGTTTCCAAGGGAAAAATTGTGAAGAAAACATTGACGATTGCCCTGGAAATTTATGTCAAAACGGTGCTACCTGTATTGATGCTATTAATGCGTACCGCTGCAAGTGCTCACCGAACTTTACAGGAGATAATTGCGAAATTGATGTTGATGAATGTGCTATAAAGTAAGTTTCCGTTGAAAGCTTAAATATAATATCAAATGGTTTTTAAAATATTGCATTATCATTTATAGACCTCAGATATGTCAAAACGGTGCGACATGTACCAATACTCATGGAAGTTATTCTTGCATATGTGTAAACGGTTGGACCGGTGTAGATTGTAGCGAAAATATAGACGATTGTGCTAATCGAGCATGTTTTAATGGAGCGACTTGTATTGATGGTGTAGGAAGTTTTTATTGTCAATGCACTCCTGGTAAAACAGGTTTGTTGTGCCATTTGGACGACGCTTGTACATCGAATCCATGTCATGCAGACGCAATGTGTGATACCAGTCCAATAAATGGATCATTTACCTGCTCATGCGCGTCTGGTTATAAAGGTATAGACTGTTCAGAAGACATCGACGAATGTGATCAAGGATCGCCTTGTGAACATAATGGAATTTGTGTCAATACACCAGGTTCATTTGCATGCAATTGTTCTCAAGGTTTTACTGGCCCTAGATGTGAAACTAATGTTAATGAATGTGAATCACACCCATGCCAAAACGAAGGAAGTTGTTTAGATGATCCTGGTACTTTTAGGTGTGTTTGTATGCCCGGATTCACCGGTATACAGTGTGAAATTGATATCGATGAATGTCAAGCAAATCCGTGTTTGAACGGTGGAACTTGCCACGATATGATTAATGGTTTTAAATGTACCTGCGCGCTTGGGTTTACAGGATCTCGATGTCAAACCAATATTGATGATTGTCATTCCCAACCTTGCCGTAATAATGGAATATGTCATGATTCTATAGCAGGATATAATTGTGAATGCCCACCTGGTTACACGGGGTTATCATGTGAAATTAATATAAATGATTGTCAGTCGAATCCATGTCATCGCGGAAAATGCATTGATGGCGATAATTTGTTTACTTGCCTTTGTAACCCTGGATATACTGGCTATTTGTGTCAAACACAAATAAATGAGTGTGAATCAAATCCATGTCAATTTGGCGGTCATTGTCACGATCTGATCGGAGGTTACAAATGTTTATGTAAAGCTGGAACCTCTGGGACAAATTGTGAAATAAATGTCAATGAATGTCACAGTAATCCTTGCCGAAATGGAGCGACATGTGTAGATGGAATTAATAGATATGATTGCAAATGCGTGCCTGGATTTACTGGAACTCATTGTGAAACAAATATAAACGAATGCGCTTCAGATCCCTGCGCCAATGGTGGGGTATGCATAGATTTGATTAATGCTTTTAAATGTGAGTGTCCACGCGGATATTATGACGCGAGGTGCCTTAGTGATGTTGATGAATGCGAATCGAATCCCTGTATAAATGGAGGACGCTGCGAAGATGGTGTTAATCAATTTATCTGTCACTGCCCTCCTGGATACGGAGGTAAAAGATGTGAACTTAATATTGATGAATGTGGGTCAAATCCCTGCCAGCATGGAGGTTCATGCATAGATGGCTTAAACTCTTATTCGTGTCAATGTATGCCAGGATATAACGGTCGAAATTGTGAAATAAATATTGATGATTGTATAGACAATCGTTGTCGCAATGGTGGAACTTGTATTGATCTTGTTAATGGCTACAAATGTGTCTGCAAGGTGCCTTATACAGGAAAAGATTGTGAATCAAAACTAGACCCATGCTCAAAAAATCGTTGTCATAATGCTGCAAAATGTTCACCAAGTCCAAACTTTTTAGATTTTTCATGCACATGCACTTTGGGATACACTGGTCGTTATTGCGACGAAGATATAGACGAATGCGCTTTGAGTTCTCCATGTAGAAATGGAGCGACATGTTCGAATATTCCAGGCTCTTATCAATGTTTATGTGCTAAAGGATATGAAGGTCGTGACTGCACGATCAATACAGATGATTGTGCTTCTTATCCATGCCAAAACGGTGGCACTTGTTTAGATGGTATTGGAGACTACACTTGTCTTTGCGTTGATGGATTCGAAGGAAAACATTGCGAAAGTGATATAAATGAGTGTTTAAGCGGACCGTGTCAGAACGGAGCTACTTGTAATCAATATGTTAATTCTTATACATGTACGTGTCCGCTAGGTTTTTCTGGAATTAATTGCCAAACAAACGATGAAGATTGCACAGAAAGTTCCTGCATGAACGGCGGTACATGTGTTGATGGTGTAAACAGTTACAATTGCTCTTGTTTGTCTGAATACACTGGAGCAAACTGCCAGTACAAAATTAATAAGTGCGATTCACAGCCATGTCAAAATGGTGGCACTTGTCATGAAAATGGTAAAGATTACACGTGTCACTGTTCTTATGGTTATACCGGAAAACAATGTACTGATTTTGTTAATTGGTGTACTCCGCGATCGTCTTGTGAAAATGGAGCTAAATGTATTCAAAGAATGAATTTGTTCCAGTGCATGTGCGAACCCGGTTGGACGGGCAAACTATGTGACGTTCAAATGGTATCATGTCAAACAGCAGCAAATAGAAAATCAGTAAGCATAAAACAACTTTGTAATAATGGAACATGTGAAGATTTCGGTAATTCGCATAGATGTCATTGTCATCAAGGATATACCGGCTCATATTGTCAAAAAGAAATAAATGAGTGTGAATCCCAACCATGTCAAAATGGCGGAACGTGCCGAGATTTAATTGGTTCATATAAATGTATTTGCAAGAAAGGATTTCAAGGGCAAAACTGTGAACTCAATATAGATGATTGTAAACCAAATCCATGTCAAAATGGTGGAACATGTCACGACCTAGTTAATAATTTTTCATGCTCATGTCCTCCTGGAACACTTGGAATTATTTGTGAATTAAATCAAGACGATTGCACACCCGGCGCTTGCCACAATAATGGAACGTGCATTGATCGTGTCGGAGGATTCGAATGTTTCTGTCCTCCAGGTTTCGTCGGTTCTCGTTGCGAAGGTGATATTAACGAATGTTTATCAAACCCATGCTCGAATGCTGGTACATTAGATTGCGTGCAATTAGTAAATAATTATCATTGTAACTGTAAACCTGGCTACATGGGCAGGCATTGCGAAAATAAAGTAGATTTTTGTGCGAATTCACCATGTCAAAATGGTGGTGTGTGTTCTACAAAGCAAACTAGTCACCATTGCGTCTGTGCCGATGGATTTTATGGTAAAAATTGCGAATTTTCCGGACATGATTGTGATTCAAACCCATGTCGTGCTGGTAATTGTATCATTGATGACGCTGGCGGCTATCGTTGCGATTGTCCATTTGGTACCGATGGTACACATTGTGAAGAAGATACTGTTGATGAATGTAAACCAAGAAATCCATGCCAAAAAAGTGCTTCTTGTGAAAATTTATTGGGAGACTTTGCATGTTTGTGTCCAAAAAATTGGGCTGGCAAAATTTGTGATACATTTGATCCAAGCTATCCAGGCTGGGAAGCTGATAAACGTTTATCAAAAGATTTAAATTTTTTTGTAAAAGATCTAGCCATACAAAGAGAACAGTGTGTTAAAAAAGGGTGCATTCAAAAGAAAGGTAATCATAGATGTGATGAAGAGTGCAACACATATGCATGTAATTTCGACGGCAACGATTGCTCACTTGGCATAAACCCATGGAGAAATTGTACAGCTTCTATTGATTGTTGGAAAGTGTTTATGGATGGCAATTGTAATGAAGAATGTAATAACCCTCAATGTCTTTTCGATGGCCGAGATTGTGAAAGAAAATTAGAGCGTTGTAATCCAACATATGACGCGTATTGTGCTAAGCATTACGCTAATGGTTTTTGTGATTATGGATGTAATAACGCTGAATGCAATTGGGACGGGTTAGATTGCGAAAAAGAGGAACCTCCAATGCTTGCAAACGGTGTTATTTCTATAATAGTCTTGATGGATATATTTAAGTTCAAAGAAAGATCTGTGTCTTTTCTTCGAGATATGGGTCATCAGTTAAGGACCACTTTAAGAATTAAGCAAGACCGACTTGGAAATGATATGATTTACTCATGGAAACGTGGCTCAGAAATGACAGGAATGCAAGATACAGGAGTCCAAGTTTTTTTAGAAATAGATAATAGAAAATGTGACGAATGTTTCAATACGGCTAGCGAAGCGGCGGAATTTTTAGCTGCAACTGCTTCCAAACATACATTATCACCAACATTTCCTATTCATCGGGTTCGTGGAATTGACAATCCAAATGAAGATATTCCACAGGTTCCAACTGATGTGAAATACGTTGCGTTGGGAGCTATAATTGTATTATTAGGATGCATGTTGGTTGGTGTTTTGGTAACAGCTCAGCGAAAACGAGCTCATGGTGTCACATGGTTTCCTGAAGGTTTCTTTACAGCGGCAACCGGACCTCGAAGGCACTCGAGAAGACGTCCAGATGGGCAAGAAATGCGAAATTTAAATAAAAATGGAGCATTGACTTGCATGGATTCTGATTTAAATATGAATTCTGGTCATCTGGGTCATGGACAACATTGGTCCGATGATGAGTCAGAAATGCCGCAAGCAAAACGTTTCCGTAATGATCAAGGCTATTCTAGTGATCATACAATAGTAACGGACTATGAGGAAGCTGATCCCAGGGTTTGGTCTCAGCAGCATTTAGAAGTAGCAGATGTTCGTCCATCAATAATGACTCCACCAGCTCATCAAGATGGAAAACATGACGTTGATGTTCGTGGCCCCTGTGGAATGACTCCTTTAATGGTGGCTGCAGTTCGCGGGGGAGGAGTGGACACGGGTGATGATATTGATAATACCGATGATACAACGGCACAAGTAATTAGTGATTTATTAGCCCAAGGTGCTGAATTAAACGCTACAATGGACAAAACAGGTGAAACATCTTTGCATTTAGCTGCTCGTTACGCACGCGCAGATGCAGCAAAACGTTTATTGGATGCTGGCGCTGACGCTAATTGTCATGATAATACTGGTAGAACACCGTTACATGCTGCGGTAGCTGCAGATGCAGTAGGTGTTTTTCAAATTCTATTAAGAAATAGAGCAACGAACTTGAACGCACGTATGCATGATGGTACAACTCCACTGATACTTGCTGCCAGGTTGGCGATTGAGGGTATGGTTGAAGAGCTAATCACCGCAGATGCAGACATAAATGCTTCTGACAATTCAGGGAAAACTGCATTACACTGGGCGGCAGCTGTCAATAACGTGGACGCTGTTCAAATCTTACTAATGCACCATGCAAATCGTGACGCGCAAGATGACAAAGATGAAACACCATTATTCTTAGCCGCGAGAGAAGGTTCTTATGAGGCTTGTAAAGCACTTTTAGATAATTTTGCTAACCGTGAAATTACCGATCATATGGATCGATTGCCAAGAGATGTAGCCAGTGAAAGGTTACATCATGATATAGTTAGATTACTAGACGAACACGTGCCGCGTAGTCCACAAATGCTACAAGTGACGCCATCACAAATGATTAGTTCACCACCAACACATCAACAAATGATTCAACAAAACTCAATGATAACTGCGAGTGGCGGTGGGGGTGCTGCTGCTAAAGCACAAAAAAGTACTACCAAAACCAAAAAACAAAAATTATTAGGCTCAACCACACCGAATAGCCCAGAAGATGATATTAGTCTTAAGCGAAAGCCAAGTACAAAAAAGCAAGGATCGTTGACAGCGAATAAAAAAGGTCAATTATTGACTGACGTTCAAATTTTAGACGCCCAGCTAAGTTCTATAGAATCCCCATTAACCGCTGGTTTACCAAGTCCATATGACACAGCTAGTTTGTATTCGAACGCAATAGCGACTCATCATACAATGGATTTATTGAGTGGTAGTAAACAACCACCTAGTTATGAAGATTGTATAAAAGTAAATTCACTTAAATTAATATTTAAAAAAATTATTTTAATTTTTAATGTTTTCCTTTGTTTTTGCTTAGAATGCGCAATCAATGCAGTCCCTCGCAAATATGAACTTAGAAAACTTTACGTATTCGCTAGGTTCGCCATTTCAAGAAATTATGAATGCTCAAAGAACTAATAATCAAACTTTGCAAATTGGTGAACAAGGACTTAGTCCCCCCTATTCGAATCAATCACCACCTCATTCAGTGCAAAGCAATATGGCTTTGTCGCCTCAAGGATATATAGGTAATAAATTAAATTGTATAATATAATAAATATAAAATAAAACCTTTTTTTTTACTAGGATCTCCTTCTCCAGCAAAAGCACGGCCGACTTTACCTACATCCCCAACTCATATACAAGCTATGAGACATGCAACACATCAAAAACATCTAATAACTGGAAATACAGCTAACAACAGTAATAAAAGCAATAACAATAATGCAAATACGAACGGAAATAGTTCGAATAGCAGCACAAGTAATTCAAATAGTTTTCAATCAAATTTATCACAACAAAACTCACCTGCAAGTTGTGGTGTTACTTCGCCGAACAACGGTATAAATCAACAACACCAGCAGCATCAACAATCGCAACATCAACAATCCCAACACCAACAACAGCAGCAACAATCGCAAAGACAACAGCAAACTTCCAGTAATAACAATAGTGCAATATTGCCTTCAATCCAAATGGGTTTTGATTTTGCCTCGGCGAATTTAGATTTGAATGGATTTTGTGGTTCCCCAGGTAACATTTTTATTTTTAACCTTCTACATTGACTTTTAAAATACCTGTAAAAAGTATTTTTTTTTTCTGTTTTTACTGATATCTTTATTTACACTATCCCAAAAACAATATTTTTCAAAAACAAATCACAAAAATCTATTAAAAATAATTAGAATTGACTTTAAAAAAACGCCCGGGGTGGTGAAGTCCACTGGGTAACAAAATTGACTTTAAAAATATTGCCATTGTAAAAGTGTATGTATGGATTGATTGAACTTACTTTTAAATTAAACTTTGCACAGATTGTATTGTTTTACAATTTATAATAATTATGTGCATTTATTAATGCGCATTTTTTCATATTCTGTTCACGTTGTTATTTCCTCTTTCACTTGTTTGTCTTTTTTCATCTGCAAATCAGAATAAAAACATAAAATGAGAGAGTGAAATAGTTACGTTGTTGAACACTTGGTGTTTTTGACTTTTTATAGTTACAAAAGTGCGCACTAATAACACCAATCAGTTTACATTAGGAAAAAATATTGCCCATCTGCGGTACTTCGCTTGAAAGCAAACGAAAATACCAGAATTTATATAGTGATTTCAGTGTAACACTATGAGTTTAAACTTCAAAATATTATCAACTATATACAAAAAAGAGAATGAATAGATTTTTATAAATGCAATACTGCAAAATAATAACTGCGGAACGAAATATTACAAAAACATAACGTGATGAAGATGCAATATATATTTAACTGTGCTATTTTACTATTAAAATTTAATTCTTGTCTTGTGAAAGGACAATATTGAGAAAGGAACTTATAGATTTATAATAATTTTTGAGTTTCTAGTAGCTTGTTAATATAAGTTAAATGTAGTCAAATGGTAAAATTTACTCACTACACCATCTTTGTTTTTTTTTTTAGATTCGTTTTCTGGCCAAATGAACCCTCCATCAATACAAAGTTCAAATTCAAGTTCAACTCCATCAAATTTACACTCGCCATCATCGCAAACAATGCAGTCAACACAATCCTTTTATCAATATTTAACACCGCCAAGTCAGCATTCGGTTGGTGCCGGAGGACAAACACCACAACACTTAGTTCAGACATTAGACAGTTATCCAACACCATCGCCAGAATCACCTGGGCATTGGTCAAGTTCGTCACCACATTCAACATCAGACTGGTCTGAAGGGATTCAATCACCTAATAATAATATTTATGTGACAGGACATCAAGCCAATAAAGGTTCTGAAGCTATATATATATAAATAGGATTAGAAAACAGAATTATCTATTTAAACATTCGGTTAAAAATGATAAAAAAAGAAAATCAATTAGAAAATCTCTACGTTGTATTTAATAAACATAGTTGAATATTTTCTTAAGTTTTAAAATTAGCTATTAATAATTAAAGGTAGTATCTCTTTCCAAAATTATTAAAAACTAAAACTTCAATGGAAATAATTCTCATATATTACTTAAATATAAATCTTGATGTAATATTACGCATATTTGAAAACGACTTTAGTAACTAAATTAAAATATAAAACAAATTAGGAGAATACAATAATAGTTATTTGTAACTAAAATTCCAATCTGAGTGCTTAAAAGTTAAAAAAAATCATCCATTGATATACGGTTTTTGGGTTGTCAGTTTTTTTAAAGTTTTTAATTAAATAACTTCAATTTATCTTTTTTCAGAGTTACTTTTTTGTTTTGCCTTTTACTGTGTAGAGGGTGCAACAATCTATAGGTAAAGGAATATTAATACCTTCTACAGGTAAAAAAATATAACATACGTACTTGGACCCTCTCATGTTAAATTTCAATTTTATATTCCAATTTGAAACGTCTAAGTTTTTATGAGGCATATGATATTTACATTATTTAGTTTACGTTAAATGCAAATTTAACGTAAAGATGAAAAAATTTTCTTTATTTATTATTTTTTGTAAACTACAACAACTTTTTATTTTTTGAATTATTTGGTATCTTTAAAATGGGTAGATTTTCCATGTACGTAATTTCCACCGCTTAAAACATGGTTTGCAACTGTTTCGTTATGTAATCTTAAAGTCAGGTTATAATTTTATTGATATTAATCGTTATAAATGTACAAATTTCTAAATCCAAAAAATAATGATTCCTCTGAATTCAAAAACAATTTTCTAAAGAAATATTTGGGATTTTAAATTTTTTCGAATTATTTAAAAAGTATTATTTAACGTGTTAAATAGAATTTAAATTTACAACTAAAGTTGACAAAAAACTTTAAATTACTAAGAACTATAGTCTATAAATTTAAAGAGTCAAAATTTTATTGCAATTTACAAAGCAAAATAATAGTAAAAAATATTAGTAAATTTTTCATAACATAAATACATATGTATCTATGAATTTAATCTAATCTAATTTCTTTCAGTTATCTAATTTAAAAATTTTAATTAATACAAATATTCAATCGTTATCCTTAGATAAGCATATAATTAGCATAACGTAATTTCCATGCCCAGTTTCATTATTACAAAATCTAATAATTGTTATTCGCTACATTTTATTATAAATCTTTTTTTCATAAAATAAAAGGGAGCAACAATCAAGAAAATATAATATTCGGTAAAATTATAAGTAAAATTAAATAAAAATCGCGTTAAAAAGTATTTTTTTAAAAACTTTTATGTAGAATTATTTTAAAAATATTTTTTTTATACAATATTTCAATTTTACATAATTTACTTAGGTAAAACAATTTATCTTTTAACATGTAAAAATTAATTTTCTTAATATTGTGTATTTTTAATGCATTAAAATTATTACAATTATTTTTATTTTTATTGTTAGTTAATAGGACTTTTTTTTAGAAAATATTTTAAGTATACATAAAACAATAGAATAAAATACATATATTATGTAAGGTATAAACAAAAAAGTGTTTTAATTTAAAAAAAATGCAATAATTGTTTTTTGTGTACGTAATATTATTTGGTTAAATGTTTAAATGTATCATTTAACACAAATAAAAAACTCCTCGTCATCGGAAATGTGTTTCCAACGTCGGGAAATAACAATTTGGCATTCGCATAATCAAAAATGTAAAAGGAAAAACTATAATATTAAACTTTATTCTAGTTTTGAATGAAACGACAAATGACGCTAAGATTTACGTTTGATATACAAGTGGCGATTAAGAACGTTTTCGTCATATTCTAGTTGTCGTTCTGTCGATATTTTTTGTCAAAACGTATATATTAGCAAGTGATAAGTAAAATGGACTTAAATATAAACTTAAATATTGAATCAATTTATGCATATTTAACGTAAAAAACTTTTTCCGATATTTTGATGGTTTCAAAAAATTTATAATAATATATGTGAAAATACTCATTTACACGAATTTTTCTTGACCAAGAAAATTAAGTTGATCGTGATTCACTCTTAATTAAATTATATAGTACAGATGTAAATTCATACATACGTAAGCATTTTCTGTAAAAAAATTATTGAGTAAATTGAGAGAGATGATCACGTAAGATACATGTTTCTCTTAATTTTACGTTTTCAAATTTCTATCTTGAATATTAATTTTAATAAGTAATTCTAAAAAAATTGAACAGAAAAGGGTCAAATAACTAATAATTTTCTTTTTGAATTTTTTCCCTTTGTTTAGAATGAGTTGAGAAAGTGTGGGGGTTTTCGTTTATTCAGTCCTAGAATAGTTCTAGCTTCAATTAATATTCGAAAATTAACGCTACATACACTAAAAATATAGATCGTTCGGAAAGTACTAGCTGGAATAAAGTGCGCGGAAATGTAGAAATGTAAGAAAGTTAGAAATGTAGTGCAGATCTCTAGCATAAATTTTGTCGCTGCCTCATGAAATTTTTTTTTCTTTTTTAATTTAAAATTAAAAAAAAAATTTAAATTTCAAATGTTCAACCTGATATTAAGCACAGCAAAATGTTAAAATTCTCATTTAGAATAAGCTTAGAAGTGGAGAACTATTGATAGTTTTCAACTGAGAAACTATTGATGGTTTAAAAGTCGATTTAATACTATCGTCAAATAAACATCAATTTATGTCGAGTAATAAATTTTCAATTTTAAGTTCCATAACATTATTTTCATATGTATACACATTACATAAGCCAATTTTTGGCATAACTGTTTTAATGTGCATAATAATTTTACTAATATTCTAAAATATGTACTTGCCTAGTTTATTGGCAACCGAAAAAAAATTTAAAAAAAAAAACAAAATTCAAAAAGTTCAAAACGACAAACGATTTTTTGGAAGAAGGAAAAGTTCACAAATTAAAAATATTTATTAAATGATAAAAATATTTAAAGCTAATATTATGCACATTACAATGCCCGTGTGAACCGCTGATAAGTCTAATTACAGTTGATATATTTCAAATTTTATTATTTATATACTGCTTTATTCATTCTATATTAGGTTATAATAATACTACCATGCATATAACACTATAACATGTTTCTTTACAAATTAAATGCAGGCCACCGGTATATTATATTATTGTTGCATTACACAACTATAGATATATCACGATAATTTTACGACGATATATCGGTTATATCGATGGTGCAATATATCGATAGTTCTCCAATTCTAAATAAGCTTATATGAAATGATTTTGTGATATACATACATATATTTATATTTTATATGAATATATGTATGTATAACAAATCATTTAATATGATAATGCCTATGTTTCTTAATGACATATTATGTTTTATAAATGTATTAAAAGGGTGTCGTGGTTTTTTTAAGAACTCGCTTTTCGAGCCTGTTCTCAAAGAATTCTATTTTTTAAATTATTTTCAGTTCAAAAAAAAGAATGCAATATTTTGTACATATTCATATACAAAGTTATAGAACCGTATAACTCTTAATAATAAATTATTTTCACAATACATCTCATTTTTTTTTGCGTCTGGCCAAACTATTAGCGGGTATTATGACTTACCTTATATGGTATGTTTTCAAATACATATTTCATTTCTGGTTAGGAATATTAATTGTGATGATGAACTTTAGTGCTAAGTTAATAAGAATAATGTTAAGAAAATAATGGATGACTGTTAGCATTAGTCATGCAAATAAACTTTTGTTAGCTTTGTCAGCAGGCATTGTGTACACAAGTCACACATCAGTACATACACACATACATATGTAAGTATATAATGTGTACACTATTGCAGAGGTTTTAGTTTTTTTTTAAACTTTAATTTTCACTATAGTTTGAATTTTTTTACTCCAAATGTTCAGTTTAGTATAGTACGGTATTACAAATAATTGCAAGAAGTTTAATAATATACATATTATGTAGTTGATTTTTGTAGCAATAAAATTAATTGTTTCACTTTATTTTGCATTAGTTTTTGAAGCAAGTAAAAAAATCTATTTAGGAGAAATTCAAATAGGTTTCTGCACAAGGAAGGAACATAAAAAAATACTGTTTATCAGGTAAATAAGAAAAAAATTTACGTTTGTAGGTACATATTATGTAAATTCTTTTCCTATATACTATATTTCAATCAAAATTTTTTAATAAAATGTAATACTTTAGTATGTGTGTGAATTTACATATGTATGCATGTATATTTGCTCTAATAAGACCATACAAGGCTTGCTATATAAAGAATCGGAAACTGATGAGATCATTTTATATAATAATATTGTATTACACTTGGTGTGAAGAATTTCTTTTCTCTTTTTCATCCCCAGGAAGGGTATGGGACTGTTCCATGATATCATAGAGTCATATCTCAATTTCGCAAGTCATTGGTAACCAATATGCCGTAGTTTTTTCTTTATATCAAATATTTAAGGTTATTGATATTTTATTGTTGGTCTGTCGGTCTGTGTGTGCACGCGTGTATCTCAAGTTCTGCTGAACCGATTTTGATGAAATTTTATATGTGATACGATTGATCAACTTTTGGGATACATATATCAGGCCTCGGGAACTGCACTTTTTAGGGGGCCTGTTTTACATTTTTGAGCATTTTGAAGAAAATATTTAACCGATTTACTTGAAATTTCATATATAAGCTTCGCTCGACCGTCCGCAAAAATTCCTAACTTTTGGAAGAAATCAGGCATCAGCAACTGGACGTTTACTACGGGCCAAATATACATTTTTGTGTATATAAAGAGAAACAATCTACCGATTTCATTGAAATTTAATATTTAAATTCCACGTATTAAAACAATGAACATATAAATTTTTTGGAAAGATCAGGGCTCGAAAACTGATCTGCGGGCCGATTTTACATTTTTCACTATATCTACGGAACGAATTGACGGAATTTCTTGAAATTTGATATTTGAGTTCTGGCTGTTACCGAAACTAACTGGCGAGCATTTCAGGGAATTCGGGTAGCACATAGCGAAATTCTACTAAGAGCCAAATTTACATTTTTCTAGGTATGTTAACTATAAGCTTACTAATGTCCTAAAAATTGGAAATAAGTAGTTAACAGACATTTTTATAATATTCCATAACTTTTTCACTTAACTGGATAATACACATTGCGGTCGGTTATGTGCTGATCACATCAGATTTTTTTTGTATGCATTCAATATTTCATTATGAAAAGTGTTTTAATTACTTTCACATTAGTAATATTAAAACTTTAAAAACTTTATTATTGGGGTTATTATAAGTATGTCTTAAATTTAAAACATTTAAAACTTATTATTTGTATGGCACCTTCCCAAATCCGTTTTTCGAATTAGACCAACTACAATAGCTGCGCCTTTGGCAGTTTGTGAAAGCTTTGTTGTGTTCGTTCTTTTCGTTTTTGAGTTCCCGTGCGGGCGAACAGACGACCTCTAATAGGGTTAAAAAGCGAATGAGTTTGAAAAGCAAGTAGTTCGGAAACAGTTAATACGGTTATTATGATTCCAGAAGCGAATATCTGATCAGAATAATCGCCAAAATGTTATTATTGTTCGCTAACAATTAAATTTAAAAAATTACATTTGAATTTAATAAATAGATAAAAAAAGTTTATAATGTGGGTTGTAATAGTAAATACCTTTTTCAAAAACTTAAAGTTTAACCTGTATTTTTACATTTTTAATTTATGAAATAAATGAAGAAACATATGTTTTCATTGAGTGGCAATTTTTTTGAATGAATTCAATAGTATTAGTAGTGAAAAGGAGGAAAATGCAAATATTGGAATTTCATAATAGCTTTCATAAAGCCTTAAATTAATATAAACTACCTAATTCTTGTTCGTCAGTCTGCACCTAGTTTCAACTACAGTTTTTCATTTGCAATATGTACATATTTCTTTGAAATAAGAACGAGCAACATTTTTTAGCCCCATGGGTATCTTCGGAATTGCTTCTACTACGCTTCAGACACATTGTGTCATTTTCTAATATGTCAACAAAATAATTTGATGATGTGTTATTTTCAAAATTTATTTGATGTTGGGTCTACGACGTTGTTAACACTGAAATGTCATATCTAAAATTTTTTCGATACATATGTTTTTTATGTACTTTTTTCAGTTTTACATAGAAATTTTAAAATTAAAATAAATTGAAACAAAAAATTTTCTTATTAAAATAAGCAATTGAAAGAAATAATACAATGCATAAAAATTTTTAAATTTTCAAATGTAAATTAATACAATGTGTTTAAAAAAACGATACATTGTATTAAAATTTAAATTAAATTTTTTTTTTTTCGATTTTGACAAAATCGTAAGAACTTTTATTTGATGATTTCGAATAAACCCATGGTTATAGTGATGAGAAAACGATTAGAAAATAAATATCAAAATATTTTTAAAATCCTTCTTTTAATACGTAAAACCTATTTTCCGAGCTGGGAATTTTACTTATTAAATTTACTCATTGAACATATTAAGTACTGATAGGTATTAACAAATAAAGTATTATTATTTACGTATAGATGCGAATTAATAACATGTATAATATATATTTTAGTTAGATTCAGTGAAGCATAATATCACTTTTAGAATCGAAACATTTGTATATTATTAACTTTATCTATTATAATATGAGTGATACAACTTGCTTTGCTGCATAAACTGAAACCGTCAATGTGAACTTATAAATTCTGGACAAATTAATTGACGTTTGGAAATTGAATGACATCTTAATTCAACAAAAAAAAAAACAAAAAAATTGACGTTTAACTTTACAATTAAATTCAACGAAAAGTATCTTAAATAAAATAAAGTAAAATGATATTTATTAGAAAGTTATATATACATATTTTTTTTTAAACTTATCCAAAAATGATTGAGACATGTTAATTTAATGAAATATCTACAGAAAGATGACTTCAACGCACAAATCAGGTATGAACTTTTTAAAGAATAAATTTTCTAATGTAAGGGTGTTGCTTCTGTCAGGTAATGTAGGCGAATATGAAAATGAGTTAAATCCGCATATATGTATATGCAATATTTTTGATTGCTGTTGTTTTATTCGCAAATTTATGGAAAACTATTTTTATACGGGGTTTTCTTTAATTAATAATCATAAAATTCCAACATTATTATTTTCTAGTTTAAGATGAATAATAACTATGCAGAGAATACCAATAAATCATACCAACTTTTGTACATATGCATTATAGTGATACTCGTTGTTAAGAAAAAGGAAGTGAAGAAAAATGAAAAAGAACTTAAACAAATTATAACGAACGGTGTAATTTATTTTACAAATTTAAAATGTTTTTTATATATTTGTTACTGATATACATATTACACTCTTTTACCCAATGCCATCTGAATCTCTAATCAAAATTCATTACGACTGTTTTGAAATACATATTTATTTATAAATACAAAAATATTTGTTTATTTTTGTACATTCTGCATAAGATGTAGTTTTATATTTAGAAAAATCAGTCATATTTGCGATTTTTATTTCAATTTAAAAATTTTTATCTTATCGACCTGTTTTACTATCAGTAGATAAGATTTGTTGAAATGAGTTTGTATTTGAAAAAAAAATTATTTAACTCCGCTAATTAATTAGCTACATATGTATTTATGAAAGTTATTCAATGCCGAACTTTATTGAAAATTTCTTGTGTGATTATAAGAAGCTTGAAGACGGTTTTCTTACAACTGATCGTCGTAATTACTTTAAAAGTCGTATTAAATCAAAATGTTAATCAAAATCAATTTCAAAATATAATAATTATAAAATATACAAATATAAATTTCCTTTTCCTTTTAGATAATGTCAGTTCTCCTTCAACACCAGGGTCCTCAGGAATTACTTCAGCTCACAAAAATAGCTTAAAAAGCTCTAAATTAGCTAGACGAGCAAGATCCTTTAAAGAGATGAAGGATGGCCTTTTTGAAAAAATTTCGCAAATTCGGACTCCTACCAATACTCTTGGAAGGTACATATATATATGTACATATATAATTATAAATTTGTTTTAGCATTTTAATATTAAAAACACATACAAACTTACATATTGAAAAACTTTTTCAGCAAATTAATAAAATTGATATATTTCATTATACATATTTTTATCAAGGAAATAATAAAATCATGCTTCGTTAAATTGCTTGATTCTCTTAAAAATTTATTGCTATTTATACAAATAAGGAAAATTAACAAATGCTTAATTAAAATAATTCTAATATGACATTAACACTAAACAAAAAGAAAAACTGCTTTTTGAAAAAATTTAGGTTTTATCAGGTTTTTTTTTATCATATACCTACTCAAATATTTAATTCATAAATTTCTAATAAATTTATTTTTAATTAATCAAAAATCAAAGCTATAGAAACTAGTTTGCTATTTATAGTTTCAATTAGCTATATTTCATTGATATTAAAAATAATTTTTTGTGATTTATGACATTTCTGTTCTAGATCACATTCACCTTCTCATAAGCGTAATAGAGAAAATAAGACTACTGAGGAATCAAAACCGACTGATGCTCTTGATAGGCATGTTCGTGATATTAAAAATGCTTTGAAGCATTTTAAAGATGTTATCTTAAAAAAGAAATACGAGGTTTTGCCAGGCAATGGTACAATAATAATAGAGCTAGCTAATAATATGTGCTTAGGTAAATTAATTATTTTTATTTTACAAATATTGTATTTCAAAAACACGTATTTTAGCTTTGCAGTCACAAATTGAAAGTCAAACATTGCAATCAGCATTAAACCAAGTATATTTATCTTTAGCCAAATTATTAAAATTATGTGATGAGATTTTAGTATGTGAAGATGAAAATGATTGTGCTTCATTAAATGATGAAAACGTAAAAGAAATTGTTACATTATTTGAGAATGCGGTGCAGGTAGTGTGTTTTTTTGCTCTTTAGATTTTATTAAATGTTTCAGCAATTAGTTTTATTATTTCAGATATATATATACATATGTAATTTTAAAAAGTTTTACTATTTAGTTTAAAAAGTCCAATTTTATTATTTTAGAATCTTTTCAATGTTGCAATAGAAAAAATTCAAGACAAAGAAAACACTAACTCTACATCAAATACATTATGTAGACCGAGCATTGATATTGCTGGTCAAAGGACATCATTGCCCGATATTCCTCTTACTCCAAAGTAATTACATTTTAAGTTTGGAAGTTTTAATTCAAAAGACGTTGTGTGTGCATTTAAATTTGTATATTAATAATATCTTATTATTTTATTCAGTGAACGAGACATTTTACAAAAGTCTTGTTCGAATCCTATGAGAACATCACATAGCACCGAAAGCATTTTAAGGGATTCTAGTCCTCCACCAAAACCTCCTTTACCTGTAAGTCGGAAAACAAACCCTCCTCCGTTACCACCAAAAAGGCGAATTAATCAACGGATGCAAAATATTCCAGTTGAGAATGATAACAATACTGATTCTGCAATCCATTTAGGAATTGGTATAGATCAGTAAGTATAATACTAAATTAGATTTTATTTCTATATTATTACATAGCAATCTCTGAAGAGTTCCTTTAAGAGTGCATTGTTAAAACAGAATTTCATATTACTTAAAATCTAAATATTAATTGAAATCGCTCATCCTTTTCCTTATTTTAAAAATTATATGTGTGAAACTTTGCAAACCGTATTATATAAAAGTATTAGGCGTATATTTTACGGAAATAATAAAAAAATTAAAAAAAAACTTCTTGATTTGATCTCAATTTTTTTTAAGATGTGTGCATACATATGTTTTTTTTTAATAATTTTTATTCCGAGCATTCTTCAAAAAATTTTGAGATCAAAATTTTCTAAAGAAAATTTGAAATTTATGAACAACATAACATATCAAAAATTCAAATATCAATTCGAATTTTCAATTATTATTTCGATTAGATATATTTTTTAGTATAGTTAGATATATTTCAGTATATGTATATAGATATACTTTACAGCTTATTCAGTACTTATAGATTTTTGAATAGATTTTGAATTTTATTAAAATTTTAAAGAATAATTTGAAAAAGATAACGCCGGATATAATGTCAAATATATCATTAGCGATAATAATGATGTGATCACTTTTTATCACAAAATTTATGATTGATCAGAATAAATAATTGTTTTTCTTGATATTTTATGATAAAAAATACAAATTGATATCTTGGAAACAAAAAAGTGGGAGGAATTGATAAACTGATAATTTCAATGACCTGATATGTGATAGTAGATTGTCAAAAATTTGCATCTTCATGTATTTGAAGAGCTATAAATTGGCGGGAAGACGAGAAACGAATTAATATTAATCTAGGGAAATTTTAATATAGAAATAAAATCTTTCGCCTTTAATGATCTAGAAGTAATAAACAAGATGTTCTAATTCTAGAAGAATAAATAGAGATCAGACGGGCGAACAGAGAAACTAATATTTTTTTTAATTTTTTGGGAATGTGTCAAAAAAAATTAATGTACTCACTATTTCATTTTAATGCCTTTTGTAACAATTTTTTTTATACATGCATAAAATATAGTTATGTTTAAATATATAAGACCAAAAGAAACTCAGAAACATTTGACTTTCTTATTTCAAATTTATTTATCTTATTTATTTTTCTAAGTTTTTTTTTGGTCTTAAATATTTCCGCAAAACTGTATTATAGCTACAAAAATTTTGAAATTGTAGATTGTCATTAAGGTCTAAATCGCCAGATGATAATTCTAGTCTACTAAGTGCTAGTGCCGGTTCACTAGATTCTGCACTTAATCATTCACGTGAAGAAGATGAATTAAAAGCAATTGTGATGGAAACATCATTTGAAGATCAACATTCATTAGACAACGACTTCAACTTAGCAGCTTTTACAAGAAGTAAGGTTTTTTTTTTAATTGAGTTTAAATTAATATTAATTTCGTAATAATCCAGATTCTAACATAGTCAATAAGAACGTGGAAAAAAATATTTCATTTTTAGAAAATAATGAAATCAAAGATAACCGAAGATCCAACGAATCGGGTATAAATATCATATTTGTATTATATTTCTCTATGTTATAATATATGTATTTTGATGAATTTCCGATAATTACAGTAATCGGCAATCAAACGCAGTATTAACATTTTGAAGCAAATCAAATATATAAGAACAGTGTTGATAGTTTCTATGAGTATTTAATAGCTTTTAAAATATTTTAAAATTTGCAAGAAAAAGGGGTTAGAAGAGTCATGTATCCTGTTATAAGGCAAAAATGAAATACTTTGAGAAAATGTTCCAATTTAAGTTATATATTATCTTGACATTTATATAACAAAAAATTGAACCCAAAAAATTTTTAAAACGAAGAAATATTTGCAAAAAAAAAGTAAGATATGTATCTCTTCATATTACGGATTTTCATACGAAAAAATACGGAATATTTTAATAAAAATTGGCAAATATCAGAAATATAAACCTTTAATTGTAGCTCATTTTAGTAAAATTAGTATTTTCCTAATACGTTCAATTTTTTTTATATGTATGTATATGTATTTTCAAAGAATATATAAGTGAATATTTCAAAGAATTTCAAAGAACTTTAAGTCACCGATATTTATTATCATTAAATTTTAAAATTAGAAGGTCTTTTAACATAACTACATTTTCTAATTACATACACGTAAAAGCTTCGCAATTTTTAAATAGTTATATAATTTTTTATTTTTCTTGTTAATTTTTTTTTTTGTGCAAATTTCTATAATAACTGAAACTTAAACAAAAAGCCTTATACTTTGAAGGATTACATTAATATAAAAATTTGTTTTTTTTTGCACGTTTCAAAATGTTGGTAGCGCAAAAATGGAAGCGATTACTTATTTTTAAGTAATAATTTGGCTGAAAACTATAAAAAGCACAAACAATACGTTAAGAAAGATCAAATTATTACTTAGGAAATTATAAAAAATCTGGTTGTGTAGTTATCCTTACATTAATTATATCATTCATTTTAACAAGCAGATTTTTATAGAATAATTTTTAAAATAAATGAAAATCATTCGATAAAAATAAAAATTAATCAATAAAAAATTAATAAAATACAAATTTATAGGTTTTATGTCAGTACAATCTTTACGAACAAGTACACAAAGTGGTGGTTCTTCAACGAAACGTTCATCTGGTCAGAGTAATCAGTCGCAAAAATCAAACTCATTAACACCGAATAGCATAGATCCTTTAAGTATATCAGCAACAGCCAATAATAATGATACCATAAAATTTGAAACATATCATCAAAAGGAAGAACATCAAAAACATGCAGCAATATTTAATAGCAACAGTTGCGATCAAAATGTTTCACACAAACATTTATTACAACGACAAGAGTTAACTACCTGTAATAATACACTGACCTCAAGTACGAAGCAATCATTGACGTCAACAATGAAATCACAGCAAACTATTTCATCCTCGTCATCATCGACAACGTTTTCAACACTGAATTTTTCACAAGAAGAAATATTAAGCAATAATTTAAATGACATTGATACTTTAATTGACTTTCAAACACAGAAATGTAACCTACCAGGTAAAACTACTAACATTTGTTTAAATACATTAACACGAAATGGCAAACCACAAGGCAATGAAAACGTTGAGAAGAAAATTAACCCAACGAAAAATACATCGACAGTAATGTCAAATACTCAAACATGTTTGGGTAATGATATTAATAAATTAGGGGAAATGGATGAAGTCGATAATTTACGTTCAATATCACCTTTGTCACCGCCAGCATTACCAGCAAAAACCAGAAATAAACGGGATAATACATTTTTTCAGTTTGAAAAGAGGGATGACGATTTAGGGTAAATAAATTTATTATTTATCTGCTAAACTTAATCATATAATTGTATTTAGGCTTGCTCAAACGGATTTCATAGGTTTGCGTAGTACATCAACTTCAAATTTTATTGAGACAAGACATCAAAGTTTAATTGATCACAGATGGGGAGATATACCTCCACCTTTACCAGCAAAGAAAAAACACAGTATGTTGAAATTTTAAAGCATATATGTATATGTATATATATATTAAGTTTATTACAACAATTTTATTTCTTTTAAATATATGTATAAGCAAGGTGACTGTTTTTTAGAAGACTATAGGAAACGTAATATTTGTCTAAAAAAATTGATCTGGGCTTTGTACCCGCCACGTTAATATAGTATATCGGAATATTTTTTTCATTGTAATAGGATTTGTAAACTTTATAGTTTCCCTTAAATTAGCTATAAACTGTGTATGCACATTTCTATGCCAATCTACAGCTTTGAAATAAGTAAATCTATTTAGTTTTATTATTTGTTATCTTAATAAAATTTTTACAAATTTGTAGCGGATAGACTAAAAATAAAAGAAAATTATAAACTAAAAAAGTTTTGATAAAATAGAAAAGAAATTTGACATGTCAATGAAATTCGTAATACATATTGTAGAAGTAGTTCACAAATGACACTTTTTTTATTTGCCTTTATTTGAATTTAATGTATATTAATTTAATGTATTTTATTTGGTTTAAACCTGTATGACTTTAATTCTTGGAATAATTAATGCGTTTGTCTAATCAATTCTAGATTATAATTAATATAATATGTAGACAACTTAAGGTTGCTAAGTAGCAAAGTTTATAACATGATTTACAATAAATATTTCTATATGATATCGAATTCAGTGATATTTAAATTGGTATGACAAAATATAGTTTTATATAAATTTAGTAGGTTTATTTTTTTTTCTACTATATTTTGATGTTTTTATTTGATAGGAAAAAACCATCCTTGTTCTTTCAAATATAATATAAAATAACATAAAATGATAAATTTTAAACTAACTCTAAATAATTTTTAATTTGGTGGGGTTAAATTATGTCAAATAGTGTTTCAAAGTGTGGCTTACTCGGGTAAGTTTTATGAGAGAATTTAAATTTTAACACTCAATATTGCAAACCTGCACACATTTTCCACATTTCGATCAGAATAAGATCTGAAAAAAAGTGAACAGAATAAATTGAACAGGAACAAAAATATGTACAATCAATATTGAGACATTAATTTTACATTATGAATGTACTTACATAAAAATAATTTCAATAATTATTTAACACTTTCACTTAAAATACTTTAAAATCATAAACACAAATTACAAGAAACTTTATTTAAGTGTGATAATATTCTATTTAAAGAAGCTGAAATTTTACCATTTTTAGTTTATTAAAGATAATAAGTTATAAAATTATACAACTTTTAGCTCTAAATAAAAAATGTATTTAATATTTTTTGTAAATACGGAAAAGTGCAGTAAATTAAATGCAAACAATAACTATTATTATAAACATAAATCCATAATTCGTTGAGATTTATGAAAAACATAAGATTAAAAATGTGAATGAAATGTCAGCTTTTTATATTTCAGATTTAAAAATTATTTATTTGAACTCGCCTGAGTTATTTAGTTTCTATGACAATGAAGAAAAATAACTTTATTTTTGATAATTTCAGTTATTGCATATATGGAAATTTGTTCAGCATCATCACGTTCATCAACGGATGCATTACGTCATTCAGTTCATACTTATAATATAAGTTCAAATTCTTCAGATTCATTTTCACCAAATCGTAGTATAATTCACAGTCAAACAATGAAGTATGACTACTATTTATATTCCGATACTTTAAACAAAATATTTAATTTAATTAAATTCTATAATGTTGTACTTTTTATTTTTTCTTCAGTTTGCAGAATGTTAGACATCAGTTATCACAAAATTCAGTATCATCATTCGACAATGATGAGAAACCACCGGCATTACCACCAAAAAGGCAACCAAAATCTAATAATTGTAGAACACCAACTATTATAACAACACCACCTGAGAGTCCGAAACCAGGCTTTTTTAATGACAATATCGCAAGCGGTAACGTTATTAATAGTTGTACCATAGGCAATGATATTGCAAGAAATAAAAAAGCGACCAATCAAATAGTCGAAATGTCGACTGTTACCGAAGAAACTAGTGAAAATTTAATAGATGATCAAAAACAGAAAAATAATCAGAATCAAACAAATTTAGGCCTTACTGAATGTAATGATGACGATGATGACGAAGTTGTTTTACGGAACAACGAAAATTTAACCCCAGAAAAATTGGTAAATCATATCAAAATATTTTTTTAAATAATATTTTAATTATTTTGCTTTATCAAAAAACTCACTTTTGCTATTTACTTATTTACATATTAATTAAAAAATTTGGTTTGGAAAGAGCAGTAATGTTTATATACGTAAATATTTATTTTTAAGGTACCATCGCCTAAAATTAAAGTAGACCCAGGCGTGAATCTAATGGAAGAAATTGATGTCTCAGATTATTTAATTTTTAAAAAGGAAGGTGAAGATGGTCCAGATGTTAAAGGAGGCTATTTAGATGCCTTAATTGTATATGCAACTAAATTACATAAAAACAACGAAAACGGTGAGCTGGTTTTGTATTAGCAAAACATAAGTAGAAATTATATCACGCAATAAAATACTATTATTTATTAAGAAATTTGAAAAATAACTATAGGTGGATCATGATGTTAAGATTTTGATTTTAATTCTTATTCTAATCATGGCAGCTTATTTTAAATATGAAACTAATAATTTGAGATTCCGAAAAATGTAGTTCGTAGAACATTCACACAATGTTTTTTGCGGACTTACTTTTCATAACAACATTTCAATTCTGCAAACATGATCATGTTATTTAAGTACTGAAAAAATTTGCATATCAAACATTAAATAAAGTTTCTGTACATAATTTTATACGTTATTTCTTCATGTTAGGAGTTTTTTGAGCAACTCTTGAATTATAAAAAGAAATTAATTAAAATTAAATTCAAGCCAAATTTTTGTTTAAATTAAATTCAAGCCAAATGTTAGAACACGTTAAAAGAAATTTTTTAAACGTTACTCTTTCAATTTTTGGAAAAATTACCGCAGTTCATATCTCTACAGATTTTATCTTAAAATCACTTAGGAACAAAAATTTAAATATCGTCAAAATATATTATGTATATTCTAATCGAGTAGACGAATAATTATGTTGTAATTAAAAATGTGCAATTTTTCGATTATTTATGTTTTTGGGTCCAAATCAAAATCCCCAAAAAAAATTGGAAGGGAAAATGTATTACATACATAATGTGTTATTTCCAACATTACTCGTATAATTTTACTTTAATAGGATTATTTTCATGCACCATCTGTTCCTACTAAAAATATTTTATTTTTAAATAAAAACATTTTCAGTTTCTTTTAATTTTTCCTTAAGTCGTCATTTCAACGTTTTTCTACGAATAGCCTATATCATAAAAATAATTAACTGATTTTGGATATGGCCAATTGAATCTGAAGTATAATTAAAGTGTAAATTTTTGAAACTTTGTGAACACAACACCAAATATTAAATTGGTTTTAAGATGAAGTTCGTAAAGATCTGGATTAAAGTAATTTTCTTATTCCTATTAAAATAACATTATTTCTAATGTAAAAATATCCTAAAGCTGCAATTTAATTTACAACTAATAAATACATACTATTAACCAAAATAATTATATTTTAATAAAAATAATTCAGTTTTAAATATTGCTGAAGTATAGTCCTTAGGACATGTAATTATTGCACAAAAATTAAATAAGGATTTTGCAAAAAGAAAAAGAAATTTTTTACACTAAAAATTAAATAACGAATGTCATAACTTAATTCAATTTTATTTTACATACCTACCTCTTATTTTAAGATGAAGAATGTGATGGTAAGAATTAAAATTTCTATTATAATTTATTTTGAAGTTGTGCATGTGAATAGTTGAATTATTTTTTGTGTGTTATTTTTATATAATATTCGTACCTATACATCAATTATGCCTGGATAGCCTAATCATATGATATGTTGAAATTTTTACATCGCAGTGTTGTTGAAGTTTCCTTTTCATTCTATCATTTTTCCATACTTTTGAATTCCTGTCAGTCTAAAAATCCTTTCAGGTTATCCTTAAATTTTTCCAAAAAATTTCCTTTACAGTTACATTAAAAATTTTTTGTTCTAAATTTTTTTTAGGATACGTGATAGATTAGATTACATATAATAAATAGATTAAATTTATTCCATAGAATAAATAGATATAATAAATAGATTATATAGATTCTATATAAATATGTGATAAACATTTAATTATAAAAATACTTTTTAGTGCAGTTTTATGTGCGCTAATTTTTTTAAGGGTTACATACATACATTAATTCATATGTATATGTATATTTTAGACTCTTTTTACAATTTTGCATTAAAATTTAATTTTTTCTTTATATTTTTAGATAAATTTTTTCTAAAAACTGTGTACTTGTATTTATATAAAAAAATATTTATAATAAGACAATTAATTGATTGAGATTTTAGAATATTTTTTGGTGAACTATTGGATAAATTCTTAGAAGAATATGTTCTTTTTGCCAGTTCGTCTTCGTATTCATTTACAAAAGAAATAGTCTTTGCGTCATTAGTAAAAGATAAAAGCTTTTTTAAAGAATCTGACAAAGTATTAAAACAAATTTTCGGAATCACATTAGATTTCAAAGATCACATTAGATAAATTTTCAAAGCTACAGTTATTTATCACAGTAAAAAAAAAACAGATATTATATACCAAAGTTAAAAAAAACCGAAAACAGTACATACAAAAATACTAGCGTTAGAATATTTACAAATTAGGCAATGTTTTCATAAAGAAAAATCATGTAAGATTGATTTTAAATGTTACCTTTTTATACTTAAAATATTCCAAATGCCCCGAAAATACCAACACTTTTTTTTTTCAAAAAATTTTTTAAGAGAACTTATCGACGAAATTATACATTTCATTTTACTTAAGTAGTTCTGCTAAGTTAGTTTATTTAATAGAATATTAAACTAAAAATAGTTGAACATTTTATCAATGCGTGCCTGCATTGATTTCTCCAGTATATGTTTTTCAGTTTTCCAATTTTCCTGAAAGAGTAAATGTTTCTATATGGTTAAATTTGAGTAAAACACTAAAGTCTCGTTGCATGTGCAATTTTAGGTTGATATTTGCATCTCTATTATGTCTATACATATAAATTTATATACATCTGAATATCTGAATTTCAGGAATAAGTTTAATGGCAGTTTCATATAACTCTTTCTATACTTATATATTACATATTTTTTTTTTCTTTTAAGAAAAGTTTTTTCAGAAAATTAAAATAAAACAAACCATGAATGAAGTGTATGTTTCATAATTACAGAATTCGGCGAAGCATTTATAACAACATTTCGAACTTTTATTCGACCAGTCGAATTAATACGAAAGCTGATAAATCGTTATAATGTTTTCATATGTGAAGCACAAAAGAAAAAGGTAGCACGGGAAACATATTCTTTATTGTACCGTGTAGTTAATGATTTAACGTAATTACCTTATTAGTTTTTTTGCTGAACATTTACTAATTAAATAACTTTTTTTGTTTAAAGGGCGTCTGATATTGATCCGCATTTATATTCTATATTAATGGAGTTTGTATATTGCTTAGTTAGCACTGGAGAATTGCCCGATGCAAAAGTAATAAGAAACAAAATTGTTGACAAAATAAAATTGTATAAGGAGCTTAAGTATGGTAGCAGTTTATATGAGCCACAAAGAAATATTGTAACGAATCAACCAACTTTGTTAGATTTGAAATCAAATGAAATTGCGGAGCAAATGACACTGCTAGATGCTGAGCTGTTCCAAAAGATTGAAATACCCGAGGTATTATTGTAAGTATTATGTTTGACGGATTTAAAAAAATTCAATAACTGTAATTTAAAATATTCGACAATATTATAAACTTTTCCAAATCCACATTTATTATAGATTTGCCAAAGATCAATGCGATGAAAAGACGCCAAATTTAAATAAATTTACAGAACACTTTAATAAAATGTCATATTGGGCTAGGTCACAAATATTAAAGCAAGATGACGCAAAAGATCGCGAAAAATATGTTATAAAATTTATTAAAATTATGAAGCATTTACGTAAAATAAATAACTATAATTCATATTTAGCGTTATTATCAGCATTAGATTCTGGGCCTATTCGAAGGTGAATAGAAGTTTTTTTTGAAGATGAAGTGTGAAAATAACAAACGAAAAATATAATTAATATTTTAGACTGGAATGGCATAAGACAATTACTGAAGGACTGAAAGAATATTGTGCACTTATAGACTCTAGTTCGAGTTTTAGAATTTATAGACAGGCATTGGGAGATACAACACCACCTTGCATTCCTTACATGTAAGTTGAACATTATACTTTATACTATTATATTTTTACAATATTATAAAATATACTGAATAACTTTGCTTGCACAACCAGAATATATTATAACAGCAACAAAATAAAAAACCAAAAGATTATTACACAGTTTGGAAACAAATCGTGCTCAACACTCATGTATTTACAAATTAAGTATTCTTCTCGAGCTAAAGTACTCTTTGCGAGTTTAGACATCGATTATCCTAATGGTAGTCTGTGCCAAGGACGGTTTCTGGTGACTATATACTATTATACTAAATATTTTTGTACTTGTTTGAAATCTAGTATTTATTATGCTACAAAATCCATTATTTATTAATATGAATTTAAACTGAAAAGTTTATTTTATAGGTTCGTTTACATGGGATATGCATGTTAAAATTCGAAATCCAAAAATCTAAAACGAAAAAAATCCCATCGACTGATTGTTCACCAGTAAATCGAGAATCTACAGATTTTTTAATTTACAATCCGTTTAGGCCTTTCAGAAACAAGGACTCCTTTATGCTATAAATTTTGGGTATTACAACCATGTCCAGCGAAATGCGTTCTTGTATTCCCTAACTCATTATTTTTTAGCTAAATCATTTGTTTCCAACAGATATTTCCAATATTTTTTTAAGGTACAATCTCTTTAATATCTGTCTACTTTAATCTTCTCACAAATGCTGTTCAATTTCCAATTACTTTGTACATCATTATTTCAGTTTCCTATTTTGGCACGATATCCGCTCCGTACAACTGCCCTAAATTTAACCTATTTAAATTTTTGTTTTTCTGACTTATTGATGCTTTCCAATGAGTTACCACAGTAAGTCTTCCATTAAAATTTTTTGAAAGCTTCTAATTTTATTTATGCTTTGAAAAGAAAAATTCCAAGTAATTTGTCAGTTTTTTTTTAATGGAATACCTGATTTAAATTGGGCTTTAAAGTTCTTTAAAAATAAGGTTATACTCATATTCCAAAAAACATCGTTCCATTTAGAAACGACGAATGTAACGTCATGGGTAATTGGAAACTGCAATTAGTAGTTGTAGTGCACTTTTATAAATTAAGTCTTTTTTTTTTGTAAGTTATGCTTAATTGGTCGATTTCCATTTTTTCTGTGTACTTTGTCAATTGTGTTTTCATTTTAAATATTTGATTTAGTTCAATAATTTCATATTAAGATAAAAACGCAAAAGACGGTGTATCATCAATTAACCAAATAAATAACTGGCAATATAGTAACTTTATAAATGAGTCAGTATCTCAAATCAGGAACTCAATTCCTATTTTGGGTTTGTTACTTAGCCGATGTTTTTGCAAGTAGTTGTGCATGGACTGATATTTTAGTTATCGGGATTAATCACATAACCGATCTTAGGGTTTCAATCACATAACCGATTATAAATAAAGTACTTCATAAGGAAAATATTTAAATTTGAATTTAAAGATTGGAAAGAAATAAAAATTTTGAGTATTTAATGAATTTTGTGACTAATTTCTATATATGGATCAAAATTTTTATAGAAAAATCTTTCTATGATTTTAAAGAAACTTCTTGTATCTTTAATTAATTTTCAACTTTATGCTTAATAAATCCCCTTTTCCAATAAATCTCATTTATTTTGACTAAATTATGCTAAGATATAAGTTTTATAAACTGACTAAAAAAAAGTAACATTCTTTATCTTAATGGAAATTTCTTCATGCAACTGCAGAACAGATGGATGACGTAATCAAAGGAACGAGTTAAAGGCAGTTGTTCTGCAGTTGCATGAAGAAATTTCCATTAAGATAAATTAGTAGTGTAATAGGCACATTCTTATTGATTCCGCAACTATAATGTTGTATTAGTAAAATTCATAAAATAACATTCATTTTTTTAGTGGATTAGTATTACAAGATTTAACATTTGTTCACGTTGGTAACCCAGACTATTTAAAAAACGGAGTTATAAATTTTTCTAAAAGATGGCAACAATATTTCATTATTGTTAATATGAAAAGATTTAAATCATGGTAAATATGACTTTAGTTATTTAATTTAATTTGCGTATTAATATTTTTATTTATATTCTAGCTCATATTTATATAAAAGGAACGAAAAAATAATACAATTTTTTGAAAATTTTGAAAATTTCCTCGGTGAAGAACAAATGTGGCAGATATCAGAGAATATTAAACCTCGGGGCAGAAGACCAAATAATAATTAAAATAATATATGTATGTATGTACATATATGTTAAAACGACAATGCTTGTAACATAGCAACTTAAATATACAAAAAAATATAGCACTACTTATATAGAAACCAATCATTAATCAATCATAAAAGAACCGCATCGCTTAGTCTACTTGTTAGTTTTGTTTATAGTTTATTGAGTACATGCATTCATACATAATACATATGTCAATGAGACATTTTGAATACAATTTTAAAATTATTTTTTTTTTAGTTTAACCAGGTTTAAAGCTTAAATTGATTACCTTGTACAAATATAGGAAAGCTTTTAAAACTTAAAAAGTATATAAATCAGATATAAAACTTGTATATTTTAAATCTCTTAACTTTTTATTTGTGGACAATTCATTATATATAGTATATTTTGCAAGTCATCAATGCAATGCTACAAACTTATTTAAAATTGTTCGTTTAATATTTTTATTTATTTTGTATAATAGTTATATTATGACTTTTGTAGCGTGTATGCTACCTTTAGAGATTTGTATTTAGTGATACGGTTATGATAGCAATATGTCACTAAGTTTTTTTCTAGCATTTATCGGAGAGTATTCTGAAAATACAAAAAGTAACTTCAAAAATAAAATCTAATATTTAATTTAAAAAGTTAATATTGCCTCAACAATCAAACTGTCGAAATCAATTGAAGATTAGATATCGTATATATAAAGCAGTGACAGAAAAATGTTTTTGCTAGTAATTTTCATGAAAAGAAACTAATTTAGATTTGATAATATAAAAGTCTAGGACCAAAAATCAAAATCTATCGCATTGAATCTTACATTAAACCCTGATAAATATATTAGTCAATACATATACATACATATAGTTTTTTTATATTAAATTATTTGCTTGAAATTTATTTTTTAACTAAGTTATATAAACCCTTGCACGACTGTGAAATCATAATACCTTTTTTTGAAATTTTTGAAGTTTAATTTGTGAGTAAACGAGTTTTTTTTTTGGATTTGCGAAATATGCGAATTTAAAATACAAAGAAAATTTTACTTATATTATATTTATAATATTTCTGATATTTAAAATATCTATTTAGAATATTTGCAATTGAAACTCAAAGAACTTTGAACAATTCAAAGACATCATATATATCTCACCGTAAGTAATGAAATATACATTATTGAAAAAACAAACTTTTCTTTACGAAGTGTATTTATTTTCAAGATTATAATTTAATCTTAGAATGTTTTAGTCCTGTTTTAATAGATAAAATACCTAATCGCTACAAATACCAGAACAAAAATTTTTGTTTCTGGATATACTATAACCCCAAAAAGTATCGAATTACAAGGAGGCCTATATGGCACCATTATTAATTTTTTATTTGCCCAATTTTCTAATTTTTTGACATATTGTGTAAAATAACATATACATTATTATTGTATGTAGTATAGTTATGTAAGAATAAATGTTTGAAACAGACATGAATATTCAATTAGAAACTGTATCAATTTAAGCTAAATATTGTAAAAGATAATTATTAAATTTTATATTTTTATATTAAAAATTATTTCAGTTCCTTTTATTGTTTGATTACTTTGAAAAGTTTAATAAAATATATAACACAATGAACGAATCCCCATTGAATGGTGCAATGATATTATACAGATAATTTTGAATTTATAAAATTACAAAGAAAATTTTAAAAGGTGCTGCTGTATTAATTTATAAGTTTTAAATTTATTTTTAAACGTAATATTTTAAAAAAAAAATTGTATTCATTGTATATATTATTTTATGTTTTGGGGATTTTTATAATTTTATTTAAATTAAACTATTTAAATAATATAAACGTATAAAAAATAATTTATTGAGTAAAATTCCATAAATATATATAAATTAAGTGTAGTAATTAATTTAAAAATAAAAAAATGTAATGGTATAAAATGCCAAATGAATAAAGATTAACATCAAAAAGATAAACATCAAATATAGCTCAAAACTTAGCACAACATTTTTAATAACATAGATATCGTGAAAAATAAGATGATTGTGTTGTGCCAATTTGAATTCGGCTTAAAGAGTAATCAAAAATTTACAAAATTCTAAAATTTACGAAACATTGTTTGGAATCTTTTTCGCCATTGAATTTTTTGTTTGTTATCACAAAACTAAGAATAGAGTGTAATTTACTTTTTTCCGAAAAGTAAATTAATAGTGCACCCGAAATACTAAACGATGTACATATTGATCAGTGATTATGATGAAATATGAGGATATATGTATCGGGAATTGTTTTAAACAATTTCAGTTTTCTCACTGCGGACTTTTTCTTAAGTGAAGTTTGTTCGTTTGTTAATTTAACTAAGAACCTTTGTGTGAGCTATTTACGAAGTGAATATTGGCTTACATAATATACTGCCCGTTATCATAGGATTAATGCTAAAGTCTTGTTTTACTTTTTCAGTTATTTTTTCCATTTATCAGATTTAAAGTGAAAAGTAAATATTTCTTTTAAAGAATCTACTAAATTTGTAATTGAATTCTGTATTTTTTTTGTAAAAAGCCGCTTTTAACTTAAAACTAAATTGTTAAAAATTTGTGATGCTCTCTTATTTTTTGTTCACACGAGAATTAAAGAAAGCAGATACAGAATGAGATCTTTAATTTTTGTATTAAATGCGCAATGCTTATTTTAGTACATATTGTGTTTTTTTATTGGTTTATGACATGAAATTTGCTTTTATTAAAGAATTTATAAGTTGCACAATTAATCGAATCAAGATACACAAAAAGTTAATTTCCCGATCCGTAAAATACATTGTATGTAATTATGTATGTATATAATTTAATGTTTTACATATTTTGTTTGAAAAACATATTTATCAGGTATATCAAATATATGCAATATATTATAACTAATAATGATATCATATTATGTTGTGTAAAAAAAAAGTTTTTACAAATAAATTTTGCAGTAGCAACTAAAATGAGATGAAAGAATTTAATATAATTTTAAAAAAAGGAGATAACGTTGTGAAAAACGCAAAAATAAAGTGAAATTCAAATAAAACTTATGTATTTTATGAATAATGTATTGAAATAATACAAAGGAAAAGTTTACAATATTAATATATTCGCAAATAATATTAGCAATATAATGTATACATATTAATATCTTTATTTTAGTATATGTCGCTTTTAGCTTTTAGAATAGGTTGCAATAACTAAAAGAAAAAAATTATTTAAATATAAATAATACACATACACAAATATTAGAAAAATGATGAAATAAATGTTTATTAATTTAAATTTACCTTGTTTAATTATGGTGTACTTCTTACTTTTGTCACTTGAAGTCAAAATTTTAATCTAATTTGTAAACACGGGTTTGTATAGTATGATGTTATAATGAGTACAGGCTGAAATTTTATAGTTTACGTTCGATACAACTTTGTTGATTTTGGTTAAGGATTTATCAAAATTTTATTTTTTTCATAATATTAATGTATCAGGCTAATTCTATATCGCTTTTCCAGTTTTGGAAAAAGGAGAGATATGTACATACAAATTTAAAAACTTTATGAATATAGTTTTTCGGTTTATGATGTTTTCACTTATTTTTCTTAGTTCTTTATTTTTCATTTTTATCTTGATACAGAGTATCAAGATGATTTCATGTAAGGTGACAAATAATTTTCGGGATTATTATTTGATCAATTTTCAGAAAAAAATTGTAAGGGGAGGATGCAGATATACTTGTTTTCGAATTACGGCCTGTTGAAAAAAGCTACCTGATTTTTCTTGCATGTAAATAAATGCTTAAAGATGCCATCGGAGGCTGGTTTCACAAGCGATTGATTGCTCCTCATTTCCAGTCTTACAGTTAATTTGATTTGAGCCATAGTTTTCGAGGTAAAGCTCGTCAAAGTTAAAATTTTTGCTTTTTTTATTTTAATTTTTTTGAAAAACTCCAAATTTTTGATACATATGTATGTATAGATACATATGTATGTGTAGCTACAAAAATATTTTTTTAAAATAAAGTACTCTATTTGACCTTTTATCGCTCTAATTTCTTGCTAAGATATAAAACACAACCATTTCAAGTTTTGAAGTATTTAAATTATATTTTTTCTATCGATTCAATATATGTATTTTTTACGTACATATTATTATGTAAATTATATGTTGTTACAATTATAATTTTATTATACATATAATACTTAACATAATTAATTATTTTAAGGCAGTAATGACAACAAGTGACACATTTTTGGGTAAATTTTTTTCTACAAAATTGTCAAATTATCATGAAGTAAATAATATAAAAGGAAAAATTTATTAAGTATAAAAATGAAGTAAAAATTCTCCGATTGAAACAAAGACTTTGTTTAAAATTTTGAAATAATATGTAAATAATTATGTATTTGCATATCTATAATAGTTCAATCACTACACCATGAGAAAATAAAAATAGAAAATAAATCTAGACGTGCTCAGACATTACGTTTTATTTTGAGAAAAATAAAAAATTTTACAATTTTATTTCTCTAGTATAGTGATTCATATAATGTCATATAAATCTATCAGGCCATTAAGCTCAGAGAGCAAATAAAAAATAAATTCCAAATTTATATGGAGTTTAAATAAAAGCGGTGTCGGAATTTATTTGTGTGAAGGAAATTGATCAATATTTTCGGCTCTACTGATTCTACCTTTAAATTTCAAAAAAATCGGTTGGTAAATTTCACCTCAAAAATGCATTACAAAAAAAATGTTATTTTTAGCGCAAACAACTTTTATTGTCTTTCAAATGGAAGGGTACTGAATTACAGAGTAAAATTTTTGAATAAAAAATAGAATTTAAAAATAAATTGAAGAAAAAAGCAAAAAAATAATAATTATAATCTAGATGACTTTTCAAACTGTACTAAATAAAATAAGATTCATAAAGAATACTCAAAAATTTCAAGTCAAAAAAGAAATAAAAAAATATTTCAATCGGCATACTTCGAAAACATAAAACATTAAAAATTGTTTTTGTATTTTTCCCGATTCAAAATTTCGGAAAATATTTTCAGCTTGGAGGACTGATAGATATATATGGCATTAGCTTTATATATAAGGACTTTGCTCAACTATTGAAATGAGAAAGAGTGAGTCTAATTTTTACGTTAGTGAAAATCAAATATAAAGTTGAAATAAAATATATTTACCTCAACCAAAGATTTCTAGTTTTTTTAAATTTATGTATTTATTTAAGTATACTATTTATTCTATTATATTATTTACTTTATGATTGTATACATGTAAATTTACTTAATTTTTCAACGATATATGTAATTTTATGTAACATTATAAATAGTAAAGTTTAGCTGTTTTACTTTTTATTTAATATTATTCTTATATTGATTCGGCAATCAAGCCTCAATTAGAAATGAAAACTTTAAATAAATTATTATTTCATAAAAGTATTTGTTAGTATACATAAATATGTGTATACTTTACTACATGTTTCTTATTATTATAAAATTTTTCTATTTGATTTACGTTGCAATTATAATATTATGAACCGTGATTATTACTTATGTAAGTATATTAATACATATTTACTTATGAAATTTACATTTTCAAGTTGCGTTAACACAATAATGCACTTTTTGATGTACATAACAGTATTTCATGGAGTTCATCAAATTACCATATTTTTTATTACAAAATCACGACCATTTATCAAAAAAATTTTGAAAGTCTAAAAATTAATATAAAAAGAGTTATCTCTCAAACCTATGACATAAGCAGTTCGTTATCAAATTATATTCTTGACCGCGTTTGCGTTAAGCTCCAATTAATTATGAAAATGTAAGTATTTCCAAAAGTTTTATATATCGAAATCGATATTATATGAGCAGTAAAGTTCTTGAACTAATTATGCTTAAGGAGTATTAAAAATATTAAAGTGAAATAATTTAACTGAAATAATTTTATCAAAATAATGTAAGACTTAAATGTAAGACTTTTATTTTGATAAAAGGTAAAGAAGAAATATAGGCCTTTATTATGATCGGCGAAGTGAATGAAATTTTTGGCGAAAATGAATTTTTGGTATTATGATTAGCGAATTTGCCTAAATTTTTGGCGAACGGGTTGTCAAATCTGTCGAATGAAAATTCTGTGTGACAAACTTGGCTTGTCCAATCGATAAAAATATAGGGAGAGGGTTCGAAAGGGGCTCTTTCGGAGAAGTATAGGTTCCATTAAAAAAAATTGACGAGCTTTCCTATGATCTGTAACTCCTGCTTCCCCGATCGTTTTAGGAAAAAGTCTTTATTTTATTTTATTATTCAAATGAAATTTTTAAGTATGTGCATATGTACATATACTGGGGGTTTCGCATAATTTGGCAAATAATTTCAGGGATGATTTTTGATCAATTTCCAGCAAAAAATTGTAATTGATTTTTGATCAATTTCCAGCAAAAAATTGTAAAGGCGGGTGCAGATATACTCGTTTTCGACTTACAGCCTGCATATAAATAAATATTTATAACTTTGGAACCATGTAACATAGAGTAACCATCGGGGTTGCAGGCGATTTATTGTTGTTTATTTTCGGTCTTACAATCAATTTGATTTGAACCATGGTTTTCGAGATAAAGTTTATCAAAGTCAGAATTTTTGACTTTTTTTTGAAATTTTTTTTGAAAATTTGGAAATTTTTCGAAAATTTTGGTTGTTCTTTTTTCTCATAGTTCACCAAATTTTCTCATTTGGTGCTATCTCTCATAGTTGTGCCAGTAAAACATGCGAAAAATGCATATTTCATACATTTCATATAAATTCCTTATTGTACATACTAAATACAAAATTATTTTTATTTCGATCCCTTAGTGAGAAACACATGATCATCTATAAATATTTTCATGAACTTTTGTAATTATTAATTGTTTTATTTTATTTTGTTAATTACAAAATTATGTAAAACAATTTCTATTTGTTTAATAAACAATAAAAACTAGAAACAGTAATTAAAGAAATTTTTGTAATTCTCTATGTATATTGAAATTGTCTTTTGTCATTTAGCACTTAATTTCATTCATAAATTAAGGACATTTTTTCTTATTAGAGATTAACGAAAATTAAGTTTTTTTGATATAAATAATTTCGTTATAACTTAGTACTTATAAATAACAATTATAACTTAGTACTAAAATTGTTACCCGTTTGAAATTATTGAACGAACTGTTAAAGAACTTAATTTTTAAAAATGTAGAATTTCTGCTCCTATCTGTTCGGAAATTTACTGTTGCATAATCAGGTTAACATTTGGGTCAATTTTCCAGTTGAATGCAAATTGCCACAATTTTCTAACAAATATCAAATTTAAAATTTTGGCAAGGGTACATTTTTGTTAGCTTAATAGAGTTCTAATTTAGAAATTACGTTACCAAAATCGTCCAATTATGAAAAAACAAAAAGATCCCTTTCAAAATTATTAATAATAAAATGATTAAACTACTCATGATTTGACGAGACAGCTTTTCAGCTTAAAATAGTTGATAATAACGAATTAATATCAAATATGTAACCCAATCTTGTGTTATCAATTAAAATTTGAAAGTTTTGAGGATACAAAAGTTTAAGTCATATTTTTCGTGTGTTTGTAAAAATTGTAAATATGATAGTCACGTAAGTATTGTAATAGCACATTAAAAGATGCATTAAAACTACAGTTTTGATTTTTAATATGTAAATATTTTTACGTTAAATAAATAATAAAACAATATCACTCGTAATAACTTGGTCTCAAAAAAACATTTTTTTAATATATTTTCAACAGCAGAACTAATATAAATGCCTGTAGTTACTGGTGAACATTTGCTCGTGCGATAATGAATACTTGCATTGTATAAAACAAATTTTTTTTAATATTCATAAACATTCTTTCAATTTGTTTTTATATTTTTATATTTTTTAAGATCTTAAAACAACTAAATTTTAAAATTCGATTTCTATAAACTAAATAAATCTTATATTATCTACGTATCAATCCAACAGATTTACATACATAATGTATTTGATTTTTTTATTATTTTCTTTTTAATTTTTTTTCTTTAACAAAAATTTACAACTATATTTATATGTGTATATATATATATATGGGTTTCAAATATAAACAATGAATTTATTACCTAAGATTTACACATAAATAACAAAAAAATTAAGTATACTATAAATTATGACAACGAAAAATACAAAATCTGCAATAGAAAACTCTTAATAATCTAAAAGTACATTTATATGAGAAATAAACTGGGATACTACGCGTTTTTATATATAAAACGCAAAAATTAAATGTGTGACTACTTTTATTGCTATATAATATTGTTAACATAAATGCTCCTTGTCAATATCAATTCAATTAAACAGCGTTCAAATTTTCCATATATTCTAAATATGTAATTACTTTGAGTAAAAAGTTTAAAACTAAAAGAAGTTTAAACTTGGTATATAGAAATGAGATAATAGAACAATATTTTAATATTTTACAATAAGAAGTTCACTTTCAGCTTCGGACATTCAAGGTGACTTTCTCAGAAGGTCTCAGATGTCTATTTAATTTTATATAGAATTGTGTTACATAAAGTCCAACCCAAAAATTGGAGGTAAATAGAACAACCTTAATTTTCTTGATTATGCTTATAATAATGCAAGGAATGCTAATAATTTTAATAAAGTTTTCAATTTATAATTTTGATCTTTGAGCGGTATAAAGGTTTGTGTTTTGAGTGTTTTTTATTTTAAACGTAAAAGTATGCTGAAAATAATGATTTTTCATTTAAATCATTTTCTGATGATACTTTACTGTATTTATCTTAAGTAGTCGTGGTGTTATATGTATTGTATTACTTTTTTTATGTTGCCGATGTAAATAACGCAATTTTATTTGAAAAAATATGATAATGAACGACAAAAATTCACAATCTATCAATCAAAGTTCTTACTATTTAATTTTTTATTGCTGAGTAATAAAGCGAATAATTTGACTAAATAATTCAACTTGTATGATTAGGTTAGTAATACAATTACTAATTTAAATTAATAATTTAAAATTACTAATAAAAAGTACAATATGGAGTTACATAATTAAATATACGAAAGTTAATCTTAGAAAATCATTTAATTTTTTATGATTTGATTTGCTATTAATAATATGTATAATTTCAAGAAATTCCTGGTATTCTTAATACCAATTCGATGTTATCTTGACAAAATGATAGGTATTTTTAAATTTTACTTAAGAAACTTTTCTGTGTAAAATAGCGATGCATATTTGCAATGTGGTTCGCTTTTATGCCATAGAAATTAATTTTGATTTCTCCTAGTTTTGAGCGATGGACTTCTTTTATTTTGAATAGTTAAAATACTATTAATTATTCATGATGTTATTAAAAATACTTATGTATATGTATTGATATATAATATTTGATAACATTTGATAGAATAAAGAATTTATAACAATTAATGCGACTGAGAAATTTTTCAATGAATTTTATATTTATTTTTCAAAATTAAAAATTTACCGTAAATTATATACATATTTACTTTTCAAAAATAAAAATATTCCGTCGGAAAAATAACGGAAAATATTATTAGTAGTAAATATAAAAATATTGGGCTAATGTTACAACATTCACAAATTACAAAAATTTTCATTAAATTTTTATTGTGTTGGTACGAATGTACTTGATCTATGTTTTGAATATTTTTCTATGAACATATTAAAATATTACATATTACAAAACTCATTACATATAAGTTTTTTTTCAATGAGGTTCCAAAACTGTATGTTCAATTACCATATTATTTGAAAAGTAAAGCAATTAGTTTAAGTTAGAAATGATGATAAGCATTTTGAAACTAGTTGTTTCATTCATATGCAGTGCTATCATATTAAAGCTAGCTTTATTCTGAAACTTTAACTTTGCTATGTTTAGTTTCGAATTGTATCTTTTTTAAATTGCGTCACAATTTTAAAGAAACATTGCAGAAATGCAATTTGAAAATTGATTGTAAGTTCGGCCCAAAATTTTCTTTCAAAATAATGCTACTATATACTTTATAAATTTTAGTACCCCGTATTTATTTCTTTACGTATTTATGAAAAAAAACGGACACATACACACTTAAATAAAAAAAATTAAATTCTTTTACATTTTTTATTTTTGTTTTAAATGTTTTATAAATATTATATATTAAGTATATATAATAAGGCTACATGAAAAAGTCATAAATTAAAATGAGGCTAAATTTATAAAGAATATAATATGATAAAATACAATTTTATATAGTTTTTTAAAACTTTTTTACGATTTTAGTGAAACATTTAAAAATTAACAAAATATACTAATAATTAATATTAAGTTTCATTACTTTTTAATAATATTCATTTAATTTTTTTTTGAATTATAGTATTCAATGATTGTAGGCAGCCGATCGCGTAACTGGTCGTGCTCGTAATCTTGGCGGTAATGTCCATGTTGTTGTAGCTGTTGGTCATAGAGATTCCTTTGAAGGTACCCATATTGTCGGTCCAGATTGCGACCATATAAGTTGTTTTACTTTTGAATAAATATCTTCAATTGTGTCTCCTTGTACGACACCTTATGTTCAAATAAAATAAAAATGTAATAGAGGTGAGTTAATAACTTTTTAATGAGTACTAGTGTTTTCAAAGTACAACATTTTCAAATTTAATATTTTTAAATTCATGTGCATTATAGTAGCAAATAGCAACAAATATAATTATTTAATTAAAAAACTGTTTCAAAAATAAAGTAAAATTTAGCCTATATATCTTTAATACATTGTTTCGCAATATGCCCCCATATTCTTTAAAAGCATCAACTTTATATTATAGAATTTTATGTCTAACAGAATATTGGTGATTATAGAAATAAGCAAAAAAATAAACAAAAATATTACATAACAAAATTTATTTAGCACCTGTAAAATATTCGCCAAATTCTTGTTCCATTTTTAGAGCACGTTCATAAGTCTTTTTAGCTTGTTCTTCTGTTGTCCTTCGATTCATTTCACTTGAAAAATTTTCAAAATTAATAAAAATATTTAAATTTAGCATATAATGATATAATAAACATACATTATTGAATCAACAGATTTCGGTTTAATGAATATAGCGATTGGATATAATTGAGCCATTTGTAAACGTTTAATCGCATTACCAGAAACGTCTAGTATACAGTGCTTCCCTTTTTCAGCAACTTCCCTTACGCTTGCAACTGATGTGCCGTATAAATTATCATTATATTGGCCAGCTTCAATAAACAAATGATTCTGTATGTCGCGTTCCATTTGCTCTCTTGATGATACGAAATGATAATCGCGGCCATCCACTTCATAATCACGTTTAGGCCGAGTTGTATCTGGATTCAAAAAAATATATATAAAAGATAAGATACATGTATGTTCATACATATATTATACATAAGTTAAATAGCATTTTGATTTTCTGATAAAAATTTTGAAAATTCAAAGTGATATAAATGGTTATGGTAAATGGTATAAGTCAAAGTTAAGACTTAGAAGATATTTTAATTAGTTTCAATAGTTGTATTTTTTATATTTCAAATGCACAACTAATTCGATCAAACACATATTCAACTGAATCTGCTCAGTCTTCAAATTATGAAGAATTCATTTTATCTTTTTTCATAATATGAGACTGAATATTATAAAGACAATAGTATATGATTATTCATATTATGTAAGTATATGATTAACAAAATATAAGATTTGGATTAAGTTAGCTTTGATAGGTTTGGGTTTGAGTTAGCAATGTCTCTCCCACGCAAGAACAAGAATTTTTCAAAAATTCACACCCAATCTTGTCCTTTCCGTCCTCACACCTAATCTTGCCCTCATACCGAAAATTTTTGGCAGTCCCCACCCCCACTTATTATAAAGTGAATTATTATAAAAATTTTTAAAATTATTCCTGCAACTTTTACATGCTATTTATGTGAAATTATGTGGTAAGGTTATTTAAAGCAATAAAATTTTAATCTTTAGATTTAAATTATTAAAGAAAAATAAAACTTTTGTCAAAAGGCTGTTTGAAATTTTCAACCAAAATTATTTTAATTACGATATTAATAACGTAAATTTGAAAACAAATTTACAAATCAAAATAGTTGTGTAGTTTTTTTACCGTGAATTAGGTTTTACCATTCTGTTATAGCCCTTTAAGATATTTGTTTCCAAAGGCGGTGGCATTCTGTCCATAATGAATGAAATTCATTTTTCGGAAACAATCAATATAACTATTTTTTTAAAAAAGACTCAGGGTTCCGAACATAGGGCTCAAGATCATAAAAAACAAAATAATTAAGGAACAAATAAAATTATAAAAAATAGTGCATATGCTTTACTTACGTGGCACACAGGAACCAAATTTGTCCGGGAATTCTGATATTAAGTCGTCGTTTATTCGATCTTTTTGGGGCCCTAAAACGATAACTGGCCTTGTGTAATTAATTTGTAAACGCTGTACAGCTTCATAAGATAATACATTTTCTTCGGAAGCTATAAAAAAGAAGAAAAAATGTTTAAACATCCATCTCCTGATTAATTTATTATGCTGTTATTTTTCTAGCTTTGAATTATTTAAGTATACAACTTATTTTATTTTAATTAAACTGTTAAAAACTATTATAAGAATCTATAATTAAAATTTAAAAAAAAACATATATAATATATATATTCATAATTTTGTAAAAGAAAAGTTTTAAGAACTTATACGATATTTATAAACTAAGAAGAAATTCTATACTAGCATTTATTAAAATTAAAAAAAGTAAAACAAAAAGAAAACGAAATAACAAAACAACATAGTTTCAACAAGTTGCCTTTTTAAAGTTGTAGTTAGTTAGGTTTTTTGTATAATTTTCTTCATTTATTTTATTTAAAAGTGTTTGTCGAAATTGTTTTATTATCTATACTTTATTAAATTTATTAAATTTTTCGTATTAAATTTGAATGCCAACATTCACTACGTATACATGAAAAACCAATTTGAATTTTGTACAATATTATTATAAACATCAAAGCGACAGATAATTTTATAAGAAATTTAAGTCTTAATATGATATTGCGTTGTTAACATTAAGAGAAAATAACTTGTGCTAATAGTTCAGTGTTTTATTCAAGCAGTTATTAAGAAAACATAAATAATGTATATGTATTTTAAATGAAAAAAAATTTCTGAATCTCAGCACACTCTTTTACCCAAATTAATATTTGCGGCGGGTTTCAAATTAAACTTAATAGACTAATATCTAATTTTAATAAATTATGAAATTGCGCAATTGTATTTGGTATTTAATCAACTTAAAATATTTTGGCATGGAATTTTATTTTTTTTTATTAAAATAATGTTTAAATACAACATGATCGTTTTCAAAGTACCAGAATTTTGCTTTTTAATATTTAAGAATTTTTAATGTACTTTCAATACCGAAATAGACAAACTCTTTACATGCTCTTGTTATTTGTAAGCTCACTTGTTCTAGATTTCTTATAAGAAATAATATGATTGTTATCTTTTTTTTTTCTTTTATTTATGATGTTAAGTGAAAATATTGAGATTGTAAGTACCAAATATTTCAAATAGCCTTTTAATTTCATCGAAACATTAAGAAGTAATCAAGTTGATAATTTAATTTTTTTTTTTAAGTTAATAAGTTTGAAAAAATATATACCTCTTAATCTGTGCGCTTGCCTTTAAAATCGTATACCGTTTGTGCTAAGATTATTAAATTCTCAAAACTTTGTCTGAATTTCATACGATAAATGCTTGAAATAACTTTGTAATAGAAAAATATCTTAAATATATTTTTATAATCAAAATATAATTGAAACCTTACAAAAACAATGAAATCACACTGATTATAATAATTTATCATCTATGGTTAATAATTTGTTACTTTACCCATGCTTTTTAATGCATGTCCAAAAGATTAAAATTGTTTTCAATGTTGTTTAATTTTCTCATGTTTCTTTAATTTTTTTTCATTTACTATAAATTTCTATGGTCATTGTTGGGCATTCTGGATTTTAGGTACTTCGAAAAAATTTTAGTCTTATAATGAATTTCGTAATATTTAATAAATTCGTTTCGAATTTGCAAGAAACAAAAGTAGCAAGTAAATATTAACGAGATTTAGCGGTAAAGTGTATAGGGTAAGATAAATAAAACAAACGTTATATACGAAAATTAAGGCACAACGGATTTTTGGAACAGCACTTTGAATACTTTTTGTTACTTATTAAATGATGGTCATGTTTTAATTATTTTATGCTTATATAAAATTTTTAATGCTTTATATTTTGAATATTAATAAAAAATTAAAATTTTTGCATTTAGCTAAAAAGCGAATCAAATAAATATTACTTTAAACTTTTGCATATTAATATTTCCAAATTAAATCAAACAGATACATTTTGTAAATAATGTAAGTCGTAAGTCAAGTTTTGATTTCCTTCAAAATCTTTTTAATTTCAAAATATTGTTGAATGTGTTTAATTAAACTTTACACTTTTTAGTTCTTATAAAATTTTCTCAAAAGTTTGAGCAAAGTCTTTTACAATTTTGACTTATAAATTTTCTATTATATGCAAAACACTTTATCAGTTAAAGAATATAAAACAAACTATGCAAGAATTTCAACCATGTATTTCATGTCAAAAAATAAAATTGCTTTATCAAACCACAAATCCATTGAAAATCCTACAGAAAATAAATATATATAAATATTTATGTATATTTATTGTTAAATCTTTACAATTATAGAATAATATTACAAAATAAAATGGAAAATTTTTCTGATTTTCATTTGCTAAAACATATTAAGAACACATAAATAAAACAGAGGAAATGGTAGTAAACAGAACCCATGTTTAAATTTTTCAGAAGTCGTCTCTTGCAATTTTTTTATTTATTTACATTTAATTTATACGTTTAACTAACATGTATATTATATATGTAACTAACCAGATAATTTGAAAATCAATTTTCGAAGAATATTGTAGTTGTTGTAGTTGTAGCCTGAAAGAGACCGGATATTTTCGCCGTTGTACAATGAGTAAGTTTGAATTGATATATTTTTAATAGCACATGAAATGTATCAAAAGTACGAGTATGTGGAATGAAATTCGAATGAAACAAATAAAAATAACTTCATATTTTTTTGATACAAAAAAACTCCGAAAATTGTTTGTAAACACGTAAGTAATATACGTAAGTATTTTTATTATTTTAGCGAAAAATATACACACGATTATGAATATATCTTTTTTAAGCTTCAATTTGAAAAAAAAATAAAGAATAAAATGATTGGGTTACTCATTTGATCTACGAACTTTATTAAAATTTTATTTTCATGCCTATCGGTCTAGCCAATTTTGTAAAAATAATGTGTAGATCAACAAGAGGTAAATATCTCAGGAAAACTAGATTTTTTTTAGTTTATACAAATCATATTTAAAAATTCTTCTATGCCCCAAATGATATTTGAGGTATGCAAACTGAACAATCAATCGAACTAAAAAATCATTATACTTGATATCTGATAGATTATCGTTTTAAATAATGCATACAAATATTAAAACATAAAGGTTTTGGTATACAATAAACTATTTTCAAAAAATTTTCAGAAAATAATATATGTAGACTATGTAATATTTCGATGGCTTCTTATAAGAAAATGCGAAATATTTTCAATGGGATAAAAATGAAATGATTTTTATACAATCTAAAGGACTCTAAAATAAATAGTAACAATGATTAACTTTTTAAATTTTCGGAAGTATTTTTGATTAAAAAACTGTTTCGTTTGTTGAAGCATTCAGTTTTTGATCTCATAATTATTTGTATGCCCAAATGTTTCAGGCAATTATTTTAAAAAGTTTTATAATATTTTTTACTTAAATTATTTTGTCTTCTTTTCTGATAAATTTAGTATTTCTTGTTAATATATTAAACAATGCTTTAAACATCAACTTATACAAACTTATAGTACAAAACAAAAAGTAGATCGTAATACTAAAAGTAAAATATTTATATATATATATATATATATATATATATATATATATATATATATATATTTAAAACATTCAAAATGGAAAAGAGAAATTCTACATTAAGATAAATACAAATTTTCAACAATTAAATTAAGAAAATCAACATCCTTTATTTATAAATAAAATTAAAGAACTTAGTTATTTAATTAAAAAGTAAAATATTACATGAAGAGTGTAAATAAATAAAATTTTAATTAAATACGTAAAATTAAAAAACAGAGTTCAAGCAAATTCCTTTTCTTCCTTCTAAATAAAAGCATTTTTCAATTAATATTTTTTTAAACAAAGTAAACTCATTTCTATCAATTTTTGAGATTATAATTTAAAACTCTATTTGTATCTATGTATAACAAAATTATCAAGTTCTAAAAAAAGTGAAATCTTTCAAGTATCAATTTAGTAAGTTTAAAATTTATAAAATTAAAAAGCATTACAATTTTCGTATTTGAAATTGTGCAAAAAATCATTTTAAAACTACATAATATTTATTTTATATTTAATGTTTTTATCACATTAAATTACAAAATATTAGTTATGCCTTGAACTTAACTAAACTAAAATAATTAAAATATGAAAATTTAAATAAAACTATAAAATAAAAATAAATGGAAATAGCGAAATGCCAAACGTAATACTAAATTATTTTAAAATTATTAAGTGATTAATTCTTATAATAGCCGAAAATGTTAAAAATTTAGTAAAAATTGAATTGGCACCTTTAAAGTGTGAATATATATATATATATATATATATATATATATATATATATATATATATATATATGTATATATTTATAAATATTCTCTAATACAAAAACTAACAATAAACAACTATAAATACTATGTGTATCCCCTCATTTAAATGAAATCATTTCCGTAATTTGTAATTATCAAAATAATTTTTAAATACTGCTACTTAACAAATATCACTTTTCTAATCTTCATCCTGATTATATTACTTGTTTTCCGTTTTCATTTCATAAATTATTTTATAGTTCTATCAAATTATTTAATACTTATTAATATGCATATACATATTACGTATATTATTTTATTTTGGCTGTATTAAAAGACATCTTTATTTCTGAAAATGTGTGTTTGTAAATAAATTTGAAAAGTAATAGAAAGGACATTAATTGGAGAACAACTCAAGTTAAATATATAACGGTACTATATATATATGTATATGTATAATTTTTAAATTGTTAAAATACTTTTACATTAAAAAAAGTACACTAAATATATTATTAAATAAGACACTAAATTTTCACTTTCGAATATGTAAAAAATACGATGTTAATTGCAATAAGATAATTTTCTTCTAAAAGAGTGACGGAGTCAAAATTTTAAGTAAAACAGTGGTAAAATTTGAAAAAAAATATTTAAAATACAAAAAAGTATATGAATAACGAATCTACAGTATTTAAAATGTATACATATAAAAATATAAAAGAAATAAATAAATTTGTAAATAAGAATTAAGAATTTTAAAAATATTGAAACACTCCCAACTAAAATCTAGCATTCTAATTTAAATCTAGATTCTAATTTAATAGTAAAACTAATTTAATAATTTACATAATTACACAAGTATTATAACGCTCTATAACTTGTTACAATACAAGTAAAAAGTTTATATAAAGAATCTTTAGTGAAAAAAAATTTTAATTAACTTTTCTTTCTTCTTGTTTAAAAATTTTATATCGCTTCGAAGTCTTTTAATATCAAACTGAATAAGGTATATAAACGCAATGCATTTCAAACGAAAATTTTATTAAATACATATTGCTACAAAAAAATAAATTGAGAAAAGCTATTTTATAAAGCTATTTTGATGCCAATCAACTAGCATTCTTTATTTTGTATTTGAGTTGCATCACACGTTAAATAAATGCGTAGCTTAACTATAACGTAATTCAGATATAATAAATATTTTAATGTACAATGTACTTAAATTTGAAATTTTAAATATCGTAGTTAAACATAACTGTGTCTACCTACACACTACATAAATATTTATTAGCAGTTTCAATAATGCAAAAATAATTTCCAAATCAAATTAAATAGCAAATGAATATTTCGTTAGAGTTTGTTTAAAATTATAGGTGTTTGTATTAAAATAAATTTTTGAAAACTTCTTATTTGAATTTTTATATTAAAATTTCTCAAATTGGAGTAAATTTTACAAAATACAATTTGCAAATAAAAACGGATATAATAGGCATGTGTAGCAAAAAATTTTGTTTATATAGAAATCATAAAATCTTATAAAATTTATCTTATAAAACTATAAGTAACAATGATTTTATTTGTTCTTTATTTCTATCGTATTTATATTTACTCCTCATTTTTCACTACAATTGGTTCCCATGATCATTTATAAAACTTTTTTATAATACAACTAATAAAATTAATGTGGTTCAAATTATATAGATAACTTAATTTTTAAAAATTTAACATCCTCTTTATTTTATGATGGACAAAAAAATAAATAAATAAATGAATAATAATAAAAAACAAAAAAAAACTATAATAGAAAAAAAGATGGTGTTCTTTATCTAGTTTGATTTTTCATATGCGCTCGACTTACGATAGTCAGCATCATTATTCTCCAGGTAGATAAGCGTTATCTGCTCCATATCAGGTAACTCCACTCTGTAGATAATCTCGCCTTTTATTTTAGATTTTAATTTTTTTTTAATATATTAATTTTTTTACATAACACAATCAATATTTCCCAAAAATAAACAAGAGAGAAATTCAACAAATTATTTTTAATTTAATTTTTTTTTTTTACAAAAAAAAGTTTTGTTTGTGAATTCGTGATATGACAGAGAATCAAAAAAAAGGGGGATAAACGGAAGTAATTTAATGTTTGCTTATAATTTCTTGATTGAACTTAATGCTAATTTATGAAATTATGTTAAATTTTTAAAACTTTTATATTTAAGTCAAATAAACAAAATGATACAATCAAAATTAATACTCTATAACAAAATACGAAAAACTACGAAAATCTCAATTTGCGCAAATAAATGATGTAATAATCTGGAATTTCAACACTTATTATTAAATTTTAGTCCTTAAAAATATATGATTTTATTTTAGGTGCCGAGGTAATCTCTCTTTCTTCAATCATAATCATTTTCAATCAAATCGCAAAAAATGTGATTAAATGATTGAAATGAAGTTGGGCTTGTGTAAACGGTCCGTTTTACTCTTAATACAATTTTGAATCAAAAACAAATAAAGCTGTTCTTTTATTTTATAAAGTAGATCGGTGGTTGGCAATGTGAAAACTACAGTACAGGATATCTTTATTTTATTTACGCATGTTTAACAAAGGAACAAGTCATAAATAATACAAATATCTACATGGAAGCACAAATATATTTTCTTAAAAAACTTGTCTAATACCTAATAAACTTGTTTTTTGTTTAATTTAAATAATTAAAATACAATATTATATTTTTAAATAAATAAATTAATTTTTTGTAACTATTTTTAAGTTTTTACTGTTGTATAAAGTATAAAAATCAAATATAAAGGTAAACACCTTTATTGTCATCAAAGGTTTGTAAATTTCACAAGTCGCACGTTATAGTATATTGAAAATATGTATATCGAAACAATACTCGTACTGGAATGGGTTCATTTTATGATACCTACAGAAATATTTAATATATCAGACGGGTACTCCTTTTTGTATGACTATTATACTTAATTTTATTTAATTCAGAATTTTCTTGAAATTTCAACTTTCACATTTTCGCTTACCAAGTTAAAATACCATATGTATGCTTGAATATTGTAATTTTCAATTGAAAAGAATATTTTTTTAGCTTTATTAAAAAAAAAATCTCAAAAATATACAAAATTTAATCAACCTCCAGTCACTCTGTTTTGAAAAGCGACAATTTTAGTTGATGTTTAAAAATTTTTTTCATGATATATTGGAAAAAACATGCAAAAATCCAATTGAAAAAATAAGTAAGTCTATTGAAGAAATGACATAATATATGTATATATCTAATTAAAGAATTTAATTTTATTTAATTTTATGAAATAAGTAGCATTTTCTAAATGCTTCCATGCACTTCGTTATATAATTTAAATATTGGATAATTAATATGTATGCTGAAAGAACACGAAGCTAGTCGTATTATTCTCATTATAAAAAAATTTAACATTTAAAAAATAAAATGTTTTTTTTATGTAAAAGTTGAGATTTTTCTATTAGTATAGTTTTTCATAACTGTACCAATATTAGAGTTTACGTACAAACAAAAATATTTTAGAAAAGAGAAAAAAAAAATTTATAAGCAACAATTAAAGTTAAGGTTTTAACTAATTACAAGAAAATGTTTTAAATGTTTTTGTCTAATAAAATTGAGATTTCCGTATATTATATTACAAAATGAAATTTTTATTATTTTATGAAATCAATTTTGATTAGCATATAAGAAACAAAAAATCAAATATAATTAAATAAAACCAAGTTAATAAAACAATTCCAAATTATTATTATTTTATAGATTGCATTATAACAGCAAAATATTTGCATTTTAAAAAGAGCACAGGAAAGAAATAATATATGTAAAGTTTGATTTTATCCTATTTAGATAAATGTACATAAAATGAAATGTAATAGAATACAATAGAACAAATTAGTTTTTGTTCTATAATATTTAATAATATACAACTCATAAAATAATAGAATTTTGATTAAAAAAATAATAATAAAAACTAAATAATTTCAAAATTGAATTACAGAAAAAAATCATTTCAGAATTTTAAATGCATATAATATGAATCAAATTTTAATTAAACAATTTTGTGTTTTTTTTTGTTTTAAAACAACAAAAGGAACTAATAATAAAGTTGGGTCAAACCAATGGTTTGTATTGTAGCACTTTTCCCTTCAACAAGTGAAAATTCTGCTTTTAAATACAGTCTATGCATACCTATCACACTATTAAAATTATTTTCATTTATATACAAAGCTATTTCTAGGATTGCATATATTTAGGATGAACGATTTATGCAGTCTTTGAAATAAATCAAAAATTAATATAAAGAGGGGTTAACATAATGCTCGATTTTAAGAGTTAATTGTGTGAGTTAAGAAAAATAATTATATTTTTTAATGTCAGGGAGTTTACAGTTAGTTTTTTGTGTTTATAGAAATTTGAAAAAGCTTGCGATTTCGGAAATATAAGGTGTCAAAAATTCAAATTTTACAAATTTCAAGAGGCGATAACTTGAGAGGGGGTGGAGATGGAAAAAAATTTCTAACGAAATGAACTATTTGTTATTGTCTAAAAGCCCTTAAAATTTCAAGCTTCTACAGGCTGGGGTTTAGAAAAAAAACGAAATCGAAGTAAATTTGAACGGCCATTTTGTTTTTATAAAGTTTAACTACAGTATATTGAGCTAGGAGAAGCAACCCACAGCCTTTCTGCGTTTGAAAAATTTCAAAAATGCTTATGGTTTCATTGCAACAAATAATTAAAAAGGGCCATTTTTAGGGTTTTGGGGGGTATAATAAGTAGTAGTAATAAACGAAAATATGTATATCTATTGATAAGTAGTTTCTCTTTCGCTACTGATACATACGAAAATATTTTAAATTATGTTGGTGCGACTTTTTGTTCCTAAATATTGTTACTTTGGTAATTTTCTAATTTAACTATTACCTTAATGGCTCGATTTTTTGGCCCTTATTAATATACAGAGTCTCTTTGACTTAACTTTGTTGGTTTAAATATTTGGTTATTTTAAAAAAAAAAAAATGGATTCTAAAATTTTTTTAGAGCGACACCCTTATTTGCAATATGCAAAAAGTAGCACCAAGTTCAATCTAGCACTCGTTCACTTTATATAGACCAAGAAATCGATTTTCATTTACAGAGCTCAAAAGCTCAAATCTTCAATTTGACTTAAAAATACTGCTTGCAGTAGTGTATAATTGCGACATCTATGCATGCGTAAAAATAGTATACATACTCGAAAACATAATATTGTTCATATAACTCTTAAGACAATCTTTTTTCTAAATATTGTATAGAAATATATAGGAAATTGAAGATTTAATTTAATGAAACTAATCGTTTCTGCAAAATAGAAATATTTATTAATAGATATATTTGATAAAATATCGATATACAGATACAACCAATGTCATTTATATATGTTCATATATCTATCTATAAAAATGTATAGATAGGTAAAGATCCAAATATATAAATTCCAGGTATAAGTATATATATATATAAATATATATATATGCATGTATATTATCTAAACTAAAGGTGAATAATCATTTTTGATTTCGTATTTCGTATGTTTTTCTATTTGAAAAGTTTAAACATTAATTTGTAGAGTGTCAGTTTAATGGAGAGAATGTGTTCTTATTATGTAATCATTTTTTCTTAAAATTACGATATGCAAATTGCAATTTGATGTCTTTTTAACTTTTTTGATGTTTCAATAAAAAAATGCAAACTTAAATGGATAACTAAAATCCCAATTTAAGAACAAATAAAAATAAATTGTTTAAAATAAAAATGAGAAGTGTATAAGGTAAAAACTTTCAAAAGTAACAGGATGTTGACTAGGTTTCAAATGTAATAAACACATATGTTATATTATTGCAAAGAAATAAAGGATAAAGCAAATTATATAAGTACAATTTTTTTTTTCATTTTTTGTTTAGTACAAATGCATATTATTTTTTTAAGAAAAAACATAAAGGTCTAAGATAAAGGCTGCCGCATTGTTAAGGAAAGACTTTTTGAACAACTGAATTTTTGAAAAAATTCAAAAAAAATTAAGAGTTTACCAATAAAAAATTTATTAGCAAACTCTTAACTTTAAATAAAGAACTATTTCAAAAAAACAATGTTATAAAAATTATTTAATACAGTTTTAATATTTAAAGGGACTGTATATACAAGTTGTAATTCACTAGTATTATATATAGTGTACTGTGTACAGCGATAAAAAGACTATATTTTTTATATAACTTAGTATAAGGGCCAAATAAAACTACATTTGGGCGACATTGAATTCATGGAATTCTGTAGCGGAATTCGATCCCAACTACGTCCATATACTGCATTATACAGTACTATATGTTATAACGTTTCAACATGTTTATGAAAAAATACAAAAATTATTTACAAGTATTTATAGAGATTAAAAATCGTTTCTAGTTGAAAATTTTATAAAAAAACATGATTTCAAAAATAACTACCTTTTGCTTGTTATTTGAAAGTAAAATGATAATTCAAATTATATATTAAATAAGTTATAGAAATTGTATAATTAATTTTTTTTGTATCAACAACAAATTTTCAACAAAAAGCATTAAGGTACTTAAACATGTGTTGTAAAAAGATCTTCCTATCTTTTGATTCTAAACTTGCCGTAAAAATTGTCATGGATGTTGCGTTGTGAAAAAACAACATAAAATATAACATGGGTTTTTAAAATTTTCAATAGTTTTTAAGAAAGTGGAATCCACTACAAAAATACATAGAATACAATTTATATTAATTATAATTTATCAATTTTGATTTTGTTATAAATTTATTCACCTGTTTCGTCAGTAAATTTTATTTACTGACGAAAATTTAATTTTATTTTCACTGAATATAAAATTTCTTAAAT